CTACTAAGCACCAGGCAGTCTAGTAAGAATCCTCAACCCCTATAGTATAACCCTTACAGGAACCCTTCTAGTAAACCTTAAAAGAACCCTTGTAGGAAACCTTAAAGGAACCCTTATAGTAACCCTTAAAGGAACCCTTAAAGGAACCCTTCAAGGAACCCTTGAAGGAACCCTTAAAGGAAGCCTTAAAGGAACCCTTATAGCAACCCTTAAAGGAACCCTTAAAGGAACCCTTCAAGGAACCCTTGAAGGAACCCTTAAAGGAAGCCTTAAAGGAACCCTTATAGTAACCCTTAAAGGAACCCTTAAAGGAACCCTTAAAGGAACCCTTATAGTAACCCTTAAAGGAACCCTTAAAGGAACCCTTCAAGGAACCCTTGAAGGAACCCTTAAAGGAAGCCTTAAAGGAACCCTTAAAGGAAGCCTTAAAGGAACCCTTATAGCAACCCTTAAAGGAACCCTTAAAGAAACCCTATTCCCTACTAAGCGCCCGACACCAGTGGTCTCGAAGGAGCTCTTGGAGTCGATGGGGTTCATGCCCGCCGGGGTCCCACCTGCGTTTGTCTCAAGCCCCCCCAACAACAGGGGCGGATGACAGGAGGGGGTTGAGAGTGCTTAGGGGTCTAGGATTTGGGGGTTTATATAGGGGTTTAGGTTTTAGGGGTTTAGGGTTTAAGGGGGGGGTTCAGGGTGTACAGGGTTTCGTGTTGAGGGTTTTGGGCCCACAGGCGGCGGGTGGGGTGTGCAAGGAGGTGCAAGGTTGACGCAAAGAAGGTTCGGGGTGGTATAGACCTGCCAAAATAAGGGGCCCGAGATTAAAGTTGGGCAGGCTTTTGATAGCGGTGAGAAAGCCGAGGTTGTACTTACGTTCCCATAAGGGTGGCTATACCTGAAGGGATCCCTTGCAAGTAGGGCGTGTTTAAGCGCATCTGCCCCAAAAGCACCAGTTTCGGGCTAAGGGAAGAGACTTCCGGGGGGATAAGTGTTCCGAGCTGTGCAGAAATTCCATCAAGACCTTGACCTGTAAGCCCTGAACCGTTACATCCGGATTCGTAGGCTGTAGTTTGGCTAGTCTGTAGCTCGGTTTCGAGATGGAGGTGCTTTCCGGGAGCTGGCTGTTATTACAGGCTTCTGCATAATCAGCACTAGCATACCTTTTTAGTCACCCAGCCACCCTTTTCCAATTCTTGCGGCCGGGTTCGGCATTTTGTTTCCGGGCTCTGGGCTCCTGGGTGGGGAGGACATTGATGATGGTTCCCTTATCAGGCCAGGCGCAACGAAGAACCTGCTATGGTTGGCGCCAGATCTTCCCAACCACCTCGCAGTTGCAGATGGACACTGTGTGCAAGCGAGATATTGCTTATACAGCATGCCAAGTGCAACTTTGCGAGCACCACCGCAAGATGATTGCAGATGCGGGCGTGCCGTCTGGTTGTTCGATGCTTCCCACGGAACATATGAGCGAGGGCGCAACTGCACAGCTGAAGTCGCCAGCCTTCAGCGGCAGCTGGCAGCAAAGGGAGCTCTAATTGTCATATTAATGGCAATAGCAATAGTAACAACGATAATGACGACAACAAGATGAGAATAACAAGGATAACAAGAATGATCAGAATAATAAGAATAGTAATAGTAAGAATAGTAAGAATAACACCAATAATAACAGTTATAATAATAAGAAGAATAACAAGCAGAATAATAATGCTAAAAATGAGAATAAGCATCATGCTCCCAACAGCCAGCCATTGGAGACTATGGTCCTAAAACCTAAACCCTAAACCGTAAACCGTGGTGTGTAGGAGGCCGGGTCTCTGAACGCAAGGAGTCCCCAGGTACTATAGGGGCCTAAATTTCCGAAACTTAGGGGTACCTTTAAAGGGATCCTTTAAGGGTTCTTGAAAGGGATCTATAAGGGTTCCATAAAGGGTTTAGGGTTCAGAGGAAACTTAGGGGTACCTTATTTTGGGGCCCTTAAGACAGGGATCCTACTATTGAGGTACTATATCAGGGTCCCGCATCTGCAACGGGTTCTATTTGCCTTCAGTCGACAGGTCGCCTCCTCAGACGCAACGTGCAGCAGAAAGATTAAGGTTCCGATTCGGGCTCCGATTAGCGTTCCGGATAGGGTTCCGACAGATTCCTCCCTCAAGCCCTGAACCCTAAACCTCTATAATAGGCCCTATGATCCTGAACCCGAAACCTTTGTCAAAGGCCCTATAACCCTGAACCCTAACCCTTCTGATAGGCCCTATAACCCTGAACCCTAACCCTTATGACAGGCCCTAAAACCCTGAGCCCTGATTATTGGCGCTATCACACCTAAATCTCGCACCCCTGGTACTCCCAGGTGGGAGTTCTCGCCTGAGCCCGGAGCTTAGTCACCGTCAGCCAGTCTACCACTCTGCCCATGTTTTTTTGCGGAACTTGTGGGTTTTCGGTTTAGGGTTTAGGGGCTTAGGGTTTAGGGGCTTAGGGTTTAGGGGCTTAGGGGCTTAGGGATTAGGGTTTAGGGGCTTAGGTTTAGGGTTTAGGGGCTTAGGGGCTTAGGAGCGTGGTCGTGAGGTGGCAAGTTGAGACTTCGGGTTTGTGTGTAGGAACAAGCTTTAAGCTAAGCCTCCCTAAGGCTTAAACCCGAGACCCAAAACCCTCAACTCCCAAACCCCCAAACCCCTAAACCCGTAAACTCTAAAATCCTAAACTCTCCACCAACCGTCAACTAAACCCTGTCGGTCAAGTGTGCCGGAATTGCTCGGACAGGCCTCCTATCACTCTCGGAATAAGAGGTTTCAAGCTCCTGAACTCGGGTTTAGGGCTTAGTTTTCATTTCCGGTACCAAGGTTCCGGAGAGTTTGGAGACTGCTTTCATGTGATAGTTGTGTGAATTTGCGATAGGGTGTTAGCTGTCTTGTCATTCCTCTCAGCAATACTGCAAGCAACTAATAACTGCCATCGGGTTTTTAACTATTTAATACTATCATTGTCCTAATTCGATTGCTCTGGCCCTTTCTTATCATTACCATTGTCATTCTTGCGAAGAATATTTCTGCAATTATGTGGTTATACTTCGCATACTAATGTATCTATATACCTGTGTATGCATATACATGTATTGATCACTCTGGCTGTCTCTCTCTCTCTCTCTCAAACGGGAGTTTCCGAAAATAGAGGGGACCCTAATATAGTACCCTAAATAGTAGGATCCTGATCATAAGGACCCCCAAAATATGGTGCCCCTAATTTTCGGAAACTCTGAACCCTAAACCCTTTATGGAACCCTTATAGATCCCGGTAAGGAACCCTTAAAGGATCCCTTCAAAGGTACCCCTAATTTTCGGAAACTCCCAAGCCTCTAAACCCTAAACCCTTTCTAGAACCCTTATAGTACCCAAATAGTAATCCCTTTAAAGGAACCCTAGGGTACCCCCTAATTTTCGGAAACCCCAAACCGGCCCAGCTTGCTCCGAGGCTTTATCTTTCAACGTTCCAAGCACAGAGCTCACCGGCCTGCATGGGAGTCTGGAGCAGCCGAGGAGACACGGTAGGAAACTCCCCAAACTCGAAGCCCTAATTAGGCTTGGGGCTTCTAAGCCGAAGCCCTGAACTGCGGAGTACTAAGGCCTAAGCCTCAAACTAAAGCAAACTATTGAGGGCATTGCTTCGCAGACTCCTTGGTATGGCCTTGGCGAATTCGTGTGTAGAGCTGCACAGAAGTTCACCCACACGGCACAGGCCTGGGCTCAAAAGCCGTGGAACTCTGAACCCCAAATCCTTAAACCCTAAACCTGGACCCGAAGCCTGCGCAGAAGCCCTGAGCCTTCAACCAGAGCCCTTGAATTGGGAGCTGCCCCAAAACCTCGACGTCCTATCCGAAACCTGTGGAGACTGAAAAGTGGAAGACGAGCAATCCGTGTACATGTGTGTAGTTGTACCTATGTGCCCGTATGTGTGATGTATTATCTGCATGCATGCATGCATGGATGAGGAGGTTGTGCGTATGTATTGTGTATATGTACATGTATGTACGTATGTAGGTAGGTAGGCTAGCCAGGAGTGTACTGTGCTGTATGTCTGGACTGTCTGCAAGTCTTGTGTGCATGCATCGTATGTATGTTCCGTCGTGCGTGTGTGTGAACTTATGTGTGTGTGTGTGTGTGCCAGGCAAGGCGGCAACGCAATGTAATATCGAATGTAAGAGCTTCGCAATATCATGTAGTGTGTTTTGTAAGCGCAATGGGTTTGCAACGTGATATCACGTATTGGAACGCAATGTACTGCAATGTGATGCAACGTAATGCAATGTAACGTAGTGTAGTTTAGTGTATTTCAATGTAACCTAGCATAATTGTGGAACCGTAGGCTTGTGCCAGTGGGTCTTGACCGTGTGAGGACACGCTCTCTTTCTGTCCGCTGCTTTTAGGCCTTGACCCAGATATCGCTACTGGCAGGCAAAAGGTTAGAGCCTGTTGCGGCCCTGTGCACCAGGGTTGCATAGTGGCACCGGAGCCTGAGCAATCGTGTGGGACCTTGTGCGCTTTGCTTCTGCCGACCTCCGCTTCTTTTACAACTTTGCGGGGCCAGTGCTACGTCATTGTGCCCTTGGCGGGTGTCCTTGTCCTCGGCGAGTTCGCTGGCACGACCTGTGGTGAAAGCTCCCACAGATAGCCGTGCCGGGCTTGGCTGTGTGCAGCTGCACCTTTTTGGCTGGGCTTGGGACGAAAGCGAGCAGGGACACAGGTGCGAGGGAAGCCTCGCCTTTCTTTACTTCGACCTCTTCTGCTACTTCGGTTTTCTGTGGCTGCCCGGACCGCTCCGGCTTCTTCGGCCCTTCTTCGAAAACCTCTTTTGCCTGGCAGGCCCTCGCAGTCCGGATTGGTCCGGCTTCTTTGGCTGGGGCTTCTTCGAGGCGTCTTTTGGGTGCAGCTAGGCACCCCGTGGAGTTTGTGACTGAGTTCTTTTCTTTTGGCAGCAGCTAGGCTGCCCTCCAGCTCCTTTTCGAGGCCATGGCGGACGATGACAAGACGACGTCGGCTTGGTACAAGGTACCAACCTGGGATGGCAGCCCTGTGACGTGGAGGGCCTTCCGGAAAGAGATGTCATGGTGGGTCTCTTCTCTAGACCTGGAAAGCACGAGGAAGTACAACCTGGCGGCGCGATGGCTGCTCCGACAGTCGGGGATCGTACGCCAGAGAGGGGAAGAGTTCTCACCGGAGGACCTTACCTACCAGAAGGAGGTGAGAGCAAAGGACCCCGAAGGGGTCGAGATCATCGTGACCCCGGAGGACCTGTTGGCCGGCTTGAACAAGCTGCTCAAGGCGCTGGAGGGCATGAATGGAACCAGCGCTTTGGATAAGAAGGGCGAGTTGCGCAAGCTCTTTTACAACGACTTGATGCGGAAGCCAGGGGAGAGGCCGGCTGATTTCCTTTCCCGGTTTCGCTTCTTGGCTGCCGAGCTGAAGAGCGAGGGCATCGAATTACCTTCTTCAGAGCTTGGGTGGTTTCTTCGTGAGAAACTGGGCTTGGATCCCTTGAGGAAGCAGTTGTTGGAGACAGCCTTGCAGGGCAAAGAACGCTTTGAGGACGTCGAGTCGGAGGCCTTGCGCTTGTTCAAGGACCTCCATGCCGCGGATCCCTTGATGAGACGGCTGGGTCCTCCTGATAAGGGCCGGGGCCGCCCTTTTGGTGGCTACTCCTCTTCTTCGTCTACGGCGTCTTCCGTGTACCGCGGGGCTAGCACGGGATCGGTGCTGAGCCGGGCCCCCAGCGGGGGAGCTTCATCTGCGAAAGGTGGTGGCAAGCCTGGCTCCTTTGTTCCTCGTCGGCCTTTCCTTGGGCAGCGGACTCGGCAGGCTTATGCGGCCGAGCAGCTTGGCGAGGATGACGGGGAGACGCAAGAGGACCATGATGAAGAAGAGCTTGTCCCGGAGGAGGACGGCAACGGCTTCTCCCTGGATGAGGTGCTCGAGGCCGAGGCTGAGGCTTTGGCAACGGAGCTCGAGCAGGCCGAGGCGGAAGGGCTGGAGCCACAGATGTTGGAGCAAGTGGAAGGCACGGTTGAGAGTGCGGCCGAAGCCTTGCTAACGATGAGAGAGGCGCGCCATAAGCTGCAGGAGGTACGCAAGGACCGGGGCTTTGGCAAGGCATCGTCGGCGCCTTCTTCGCCGCAGTCGCCGAGCAGGCCGGGCTTCAAGAAACGTGGAGTTTGTCATGATTGCGGCCAGCCGGGACATTGGGCAGGCGACCAAGGGTGCCCGAAGCCTGGGGCTGGCCTTGCAAGGCCCAAGCCTTCGTCGAGAACGGGGGGCGCAACAATGGGATCCTCTCCGCAGCGCCGGGTGCAGCTGGCTGAGACTTTCTCCGCCGAGGCGACCCAGGAGACGGCCGAGCCAGACCAGTACCACGAGACGGCTGTTGTGACGAATGTGGGGTCGTTTGCGGAAGCACTTGAGGCCAGCCAGCCGCACGAGGTTCAGAGCGCAATGGCGGTGGATAAAAGACTTGTGGGTGCGCTCGACAGCGCTTGCAACCGTACGGTGTGTGGGCGGTTCTGGCTGGAGGGCTACCTGCAAGCACTCTCTAACTCTCCCTTGTGGCAGGCGCTGCAGCCCCTTGTGAAGACCGAGCCCGAGAGAGAGAACTTCAAGTTCGGCAACGACGGGGTGAAGGCAAGCTATTCCCGGCATCGCCTTCCTATGGTTGTGGGGCAGTCATGTGTGCTAGTCTGGACAAGCGTTGTCGAGGTGGAATCGCTGGGACTTCTTCTCGGCAGAGACTTCCTCGAGGCCGTCGGTGGGGTGATCAGTTTTACCCGTCGGGCTTTGCGAGCAGATCACCTGGATGGTTCCCGTATCCCTCTCCGGCAACTCTCGGCAGGTCACTTCTTCCTTGACGTGTTCCCGCGGGCCTGGGGTTCGACTACCAGACCTTGGCGCCGCGAAGGCCAGGACGGGATCCTTGAAGTGCAGATCAGTGGTGCTGAGTGGAGCCTCCGTCGTGCTGCTGCAGTCAAGGGTGTGCCTGTGAAGGGTCGTGAGCATGAACAGTTGGTCGTTGAGCCGGCAAGGGAAACGCATGATGGCCACAGCGGTTCAAAATCTTCAAATTCGATGGTCCACTCTGAGGTGCCTGTGTTTTCTCGCGGTACCAATGGACTCCGGAAGGGCAGTGCGAGTGGTCGCAAGGTTTCGAAGGATGTGCCTGCGCCTCCTCGAAAGAAACGTGTGGCACTTCGCTGGGCTTCTGCTCTGGTTGCTGCAGCGGCCGTTGCTGCGCTACCTGCCCCTACCGTACAGCAATACTCGGTCCCCGTCGGAGTGGAAGGAGCAAGCCGAAGCTATGGTTCGCAGTGGGGGCCTGTCGCGGCGGCACTTCCGTGCGGCTGCCCTCCAGAACAAGTTCGAGGACCTGGGCTTGCTCAAGGACGCGGCCTACTTGAGGGACCCGGCTGGGCATCAGGCTGGCGTTCTTGGAGGATCCGATGTTGGATGGAATGCTGGCAGCCCGCCACACCAAAGGAGTTCGAGCCGCCATACATGGTCAGTTGGTGGAGAAACTGAAGAAGGAGGCAGCCGAAAAGAAAACGCGCGAGGAGCAGTTGACGGCTGCTCGGGCCTTGTTGGGGCCCAAAGGAGGCCTCCCTACCTTAAAGCAAGACCTCATCAGGCTGGCCACCTTGTTGCACGTGGAGGTGAGCGCGCAGGACACAGTGGAAAAGCTCAAGAACAAATTGCGGCCGACCCTCGATGCTCTCAAGGGCATACCTCTTCAGGCGGCGCCTCCCACTACATCAACGACGACGCCGGCGGCATCTTCGGCGGGACTACCTCAACCTCCGGGCGCTCCTCAAGGGCATCTGCACTTGGAGATTGGGCCAAGGACAGCCGGGCCTATGGAACCGCCGGCCGTGAACCAGGCCGACCTGCTGCAACAAGTAAGCTCCATGATGGAGGCACGATTGGATGCTCGGGATCATCGCCTGGAGTCGCTGCTCCACCAGACCATGCAGCATGTGATGGCGATGGCCAACAGCGGCAGCCAGCCGTCGGATGGGGCCGGTGGCCTATCTCCGGACAGCGACATGGGCTTCCAACAGGTGCACGACAACGAGCTGTGATTCCTCCTCTTCGACAGCAGCTCAAGGCAGGCCAGCGTCTTCTGATTTCCCAGGCCTGGAATAAGTGCAAGTATGACCGCAAGCTCGTGAAGGCTAGCCCGCAAAACATCTACGAGGCCTTTGCCGTGATGCGGGACCAGATCTATGACGAGGCCCTCCACGAGCCCTTCCTCCACATGCAGTATGTGCCCCGACCTGGTGACCGTCACCCCTTGGTGGCTGACCTGTGCAAGTTGGCGACGGCACGAGGCCATGCTGTTGGGCGGCAACCGGATGCTACGCTTCCTTACTTCTTGATGCTTCGTGCTCCCGGCCGTTCGCCTTTCTTGAATTACTCGAGAGGCCAAGCCAGACTCGCCGCTGAAAAGAAAATTTTGGATGCCGAGGCTTCTGTGATGCAATCGGCTCTCGCCCACCGGCGGTCTGGCCGGCACTTCTTCTTGGAGCTTCTTCGTGGAGCTGACCCCCACCGAACGCCGGAGGGCCGGGAGTTGATGGATGAGCCGGGTGTTTTCGATTTCTCTTTGAATGGACGGCGCTATGTGACCTCAAGCCGGGCTGTGGCAGAGGCGTTTCGGCGAACCTCCGGCGGGAACCTGGCGGAGGAACTGCTGGATGCTATGCAGCTTCAGTTTGACGAGGACCATGGCCCTGAGATTGTGACGGAGACCTTGGCGGCGGAGACCGGCGCCGAGGAGGACGAGCTTCTTGAAGGCTTGGGGGGCATGGCGGAGTCCGATGATGAGGACTTAGAGCAAGGCCGGGACCCGGGCACCGAAATTCCCATTCCGACCGCTGTGAGGCAGGCTGTGCGTCGGCTGCACGAGAACACGGGCCACCGGAGTCCTTTGAGACTGGCTCGGGCGCTTGTGATTGCAGGAGCGCCACCTGAAGCGGTGATAGCGGCAAAGCAGCTGAGGTGCAGTGTGTGCGAAGAACGGCGGCCACCAAAAGCCCGTCGACCTGCTTCTCTTCCGGGCCCTCGGGAGCCGGGGGAACAAATCGCCTTGGACATTTTCGATGCCTTCGATGCGGCGGGCTCCCGGTACTCGATCTTGCATGCTGTGGACGGGGCCACGAAGTTCCAAATGGCCGTGCTGGTGGAGAACAAGTCGAGTGCAGAGGTGATCAAGTTCCTGCGTGAGCGCTGGGCACCGATCTTTGGGATGCCTAAGACCTTGGTGTGTGACCAGGGCCGGGAGTTCATAAGCATCGAGCTGGAGGACTTCGCCAGCCAGAACAACGTCTTCGTGTACCACATTGCTGTGCAAGCTCCCTGGCAAAACGGTCTGTGTGAGCGAGTTGGAGGGCTGTTGAAAGCCTTGCTTGGAGCCTGTGCCGCGGCCCAGTCGCTTATGGGCTTCGAGGAAATGTCCTTGGGCCTGGGGGAAGCTGTGCAGGCCTACAACATGGATGTGGGAGACAGTGGCTTCTCTCCGATGCAGGCGGCGGTTGGCCGTCAACCTTTACCTCCTGGTGATGCTCTGGCTGAGGGCCGCTTGGGCGAGATCGAGGCGATGGGCCAGCCGACTTTTGCCCGTCTGGTCGCGGTTCGCGAAACAGCTCGCATGGCTATGCTTCGGCTTCACTTTAGCCGTGCGCTCCGGCGGGCCGAGCTGACGAGATCGAGGAACCCAACGGTGGCCGATGCTCCTTTAGTAGGTGACCTTGTTTACTTTTGGAGAGAGCAGAAGTATAACCGCCGTGGCAACCAGGATCGTCGAAAGCTCTTGTTGAAGCGGTGGCATGGACCTGCGCTCTTGGTTGCCTACGAAGGGAATGCCAATTGCTATGTGACGGCCCGAGGTTCTCTCACCAAGGTTGCACTGGAGCATGTGAGAAGGGCTTCCCCTATGGAACAAATTGCGACGGGCGAGTGGGAAGCAGTGCTCAAGGAAGTGGTGGAAGCAACGGGATCAGGAATGGGAGCTTGTGGTTCCAAATGGTGGTGGCGACGAAGAACAACCTGCGGGAGAAGGACAAGGCCCTGGACTCCTACCTTCAGAACCACCTGCAGTTTCAGCTTCTCCTGGGGGCGGCGAACCGAGTGGTGGTCTGGACCTGAGTGAGCCCCAGAGTGGCTCTTTGGAAGGTGCTGGACTCCTTTCAGAACCACCGGCAGTTTCAGCTTCTCCTGGGGGTCCTGTGATAGATGATCGTGCTTCTCAGGATTTCCGTGTTCAGCGGCTATGCAAAGAGCTCGTGACCAACGTGGCCGTGATCTACCTCCTGTCTCTCCCGGTGAGCTTGTTAGGGCAACAGTCTCTGATGCTGCAGTGGAGTCACGTAGACCGTCCACCTTGCTGGGACCTGTGGCTTCTGGGGTGTCTTCTCGCGCGCCTGGGACCCCATTGCTCGATGTGTTTCGCCGTGCTGGGGCCTCTACTGAAGAACACTCTCCGATTGAGCCGTTTGCAGAGACTCCTGAGGAACCCACGGGCACCAAGCGGCCGGCCGAAGTGGAAGCCGAAACTCTTAGGAGCCAAGGGAGCGAGCAAGTTCCTTTTGATGCTTTGGTGCTAGAGAAGGAGGTGGTGCTCAAGGCGGCGCAAGCTCGAGAAGGCGAAGTTCATCCTCTGGTGAAGTTGCAGGCGCAAGTTGCTATGGATAAGGCATCGGGCGAGGACCTTGACGTGCCCGACCATGGCACGTGGGATGGCAGGTGGCCCCTGCCAAGTCGTACCCAGTACGAGGCCTTTGTGAAGGCCGGTTTGAAGTGGCCTACGGGACGCGAGGCCCTGACGGCCCAGGCCGCACGCAAGGAGTACCATTGGCGCTCCATGACGGAAGAGCAGAAAGCAGCTTTTCGTGTGGCGTCGGAGGAGGCCTGGAATGTTTGGGTGCGCAACGATGCCATAGAGACCTTATCCGAAGAGGAGACCGCCAAGACCATCGCCACTTTGAAGCAAAGGGGAGAGATGCACAAAATCCTCACGCCCAGGTTCGTGTACGTGGACAAGAACGAAAGCTTGAGGACAGTCTCGAACGAGCTCCCTTTAAAGGCCAGTGCTCGCCTCGTTGTGCCGGGGTACAAAGATGTTACGGCCTTTGACCTTCGGAAGGATGCTCCGACAGCTTCAAGGACCTCCCAGCACCTCCTCTTCACCCTGGGGTCGAGTAACTTCAAGAAGGGGTGGCGCACCGGGACAGCTGATGTGAAAAGCGCCTTCTTGAAGGGCGAGCGGTACCTAGATGGGACCCGGGAGCTCTACTTGCAAAACATGCATGGAGTCGAAGGACGGCAGCCCTACATTGCCCACGGGCCGTCGTCTGAGTCGCATCGTGAAGGGCGTCTTTGGCCTCAGTGATGCACCTCGTGAGTGGTACTTGAGGCTGAAGAAGAGTGTCAAGAAAGAGCGGTGGGTGCAATCCACCATGGACGCTGCAACCTTCTTCTTGTGGTCTAAGGGACCCCAGCCGGAGCTCATCGGCATGATGTGCTGTCACGTGGACGATCTGCTGATCAGTGGCAATGCCGAGGCCTGGGAGTCGATCGCTCGCTTAGGCGATGAACTGGGTTTCGGCTCCTTGGAAAGGACAGCTTCGTCTACTGCGGCAAGAAGGTGGACCAGGACTTGAACACTGGCGTGATCAGTGTTTCGATGGAGGCCTATGTGGACAACCTGGTTCCGATTCGGGTGGCAGCGAGCCGCCGTCGGGACATGGAAGCAAGCCTCACTCCTGGCGAAATGAAGCAGCTTCGAGCCTTGGTTGGGTCGCTGCAGTGGTTGGTGGCGCAAGTTCGAGCCGACATGGGCTACCACTTGAGTGTGCTGCAGTCTGAATCCCCCACGGTTGGCACCATGCTGAAGGCCAACGTCCTGGTGAAGGAGTTCAAGGCTACCAAGGACTTCATGCTGAAGTTCAGGCCCATGGACCTGCTGGGCGCCGGCATCGTTGTGGTTTCGGACGCCTCCTTGGGCAACGTTACTCGTGGTGGAGCTGTGGGTGACAAGCCTCTTGAGAGGGTTTACTCTCAGTCGTGCTACTGTGTGTTGCTGGCAGAGCGCTCCCTGCTCTCTGGCGACGTCGGGAAGTTCACCTTGCTGGACTACCGCAGCCACCGCTTGCAACGCGTTTGCCGGAGCACCTTCGCAGCAGAGTTGCTTGGAGTTGAAGAAGGGTTCGACGTGGGGCAGTACTGTCGTGGCCATTGGGCGGAAGCTTTGGGCTATGACTTAGCCCATAAAGGCGTGGACTGCATCCTGGACACCGTGGGGCTTGTCGTCGTCACGGACGCCAAGGACACCTTTGACAAGGGGAACAGCGACACGCCTTCTTACGGAAGCCAGAAGTCCCTGGCGTTCAGCATTGCTTGGCTTCGTGGAATGCTCGGAAAGCCTAATGTTTCCTTGCGTTGGACCGAGACCAGCAACATGTTTGTGGACGCCGGCACAAAGGACATGTGCGGATCTCACATGCGGGATACCCTGGCGGCTGGTGAGTGGAGCTTTCGCTACAATGTGAAGTTCGTAAAGCAAACGATCAAGGCGAAGCCCAAAGTGCGCCCCGGACCGGAGGTAGTGAGCGGAGAGGAAGTAGGCCCAACGGACCCTGTTCTCGGGTTTCTGCAAGGGCTTGCCACCAAACGTGGCTGGCACCGCCGGGATGGCTTGGTCATCCAAGTGGCTCACGGGGCCAAGAGCTACAGGAGCCCCGAGCCGAGATTTGATGCTGAAATGTATCCTGTTCGAACGTCCTATGCTCTCTTTCATGATCAGCAGGGTCGTGGGAGCTGGCGCATCCTTGAAAGGGATGTGCGTTATGGTCGCTTTTTGCGATCTCTGGACAGAGAAGCAGCGGTTCTGATCACGGTGTTCAAGACCCCAAAAGAAGAGAAGATCAATGTGGAACCGTAGGCTTGTGCCAGTGGGTCTTGACCGTGTGAGGACACGCTCTCTTTCTGTCCGCTGCTTTTAGGCCTTGACCCAGATATCGCTACTGGCAGGCAAAAGGTTAGAGCCTGTTGCGGCCCTGTGCACCAGGGTTGCATAATAATGCAACATAGGGTGGTGTCATGTAGTGGAACGTGGCATAATGTAGTGTGATGTAACGTAACGCGTGGTATGGTATTTTTCTACGGTATGCATGGTATGGTATGTATGGTATGAATGTTTTATGTGGGATGCATATTACGGTATGGATGGCATGTACGTTATGCATGGCATGTATTGGTAGTGGTAATTTTGGTGTAGAATGGTATAGAAATTGGTATGGTATAGTATGGTATAGTATGACGATGTAGTATGGTGCCGTGTGGTAGTTTATGGTATGTAGGTATGTATGTATGCATGCATGGATGTCTGTGTATGCATGCATGCATAGCCCGGCTAGCTCCTTTTCAAACCTTTTAAGTTTAGCTCTCGGCAGTGCTCTCGAAATGCTTTGTTTTGGGCCCCGCCCTGACATGTAGTGGGTCATTGCACGAAGCTTCCGTTTTCGCGGGCACGCTCCCGACGCCATGAATGGGGTTTGGGGTTAGGGTTTTGTGTTAGGGGAGTTTCGGGTTGTGAGGTTTAGGGATTTGTGATTCTGATTATGGGGTCTGGTCCTCATGCCTGGCGATCCTGCGGGTTTGGGGTTTAAGCCCATTCAGGGTGACGAAAGGTGTCCCCATGACTGGTAATCGTGTATTCCATTATTGTCCCTATGTCATACGGAAGTCTGCTATAACATATTTCAGATATCGATGCCACTATATTCTAGTACAGTAACTGTAACCCTCCAAGAAGCCTTTAAAGAACCCTCAAAACACCCTTCTCCAATCATTATAAGGTTTCTTGCAGGGTCTCTATGTTACGTAAGTTAACAGCTGTAGTTTGGGTTTTGATCCCCGAGAAGGTGCAACGTCCTGCTGAAAGGGGTAGGGCTTTGGGTTTAGGGCCCTATGTGTCGAGTCTGACTGTCTTCTTGAAATAGGACGTGGCCCATTTGGGCATACAATGATGTACTATCCTAAGAACCCATACCACTCTCAAGGTGTATCCTTGGGTTTCCCAGTGCGCGGCGCGGGTCCGCTGTTTGGTTTGTTTAGCTCGCACTTTGTGCAGAAGCGGTTTTTGCTCGGGATCTGATTCAATGAGAAATCCGGCGCCGACGCCCCAGCAAGGTGATGGTTGGGTTTGGGGTTCGATAAGGGTTTCATACCGGCTAGGGAAGATGTAGGATGGGACTTCTGGTTCAGGGCTTACGGGTCTTACATGTTTAGCCTAAAGTCCTAGTCCAAGTCATGCAGTTTGAGGTTTAGGAGTTTTCAGGGCTAAGGATTCGGGTTCAGGGCTAACGGCATATGAAGCAAGGGCCCAAATCCTACTTTCATCCATAAGTCGAAAGCCATACATCCCGAGCAGAACGCCCACGCGCAACCTTCCGCATGTTCTCAGCTTCTGGTGCCAGCCGACCGCGCCAGACAAAGCAGAGTCCGACACCTCAAAAAGCACAGGATTACGGGCCTAGCGACCTAAAGTATTATATTCTCTTTGTGATGGCAGTCTGGTACGGTGGGCTGCATGCGCCTGGCATGTCGCCCTGTGCAGAGAGACCCTGCAGCCTCTTGCTGCAAGAGACCGCCACGAAGGAAGGCGAGCAATTGCGAATTGCAGGAACCCGGCGGTAGGCAATTATACTGTTTTTACAAGCTCGTTTGGACTACTTGGTATCCTTTTGAGCCGTACATGTTAGCTTACTAGAAACCCGGATTACTAAAGCAATAGAGCATCCAAGTAGCGGTTGAAGCGACTGAATCAGGGAGGTGCAGACATCTGAACAGGCACCTCCCAACCCTCATGTGGATTCTGTGGTAATACGTTTCAGGGATTAGGGTCTTTGTTCCGCAAATCCTCAAGCCCCTTCCGCCAAGCTTGAAGGACATAGGTCAAGACCGGCGATAACACTTGTGGACCTTCCAAGTCTGGCTAGATGGTGAAACAGCATACCCCAAAGCCCCATGCCAGCCCCTTTTCTTTGACCAGGTGTTGCAGTCTAAGATTGTCGGTGTTACTTAATTGCGAAAGTTATGCGAAAGGCTCTTTCTTTCGATCTCTGAGAACACGTGCACACAAATATGATGCCGTTCTTGCTGGTCATCTAGGGAATGACAACATTGTCAGGCCAAACTCCCTGTGTCCCAGGCTTGCACCCACCCTATACTCGTTTTCGACTGTTTAGCATTCCTTAAAGCCTCAACAGGTCCCCCCATGACCCGCAGCAGCCAGCTCTAGGGATGCCATGTTCTGTTTTCTTGTAGTGATAAGGTTTAGGATTAAGGTCAGGGTTCAGGTGCAGAGGGAAGTTAGGGTTTAGGCTACAGGGGTTAGGGAGCTAGTCTTAAGCCTTTGGGTCTTCAGGGGGAGCCCAGGGTTAGATGACGACTTTAATGCCAGATCCTGCTTTAAATTTGGGATCTCCGTTCGAATGCTGAATACCTAAACCCCCAAAAGCAGGTAAAATAATGGCCCAATACCTATAAAAGGCTATTATTCTACATACTTTTCGGGCCCAGGTATAGAGGGTGTAGGGTTTAGGGACCTCCTAGACCAGGCCTGGCTTTGAACCCAAGAAGGCCAGCGGCAGGATTCCAGGAGTCCGCTGCCGAGGGCTCAAGGGGCGACGCGCGCTTCCGTCAGTTTTTCCGCGGCCCTGGTCTTATCCCCGACGCGCGGCCGCAAGACGGGCAGCTTGTTTGTTTGTTGTTTTTTTTCTGGGGCGGGCGAGGGGGGCCGGTATGGGTTTAGGGTTCAGGGTGTTAGGGTGGTGGGGAATCAGGGTTTGGGGGCATCTGGGAAGACTTTTTGAATCTGCAGCCTTTAGCCCTCAACCCCAAACCCAAAGCCACAAACTTCCAAGCCGTAAGTCGCATGATCAGTTTACTTACGGATGCACGTGCAGCCCAGCCAAAACTAGCATAGCCGTACATACTGACAACGCTACAAATGGGGCCTATGAACATGAAACCCTACACCCTAAACCCTAAAAACCCTAAACCCTAAAACCTGACGCCCCAAAGCCAAAGCCCCAAAACAAACCCCAAACTCCCAGACTCTCAGCCTTAGATCTGTGTAGAACCACCTTCGAAGCAGGAAGACCCGAAACCCCAAGCTCTGAACTTGAAAGCCCCAAACCCTAAACCCTAAACCCTAAACCCTAAACCCTAAACCCTAAACCCTAAACCCTAAAACCCTAAACCCTAAAGCCCCAACCCTAAACCCTAAACCCTAGAGCCCCAACCCTAAACCCTAAAGCCCTAAACCCTAAACCCTAAAGCCCCAACCCTAAACCCCAAGAGCCCTAGGAGCCCTGAGCCTTAGCCTTAGCCCCTCTTTGCCGACATCCCACTGAGGCGCCAGTGCGCGCGCACCGGGGGTGGCCTGGCCTGTCTGTGCCCCAGCTTCGGTGGGAAGGCGTTGGGATTTGTAGGGCATTGGCTAGAGGCTAGGGGGTGTTTTTTCGCTTAAGGGGCTTGGGTTTTTTCGGTTTCAGGGCCTTGGGTTCAGGGTTGAGGGAGGAGGGAGTTGAAGGATTTCAGGTTTAAGGGGTGGGGTCTTGGAGTGGGTTTGGAGGATCTGCGAGGTCGTTGTCCAAGGACTTTCTATCTTCAGGCTGCTCCTTCGTAGTTTAGGGTTTTGCATGGTCCAAGTCCACCAAGGTTGGGGTTGAGCTGCCTGCTCTGTGCTACTAACCGTCCTGTCGGCTTGAAAAACTGGAGAGGGATACCAGCAAGAGCGGTTGCGGATCTGGGAGGGCTAGCATCGCATGCGCCAAGTGACACTTTGGCCAGAGATGATAGAATCCCCGAGCACGGCAGGGAGAAGGGGCGAAGGTCCCCCCCCTGTCTAAACAAGGCACACCTCCTCCCGGAGTGTCCTCCGCCAAAAGCTACGGAGCCCTTCGTCTACCCTTTAGAACACAGTGTTGCGCTGCTTAGAAGTCGTTTAGGCTTTTCAGTCGGACCTCCAGGAGAACCCCCAACCCCATGGAACCCTTACGAACCCCTGTGCGGCCCTTTCGAAAAGCGTTGGCACCCGTATAAACAAGCCCCAAAGCCCCGCACGTCAAGGATATTAGAGCCCGCTTGCAAGCCCTTGGTTTAGGGGGTGCCAAGGCCATGGCATACATTCGCTCACTTTTGCCACTGCTTGTCCTGCCACTTGGCCATTGGTGGAAAGGGGGTTTTTTGAATCCAAAACGTGAACGCGACAACCCGTCCGCGCCCTTAAAGAGCCAACATACAAGCCAGCGGCAAGTCCTACGGAAATCCTCCGAAACAAGCATGAGGGCTCTGTAATGGATCAGGGTGAGGGCCTTCATCAATGGAGGTCAGGTGGCGATGGTTTAGCTGGAGACTTGACGTTCCCAGAGACTCCAATACCCCTTAATTAAGGAATATACCTTAAATCATATTAGGGACCCTACTATAATTTAAGGTATATTCCTTAATTAAGGGGTATTGGAGTCTCTGGGTTGGAGATAGATCGTTCTAGTAAAATGCCCCCTTCTCCACAAAAGCCAGCTCTCATCGCCGAGACCCTCTAGATTGCTTCAGCGGTCAAGGTCTTTACCTATAGCTACCTCACTTGCAGGCATACTCAACCCTAAACCCTAAACACCAAGCCGCACTTGCCGAGTTGCTTTATGCTTTAAGCTCACCTGTTCAGGGATTGGGAATTTCGGGGTGCAGTGAATTTTAAGCTTGTCTAGAATACAACCGGGCTTCCTAATTGATGTGCCTAGGTGGAGCCATTTGATCCTTAACCTTGCGCACCACAAAGCACATCCTAAACCTCAGCCTGCCTGAACCCGAACCCGACACCCGACACCCTGAAACCGTAAAGCCCTAAACCCCAAGCTGTAGGGTTTAGGGTTTAGGGGTCTGGGCAGACTGACCGAGCAGGGTTGTTGGATGACATCTGCACCCTCCAAGTCCATGAGGTGATATGGTAGTTCTCCAAATTAGACTCCTTTCCAGGTCACCAAAATCTTACGGCACCCTTATGAGCAGGACCCTAAACAGGATCCGAGTTTAGAGAGCTACCCATGTGTACTACGCATTCTGCGAGAGGTGCTTTGCGGGGTACTCGCGAGAATGTGATGTTTTTGTCTGAGCGACGCGCAAGTCCCAGAGCTACCGCAACCGATCCCACTAGTGCCTTCGCTGGCTTGGGGCAGTCAGTCCTCGGTGGAGGTGGAGACCCAGCAGAAGAAGGATGAAGAAGTCAAAGCTACTGTCCGCATGGTGAGTGGCAATGACGAACTCCTCGCGCAGGACAGTTTCGCAATGAAGTTGAGCGCATCTTTGCAGGTGTCCTGTTTCGATGCAATGCAAAATATGAAGGACAGTGGCATCTGCACTCTCCTCCTCTTTGTCAAGCACGGCTACGATAAGGGGTATTCGCAGACTTGGGTGTCAAGACGGGCGATGTGTTCATTTGCGAGTTGAACAGCGATGAGAAAGCTCTAGAAGATAAAAATCCGCAACAGACTAAGCAAAGCTGGCAACGACGATGTGGATAAGCCACACTAGCCGAATAAGAGCCCTAAACCTGCAACACTGTAGGAACCTGACTAAACCCGGCTTGAGGCCCAAGACCCGACTTCATCTAAACTAGGATGCCCAGTAGTACCCTGATTCCCTTTTTGTAGTCCTAGGTTCCTTATAAAGTTACCCAATACCAAAAAGAGAGGCCTTTTTTTCTTAGGTTACTGGGTATCCTAGTAAACTCTCAACCCTAAGCCCTAAATCCTAACTGAGGGATCTCTCAGCTGCTTGTGCAACCCTGGGAAAAGAGGCGCTTAAAACAAAATCCTAACTAAGGGGTTTAGGGTTTAGGGTTTAGGGTTTAACTAAGGCACTCAGCATGCGCGGTGAAGGAGCTTTTCACCGCCAAGGTGGAAGCGGCGGGTTCCGGAGTTCCGGGTCCTTTGGTTCACGGTTTCACTGCTTGCACAATCTCGTGGCCTCCATAGGTAGACTAGGCCGTTGGGGTATGGGTATATTATAGTACATATACACATATTTGAGGTATATGTCAGTATTCAGGTGCTTTTTTCCATGAATATGCCTGGTCTTTAGGGTTTTAGACCCAGAATCTCACCCCAAAGCTCCGGAGCCTAGTCTCAAGTCAAGCCCGTTTAGGGTTTAGGCTTCAGGATATGCCAATTTGGAGAAAAATAGTGGTCGTACAATATACCCCAAAGCCCTATATCAGAGCCTCTATAGTAGTCCTTGTCTCCCTTTAGAGGAGCCCTTTTTGGAATTGTCAAGGCCCATCGTGGCGGCTCCAAAATCGGCTTTCGGCTTTTAGCTTTTCGGGTTTTGGGTCGGATTTAGGATGATTTAGGGTTTAGTATTCAGGCTTCGTGGTGCAGGGCTTTCGATTTTCGATAGGGATAAACGGTGCTACAAGGGCACCCCAGACAGACCCCAGAGTGTGCTATCCGACGAGCTTTTGGTCGCAAGTTGGGTTGAGGGTTCAAGGTTCGGCATTGCATTGCGACTGCAAAAATCCGAGTTTCAGGACGTCAGAGACATTAAGGCTTTCGGGGTCAGGCTTCTGGCGTTCAAACTCTTTGGTTCAGCTGCAATCCGACCAAGGTTTCGGCTGAAGTACGACCGGACAGGCACGAGTGTTAAACCCTAAACCCCTAAACCCCAAACCCCCACGCTGTGAGAGAGATGGCACGAGAAATGCTGGCGCCCACTTTGCTCGCCTTCGCAGCTGTCATGGTGCTTTGGGCAGGACGGCCCCCAAAGCTTGCCTTGATAATTCTGGAAGGGCTTACAGGGTTTATAGGGTTTAGGGTTTGTAGCGTTTAGGGCTTATAGGCTTATAGGTTTTAGGGCTTATAGGATTTAGGTTTTTTTTTGGTATCTTGTGTTGAAATAAATGCTAACACATAGTATTGATACCTATTTGGACCTTGGTCTTATGCCCTGAATAAGACCTTACCTCCTGAAGCTTAAACCGCACCGTCAACCCTAAGCCCTCAGCTCGTACACACTAGTCAAAAGCCATTATGCGTTGAGTAAACTGAGTAAACCCCACATTACAGAGTAGAACCACCAAGCCCAACCCAGAACCGTGAAGCAATTTCTTCAAACTCGGCTAAGCAGACGAACACAAAACGCTCATAAAACTTCCAAAGCCCTTAATCGAGCCTTGCTATGAAAGCTTACGAAACTCACTTTGGGCAGGACGGGCATCTCTGGAAACTTTTTGGACTTCGCGTAGAACTGAGCCATCCGTCCGATCGCTACTCGCCCTTCGCGAAGTTGCACCGGTCTCTCCGTCACGAAGGGGGAGGCCGAACATCGTGCCCTGGTAGGGTTTTGGGGTTTTAGGGTTTTGGGGTTTTGGGGTTTAGGGTTTAGGGTTTGGGAGGTTCTTGCATGTTTCACGGTTTCTGGCCTAGGGGAGTCATGCTAGCCTTCGGTCCGGCACAGCGATGTTGTAGTGTAGCGGATGCGCTCTGCTGCTTTGTACAGGGCATACTCAGCTCGTCTACATGTGCAGTTGTCAAAGTTATGGTCCCTCTTTGGGTCCCTAATGCAGTACGGCACCCATTATTTAGGGTACCCCCAAAGGGACCATAATTTTGACAACCACCCACATCGTTGTTTAAACCTTTGCCCCCTTAGCGTTGTTTTCTCAGAACCGAGCGTTCGACAGGGAACCCGGGTCTGTCGGGAACTTAGGTGTGGATCCTTACGGACGATCAAGATCAGGTGCCTGGGCGACTGACTCACCCTAAGAACCTTAGGCTTGTTCAGGCCGGAAGCCAGCCCTGAATGTGAAACACTAAACCCACCCCAAAGCTCCACGCCGTAGTACCCCAAACCCCATGAACCGAAATCCCTAAAACCCCATTCATCAGATGGCAGTGGGGTTTATCTTAGGGTTTCTCTGTGAGTGACAGTGGAGCCTCCGCTCCTTAGGAAGACCGACCGGCTCAGGGTTTCAGGGTTTCCGTCTTGTAATTGTACTACGTCGTGACATGACAGAAAGCACGCTTACCCTGAACCCTACATCCCAAACCCCAAACCCTACACCCTGAACCCGAAACCCTACACCCTAAACCCTACATCCTGAACCTGAAACCCTACACCCTAAACCCTACACCCTGAATCCTATACTCCTATACCCCTTCAGGTTCTGGGCGGTTCCTTCCCTCCGACCAGCCCGCATGGCGCCACGCCCATGCCGAAGACCCAGCGGCTCCTGAGTGCGGCCGGCATCCACGCAGAGACTCGGCAGCTTGTGCAAAGAACTGCAGGTTCGGGAACAGGTTGTGGGTTTGAGGGTTCAGGTTTCAGGGTTTAGGCGAGTTTGGGTTTTCAGTATTCGCAGGGCGGCAGAACCGATAGAAGCGAACTCCGGAAAGGTTTCGTTTCAATTCGGGTCCCGGATCTCCTTGTAAATCTCAGGAGAACTGGCACATCCACGTGCCCATCTGCAGCCCCTCTCGGTCAACTTTGCTGAGTGGCCGCTACTTCCACAACATCAAACAAGTGGGCGGTTCGGGTGGTGGGATGCATGTGAACTACAGCAAAGTGAATGATGACACCTTTGTGAGGCGTCTTCATGATGCGGGCTACATGACTGGAATGTTCGGAAAGTATTTGAACGTGATGCCTGAGAAGGTGCCCCCTGGTTTTGATGTCTGGTTTGCCAACGGCGGTGGCGACTACTTCGCCCCACAGTTCATGACCAAAGGAGTGGATGGTCTCCCGGAGGGCTGGGTAAAGTTCAGCAACGCTCCTTCCAACTACAGCACGTCTGTCATCGGGAACATATCCCTTGCCTTCATCGAGAAAGCCATCCATTCAGAAAGGCCCTTCATGGCATCTTAGTAGCTGAATGAGCACACTTTACACTTCTCTTGCGGATAACATGATCCCTTATAGGGCTGAAAGTGTATTTTTTTGGGCTTGTGAACTCAGCAACCAAGGCATACATCGCCCCCAAAGCGGCCCACGAACCCTTCAACCCCGCCCCCTGGTACCGCGACACCTGGGATGCTTCCTGGCCCGAGCATGAGCCACGGGCTGAGAATTGGAATTGCTCCGCTGGCAGCCGTCGTGACCACCATGGCGGCCGGGCTCCTGTTAAGACAACTTCATGAATATTGGATACCTGTATGATTGTTTGTTATTGCTATACATTATCTATGTTCGTAATCGTTCATCAAGATCTTTAGGGTTTAGGGTTCACAGGATACCTACCTAGTTGACTGTCTGTATGTAATACCTATGTTCGTAATGCTTCATTGAGAGCTTCACTGCGGAAACCCAGGCAACATCGCCACGGAGCCGCTACTTAGTCCGGAAGCTGCCCGGGTCATCACCGGCGTCTTCAAAAATCGCTGGCGGACGCTGCTGTCGGTGGATGACCTCATCGCAGATGTCATTGGGAAGGTGGAAGATCCTTGGGGCGTCGAAGTACGCAATGCGCTCATGTGCATGGGTGTTAGAAGGTCGGTATAAGGATACTGCGAGGGTGCTACAAGGTTACAATAAGGAACCACATGAGGGGACTACCAGTCACGAACCCAGTTAGAAAATTCGGAGAGTGTTTTGACACAGGATGAAAGCTCGTGAAATAAGGAGCTAGGAGAGCTGGACAACACCTACTTCTTCTTCTCCAGTGACCATGGTTTCCAGCTGGGTCAGTTCAACATCCCCATGGACAAGCGCCACGTCTATGCGACTCGAGCTGTTAACGTGTCCTGACCTTCGTGGTTCGCATGTTCGCATAAGGGTTATAGAGTAGCATAACTTAAGCAGCGATTCTGAAGAAGCTGCATTGAACCAATCTGAAAATCGAATCCTGAACCTCTCCCCCTCCCCACTTCAGCAGACTCCGTTCCTCCATTTGCTCGTTGGCACACTGCTTCCTAGGCTGTCAGCAGCTCCCCAAATTCTTTTGCCAGAATCCCCATGAGAGTTTAAGTTTTTGGGCTTTGGGGTTCGAGGTTGGGTTCAGCGTTTTTGGTTGCAGTGTTTGGGTTTGGGCTCATACAAACTTGTGGTTCTAGGCTTCGGCCAGGATGATTTGAATCAGTCATGGGGACGGATGAGCTCAAACATCCGAAAGATTATGATGTGCCTGAACCTACCGAGACTTACTTTTTTTGCTTGCTCCTATTTTTTGTAGACTTTAGGGTCTAATAAGGGCCTGCACAGAAGTCGGTTACGGTAGCTTAAGGTGGTGTGGCAGATTCAGCAACTTTCCAAAAGAAACCCAACCCCATACTTAAGCCCCACCGCAGAAACCGAAAAAGCATAGCCACAAACATACACAAAACCACACCTACATCCTGAAAACCCTAAACCCTAAACCCTAAATCCTGAGGGTCCAAGACGCTTTCCCAACCGGGATTCCTTTCTGCAGACTCTGCTAGACGGAAAAAGGCGTTCAAAAAGAAACCCTAAACCCTAAACCCTAAACCCTAAATCCTAAATCCTAAACCCTAAACCCTAAACCCTAAACCCTAAACCCCAAATGTGTGAAGCCCTAAAGCTCTGAAGGCAATGACCAAGAAAGCCTCATCAGGAATGGGACACCAAGATCCATCTCCTTGCTCGTGGTCCTGGTATCTGGGCTCTTGTTCAGGAACTTCTGAAAGCCCTACAGTAAACCCCATAAAGTTAGAAACCGGATGAAGGCCAAATGGAGCTGGGATTCCCTTTACATCAATCTTAAGGATTGAGGCTGTTGGGTTTCCAACCTTTGGGCGGGCTTTTGTAAACCCTAAAACCCCGAATATGGTAACTCATCCCTAAACCCTCAAACCTAATCTTACCAAATTAATCTTGTGGCGACTTAATACTAAGTTCCTGAACAAGAGCCTAGGTATTCGACCCAGCTCGAGCTTCTCGGCGCCGGGCACGCAGGTGGACATTGCACCGACGCTGCTGGGCCTCGCCGGGTCGGGGCGCCAGCATACTTCCTTGCATAATGTACCAGTAGTGGCCTGAAACGTTGGTAGCACCGTTTCTTATAGAGGTTACTATGTATATCTACAGTATGGATGCCCCGCAACCCCATTTCCGTGAATCGGGCGACCTTCTGAGCCAGACACTTGACGCTGCCGCACAGTGGGGACATGTAAATGATATGCGCCTGTGGCGGTTTTCCGGCTTCTGCGTTTCGGGTTCTCGGTTTGGGGTTTTGGGGGCGAGGGTTAGACGGTTTAGACTCGGTTTAGGATTTGCGGTTTAAGGTTTAAGGTCTAGGGGCAGTTTGCCTAAACCCCAAATCCTAAACCCCAAATTCTAAACCCTAAGTCCCAGACCTTAAATCCTAAACCCTAAACCCCAAACTCCTAAACCCCAAAGTCCTAAATCCTAAGCCCCAAAATCCTGAACCCCAAATCCTAAATCGTCGCAGAGTTTGTTTCCCTACAGCCCCCTCCAGGTTGGCAGCGCCGGAGGACTATGACGGCCACTCGATCGCCCGATTCCTCATATCGCCCGAACTGGAGGTGCCTTGGGGGCTTAGGGTTTAGGGGCTTAGGGTTTAGGGCTCAGGGTTTCGGGCTTAGGGGTTAGGGCTTGGGGTTTAGGGCTTAGGGTTTAGGGGCTTGGGGTTTAGGGTTTAGGGCTCAGGGTTTAGGGCTTAGGGTTTAGGGCTGGGGGTTTAGGGCTTAGGGTTTAAAGTTTAGGGGCTTAAGATTTAGGGCTCAGGGTTTAGAGTTTACGGGAACATAGGGTTTAGGGCCATCGTTTTTAGACCAGAGCTTCTGCTACTCGGTTTAGGGGTCGTGGGGTTTAGGGGTTTAGGGTTTAGGGGGGTGAATTTTGTTACGACGATCAAAACACTTATCCTAATTCGAGTGCTTGTGGCGCTTTGGCGCTTCAACACAATTCTGTGTAGTGTTCTGATCGAGGCCCCAATATGAAGCGCAGCGGTAGTTCAAGCAGGCGGCAAACCTTTTGTTGATATGGCCCCAACTCTCTCGTTTCCCGAGCAGTTCTGCAAATGCATAAGATCCGGCCCTAAATTGCGGAGTATTTGACAAGTATGTGAGATGTGGTAAAATGCAGGTGGGGCTCAAGTGGCGAGAACCCCACCATGCTAGATTCCACAAGCTTAAAGCTCGGCTGCCCTAGAGCCCAATGTGCCCCAAAACTCCAGAATCCGAAAGCCTAAATCCCCAACCCCAAACCCCAAACCCGAAAAAAAGGCATATTATTGTTAGTGTTCAGTATTATAACACCACAAAAAAGGAACCCAAGGAACCCCAAACCCTATTCTCATTAGTAAGGCCTCGACATAAGAGAGCCCGCTCTCTGGGGGAGGCTCAAGTGCCGCAGTCGACTCAGCGACACTTGCGTGCTCTGGCGGAGCCCGGGGAAGCGGCGCGGAGATGGAGAAAGGAGTTGTACCTGGGCAACTCTTGAACTTGAAGGGTTTTCAGATGCCCCCCATAGGCTCTTTTTCAGGCGTTTTTTTGGCATTTAGGGCTGTTGGGATCCTGTTGGGGGATTTCTCCTGTCATTCGCTTCTGTTCTGCTGAATGGGTTCGACGGGTCCGGGATTTGTTGTTGCTGCTGCTTCTGTGGTTGAAGGATCTGTAAGTAGGGTCTGGGAAGACTATTCGGCGTGTTGGGGTTCGAGTCTTGGGACGTCTTGGGTGCCGGTTAATTAGACGATGTGGAAGTTTTGATTGAGTGTTGGATGCTCGGAATCCTTTACAAACGGCTGCTGCCTTTGTGCTTTAGGGTTCGGATGTTAAAGTCTGTCTGGTTTTGGGGTGGGGTGGGGAGTTTGGGGCCTGCTTCCAGTGAAGTTCGGCTTGAAGATGCAGAGTGCAGTGAGTGCAGTCTGGACTTTGCTTTCTGTGCGCTCTTCTCCAGAAGCACTGGATACCCGCCAGCGCTCAGGTTCATTGAGTACTACTTCGTGGACTACAACACCAAATGCGTGCTGAACTGCCCGAACACATCGGCCTACCCCTTCGCCGACAGCTGGTGTGGCGATCTGGCCAACAATCGGGACTGCTGGTGTTCCAGAGAAGAGAAGGTGGAGGCTGGCTCATAGTAATTCCTAAGCCCTAAACCTTAAAATAGTAGTGATAAAAAATGTGTTAATAAGAGCGATCAATGCCCAACGCCCTGCACGTCCAAAGTCCTGCACCGTCAGACTGGTTGCTACTACACAGAGACCCCTGCCAACAACTTCATCGCCCTTCGCGACGTGGCTGTAGCATTCAGCTGCTGCAATTCCATGGCTTCGATTGCCCTTCGTGATGGTGTGCTGAAACTTCTATGGGCGTACCATCAGCCATTGCTTGCAGTCTTTTCACACCTTCCAAGAAGCCGAGGTGATTTCACTGGAGGGAGGAATGTGCTGTATGCGGAGTTCCAGACCGGTCAACTCCAGGAAGCGGCTCGCAAGTGATGTGAGCTTTCTCCTATCGTTCTCGTCAGAGAGAAATTGGGGTTTGGAGGACTAAGGTTTTCGCTTCAGGGCATAACTATCAGGATTTTACTCGTCGTGGAACCATTAGAAGTCGTAGTCGCAGTCGCAGTCGCAGTCGCAGTAGAAGTAGTAGTCGTCGTCGTTCGTAGTGGTATAGTAGTAAAGTAGTAGTAGTAGTAGTAGTAGTAGTAGTAGTAGTAGTAGTAGTAGTAGTAGTAGTAGTAGTAGTAGTAGTAGTAGTAGTAGTAGTCGTAGTCGTAGTCGTAGTCGTAGTCGTAGTCGTAGTCGTAGTCGTAGTCGTAGTCGTAGTGGTAGTGGTAGTGGTAGTGGTAGTGGTAGTGGTAGTGGTAGTGGGAGTGGCAGTGGCAGTGGCAGTGGCAGTGGCAGTGGCAGTGGCAGTGGCAGTGGCAGTGGCAGTGGTAGTGGCAGTGGCAGTGGCAGTGGCAGTGGCAGTGGCAGTGGCAGTGGGAGTGGGAGTGGTAGTGGTAGTGGTAGTGGTAGTGGTAGTGGTAGTGGTAGTGGTAGTGGTAGTGGTAGTGGTAGTGGTAGTAGCAGCAGCAGCAACAATGATATTCATACATCATAGCAGCACTAGCAGCAGCAGCCGCCGTCTTGAATTTGGTGCTAGTTAGTCCCTGATTGACTTTCCATCTATAGCTGTAGTACAAACAAATTGCCCACAACCCCGCACGAAATCCTAAATTATCCGCCTGTTGCGCGCGTGTAGTGGTGGCATCCTCAAATGACACATGGGCGTTTATAGCTGCATGCTTTAAGCCGCGGTCGCAAAAGCACGCGCTAGATGTCTCTAGCATGCACTGGCTGCGGATCCAGCAACCTGTATGATTGCTGGTGTAAGGACTCTAACCCATCATTGTTGCATCACAACCTCGCGTGTTGTAGGCTACAGGTCGCACTCACACTAGACAGATGCCTTACTGTTTAGGGTTTAGGGTGTAAGGGTACTTTCGGCCTTCGCGAAGGTGCCTATCGACTTCAGCAATGTGGATTTCGCAGAGCTCTATGACATTGCGAAAGACCCGTGGCAGATGAGGAACTTGATCAACCACTCCGAAGAGGTGGCGAAGCAGGAATGGCACAGGCGTCTGCGGGAGTTTTGGATGCTTGAGAGCTTTTTCTTTCTTTGTCCTTACAGTAACTTTATAGTCTATAGTATTTTGATAATAACCCTAGAGCATAACCCTTACTTTGATATTACATACTCTGAGGCACCAGAGTGACTGAAGCTCCAAGACCCTGAAGATTCGAAGGAAAGCCCGAAACCCTAGGCCATAGAACGCAGACCTTCCTCCTACGAGAAAGAAAGTGAGAGAGAGAGAGAGAGAGAGAGAGAGAGAGAGAGAGAGAGAGCGAGAGCGAGAGAGAGAGAGAGAGAGAGAGAGGGGGCTGATTTTAGTGGTGGGTTTATGGTCTAGGGTTTTTGGGGTTTGAACTTAAGGGTTTAGGGAGAGCAAAGGAATGGTATCAATGTGCTGGGACTGCGTGTCCTTGAGATGCTGCATATTTCTTTCGAGGACTGGGATGGCTTCGCAGTATGTGTTCACCCTGCGCTTTACACTTGGGTGGTTGTCAAAGTTATGGCACCTTTTCGGGCCCCCAATATAGTACGGCACCTAAGATTTAGGGTACCCAAAAAGGGACCACAATTTTGACAGCCACCCACTTATGTTTCTTTGTGAACTCGACCCGCTGAGCCCTAAACCCTCGACCCCCTGAGCCCGAAAACCGATGCTTTAACCGCCCATAGGCCCTAGAATCTAAACCCTAAGCCCGAAACCATAAAACCCCAACGCCCTAAGCCCTAAAGTCTAAACCCTAAGCCCTAAACACCCGAAGCTTTACAGACCCTATACGTGTGAATCTCCGAGTCCTCTGGAGCATCGTTTTTCTCTGTTAGGGTTGTAGGGTTTAGGGTTTTAGGGTTTTATGGTTCAGGGTTTAGTGGAATTGCGGAATTGATGCCATGTGTGTACACACACATACTAAGCAACTAACTTGTATGGGCTCAACCAGGTTATACCCCATCACCCCTTTGGAAAGAACTAGCATAGGAGCCTAAATCATCACCAATACTAATGTGGGGGTTCCTTATTTTGTTTTCGTATAATATGAGCCCCAAAACCCTATTCCAATTGTTCAGGCCCCTAAAGTAAGCCCTGGACAAGAGAGGACTTCTGCGTTTCGAGTGCTGCCGGTGCTCAGCAGTTTCGAAAAAGACGGGGCGCCTGATCTGGGTCGGGCTTACGTGAACTTTAGGCTTTATGTGGGGCCTCGGTTTAGGGTTTAGGGTTCGCTTCAAAGTAAAACCCAAAGCTGCAGGGTTTCAGGGTTTAGAGCTTTCAAAGAGGCCTGCGGCGATATGAAGTGTGTTTGAGAGCTTTTTGTTGAGGGATTTGTGTGTGAGGGTTTCTCTGATAAAGTTGGTATATGAAAAAGTGTTCACAAGCTGGAAGCAGATGATGATCCCAAGCTTTGCAGCTCTAAGTACGAGTTCTTCTGTAAACCTCGGCATCTGAACTGAAACCTGGAAGCATAGCCTCCTTGCAGCTGAGGAGCACGGTTCGGGGCTTTGCCGTTTGGGTTCCTGGTTCAGCTTCAAGAGTTCTCATACAAGGCTTGAAAGACGGTGTAATATAGAGGTCGGAACACATGGTACCAGCTGGTAACACCATCCCTAACCCTAAACCCTAAATCCCCTGAACCCTAAACCCTAAACTATGCTTAGTAGTAACTAGTATGCTTTTTTGTTAAAGCCAAAGCGGTAAGGTTTTATTTGTGGCTTCGAGAAATGATTTGTAAGGGTTCTACGAAGCTTTTGCGAGGGCTTTGAGGTTGAGGGTGTAGGGTTCAGGGTTCAGTTTTTTGGGTTTGGGGTTTAGGGGCTTTGAGGGTGTAATGTTGGAGTTTCCTGCTGGGCTGCACCAGGTTTTTGAGTTGCCAGCCTCCCGCTAAGGATCAGCAACTCTGCAAAACCTTCATGGAACCACAATGCAATCCGTGCGCGCACGACCTCGAACTACCTGAAAAACCCTAAACCCTAAACCCAAAGCCCAAAACCCTGAACCCAAAACCCAAAACCCTAAACCCAAAACCCAAAACCGTAAACCCAAAACCCAAAACCCCGAGCCCAGAAGCTGAAATGTGTTCGGGTTCTCAGCCCCAGGTTACGATCCCAAAGCTTCGTGATGAGCCGCTGCAGCCCTGCAATCCTAAATCCCAAGACTCTAAGTAGACCCTTTAAGCCCAGAGCCCACTCCAAACCATGTCAAGCTCTGGTTTTGCCAGGAATTCAAAGATCTGCTCACCGAAGCCGGGGGGAGACCGATTATCCTGGACTTCTATAGTATCGTGGCCGGTTTAGGGTTTCAGGTCTAGGCAGGGTTTATCCTGGACTGTTGCAGTACCGTGGCGGGTCTAAGTTACCCACTATGGACTCTGCAAGGATCAGGGCACTTTGTTACAAGCAGTATCATAAGCCAGTGAAATGACGCTAGAATCAGTTTCTCCCCGACCGGGGATGATGTGCGAGATTTCGAGACAGAATACTTCCTTCATGCATTCACTCAGAATCAGGAAGACATAGAGCGGAAACCTAGTACGATTGCTTCCATGTGCAGCCTAAACCCTATATCCTGAAGTGAGCGAAGGCTTCGATTGCGGCCCGTCCTTATGCTAAACTGGGGTCAGGAGTTCACGTGCGGAGTGGGGTTTGGGGGTTAGTGTATAGTTTAGAAGGGGCCCCCACCCTGCAATAGTGACTATCAGGATGATACTAGGGCCCTATTATATTCCTATTATACCACTATTACAGGGTGGGGGCCCCTTCTAATGTATAGTTTGCAATCCAGGGCCCAAAACCTTGAAACCCCACGACCTGACCCTGAAGCCTCACATCTCACAGCCTTCCAACCTTTTGCCGAAACCCTGAGCCTTAAAAGCCGTAAGCCTCTGCAGCCCAAACCCTAGACCCTAAATTTCTGATCACGAAACCTAGGTATGTCTTGTGGACCTTGCCACATGATCGCGCCGGTCTTTCGGAAGATCTCCAAGGAGCTTGGCTGTTCGGACTGGCAGGTTCTAGGGCTCTGGAATCTGGGTTTTGGGTTTGGGCTGTGAGGCCTTTGGGGCTTAAAGGGAAACCCTAAACCCTAAACACAAAAAACCTATAACGCTAAACCGCTAAGGGTTCAGGGTGTGTCAGTTGAGTTCGCTCGCTCGGGTGTAGACCGCCTGGCAAGGGTCCCGCAAGAACGGCCACCGCCAGAGCTCCCAAACCATGCTGTTCATGGCCCTTCAAAAACCCTTACATGGTCTGGTGGTGGCGGTGGTGGTTTTCGTGGTGATGATGGTGGTGGTGGTGGTGGTGGTGGTGGTTGTTGTTGTCGTCGTTGTCGATGTCGTCGTCGTCGTTGTTGTGGTCGTGGTCGTGGTCGTGGTCGTGGTCGTGGTCGTGGTCGTGGGCGTGGTCGTGGTCGTGGTCGTGGTCGTGGTCGTGGTCGTGGTCGTGGTCGTGGTCGTGGTCGTGGTCGTGGTCGTGGTCGTGGTCGTGGTCGTGGTCGTTGTTGTTGTTGTTGTTGTTGGTGGTGGTGGTGGTTGTTGTGGTGGTGGTGTTGTTGGTGGTTGTTGTCGTTGTTGTTGTTGTGGTGGTGGTGGTGGTGGTGCTGGTGATGGTGGTGGTGGTGGTGGTTGTTAATGTGTCCAGCACCTGACTCCTTGATACCGTGAAGCAGTTTGTGAGAGAAAGACAGAGTGAGAGAGCGAGCGAGTCAGCGAGCGGGAGAGCAAGACTGTTTGACGGCATGGACACTCTTAATGTAGCGCAACTTAACGTAAGGCAAGGTAATGTAAGGCAATGAAATGTCGTCGAATTTAATGTATATTGCGGTGCAATCCAACGCAATGGAATGAAATGTGTTTGTGTATGCATGTATGCAAGTATGTAACTAATTGTAAGTATGCAAGTATGAAATTATGGAAGTGCGCAAATGTGCAAGCGTGGCAGTATGGAAGTATGTAAGTACGGAGATATGTAAGTATGCAAGTATGCAATGTGCGTGTGGCTTGGGGCTGCGTGATCGGAAGGAGTTTGCTGGCAAAGCCTACTTCCGCAAGGCCACAGCCGACACTGAAGGGGTTTCAGGGCTTTCTGGATTTGTAGGGCTTGGCGTTTTAGGTATACTGTATAGGGTTTGGGGTGGAGCGAACACCCTCTGAAACAGCTGTCCCCTACCGTAGAGTCCTACAGGCCACAAGTCCAAACCCCAAAACCTACAGTCGAAAGCTGCTGAGCACGGGTCGCTCGTCAGAGAGCTGTAAAATCCTTTTGGCGCCATATAAAACCCTGTAAACCCTCAAGACGCCTACATAATCCTTTCTTAAGATTGCGCTCCATCGACCTGATACCGAAGGTGGACGTGGCCCGGAACCAGCAGCTGGCACACCAGCAGAACATCCGTGCGCCGGCAGAACTAAGTTCTCATTTTGATTCTGATTATTTTTTTTGTATGCTGTGCTATCGTATTGTCATTCTCACAATAGCTACACACAACTTGGTAGGATGAACATCCCTTGGCGCAACCGTCGGTTGCTTACTGAAATCCGAATCCCAGGATCCATGCCGACATTTCAGTTCTGGATGCGCGGGAAGAAGCGACATCAGTTCTCCGGCGCAGACGAGTGCCCGTCGCTTGTGTTACGAAGTCACCGTCCTAGCTTGCGAGTTGCTGCTCTTGAAAGGGGTCAGTAGACTCAACAGTGCTTGAGTTCGCATTGCTAGTCTTCGGGTTTCCTGAATATAGTTAACAGGAACCCCAGGCACCAAAGCCAGTTGTCCAGCTATTCAGGCCTCAATATCAAAATGGGAGCTTCCGAAAATTAAGGGGGTACCTTATTTGGGGGTCCTTACAATAAGGATCCTAGTATTTAGGGAACTGTATTAGGGTCCCCTTTTTTCGGAAACCCCCATATTCCCCCTTCAGTACATCTCAAGCCCTGAGCGCTATCCACCAAAGCGTGCCTCGACCTACGGAGCCCCCAGGGCTTCAAAAACCACCGGGACATAAAACCTGGGTTGAGGGTTTCAGGATTTTTAGGGTTTGGGTTTAGGGTTTAGGGTTTAGGGTTGAGGGTTTCAGGATTTTGAGGGTTTGTGGGGAGATTCTTGCCTTGAACAGTTTATGTTGGGGTCTCACACCCTAAATCCTAAACCCCTAAACCCCTAAACCCGTAAACCCTAAGCCCTAAACCCCTAAACCCCTAAACCCCTAAACCCCTAAACCCCTAAGCCCCTAAACCCCAAACCCCTAAACCCCTAAACCCCTAAACCCCTAAACCCCTAAACCTTAAACCGTTCGATTCTGTGTTTGATCCTCTGCCAGGTACTCGCTGAGAGAGTGGACCCAGAAGCTGATCCAGGAGGCCTCCTTAGTACCGTTCATATGGGAGTTTCCGTAAATTAGGGGTACCTTTAAAGGGATCCTGTAAGGGTTCCTTAAAGGGATCTGTAGTGGTTCCATAAAGGGTTTAGGGAAGTTTAGGGTTTAGAGTTTCCGTAAAGTAGGGGTACCGTAGATTTGGGTCCTTATAATCAGGATCCTACTATGTAGTGTACTATATTAGGGTCCCCTGTTTTCGGAAACCCTCATATAGTGGCCTAAATAATTAGAGTAGGGTTCCTTTCAGGGGTCTAGAAGGGATACTATAAGGGATCTACGAATCTACAAGGGTGCTATGATATAGCAGTGCTGTTAGTTTAGGGTTTAGGGTTCCGTTTATAGGGGTCTATAAGGATTACTATAAGGGGTATTACGGGGGTTTAGTATAGAGGCCAAAACAATTACCAATACTGTTTTTGTGATTTTTATTATGATTATAGTATATAATGGGCTCCAAAACCATATTCTGATTATTAAGGCCCCCCGTAAGAGTCCTAGGAAGGAAGATACCAGCCCAAATCAAAAAAGGCTAAACTCTGCATCCCAACCTAGAAGCCAGCAGAGGAGGCCACAACTACTCCAGTAAAAGCGTTTAGGGTAAAAGCCAGTTGGAATATGATTATCCTAACCTTTCTATGGTAAATTATAGTGTATCCTACCATGAAACCATATTCCAACTTTCTGGAGTTCTCTGTAGGGTCTGGGGGGTTTTAGGGCTTAGGGTTCAGGGCGGTTCAGGGTTCAGGGCGGTGGTTTAGGGTCTAAGTTTCGGGCATACCCGCAAGCCCGGTAGCCGCAAACCCTGTGAGACATGTCCCCCCTTCGATCCTCTTTAGGTATGCCAAGCGCCGAACACCAAGCGCTGTAAAACCCATGAAGTTCGTAGAATTGATTGGCCTTTAGCCTGCTTACTTCTATGGAATCTCAGTGCATTCTGTTCAGAAGGTGCTTATCCAAGGAGAAAAGGAGGGACCCTTAATGGGGACCCCTACCCTATAATGGGCTATATAATGGGTATATAATAGCTATATTAAGGGTACATACCTAGGGGTCCTTATTAAGGGTCCCTCCTTTTACCCTTGGAGAAGGTGCTTAGGCTCAGCATCTGCAGTTCTGGTGTTCAGGGCTGAGGAGCAATTCTACTTCATACCCTCACTTAGACCCTATGCCGATGCCCGACACTTGGGAGTTTCCGAATATTAGGGGTACCTTATTTGGGGGTCCTTGTAATAAGGATCCTACTATCGATATCTCACTTATATTAGGGTCCCCTATTTTAGGAAACCCCCACCTAAATCCCAAGCCTTAAACGTCCGATAGTGAATATGTGCCAAACATCCCAAAACCCCTCGGCAAACGTTGCTTGTAAAGAGGCGCAGAAGCATCATCCACTGGGTTGTCCGGGTTCTTTCCTTACTTGGAATGCGACTAGGCCCAGGGCGACGACCTAAGCATCAACAATCTCAACCCTAATTAGGCCCCAAACCCCGAACATTGAAGCCGTACCCAGAAGTCTTCGAATCTCAACTGACATACGCCTGCGACACACCCCAAGCCCTGAACATTTGACCCGCATACAGAGCCCTTTAAGGATCCCTTTAAAGGAACCCTACATATATTACTGTCCATTATAGATCCCTCATAGAACCCTTTAAGGATCCCTTTAAAGGAACCCTACATATATTACTGTCTATTATAGATCCCTCATAGAACCCTTTAAGGATCCCGTTAAGGGAACACCATGACCTAAACTGAAACAAACCCTCAGCCCGGCACCCTGGGCCCTAAACTTTAACCCCTGAGCCTTCACCTTCAACCCCGAACCCCTAAACCCTAAACCCGTAAAGCCCTAAACCCCTAAACCCCTAAATCCCAAACACCCCTAAACCCCTAAAGCCCGAAGCCCCTAAATCCCTAAACCCCTAAAGCCCTAAATCCCTAAGCCCCTAAGCCCTAAGCCCCTAAATCCCTAAACTCCTAGCCTCAGACCCCTGGCTGTGGAACCCGAAAGCATCAAGGCTCAGCCCCAGGGCGCCTTACGCCGCAAGCGGCAGACCCTCAGCCGGGTTTAGGGTTTAGGGTTTAGGGGTTTAGGGTTTAGGGTTTAGGGGTTTAGGGTTTAGGGGTTTAGGGTTTAGGGTTTAGGGTTTAGGGGTTTAGGGTTTAGGGTTTAGGGTTGTGGAAGCCCCTAACCTGAAAAGCCAAAACCCTAATCTCTAGACTCTAAACCTCTGTCTGAGCCCTAAACTTAAAACCGTGAGCTCCTGAGCCCTAAACTCTATATGGGAGTTTCCGAAAATTAGGGTACCTTGTTTGGGGGTCCTTATAATAAGGATCCTACTATTTAGGGTACTATATTAGGGTTCCCCATTTTCGGAAACTCCCAGATCCTAAGCTCTAAGCCCTAAGCCCTAAGCTCTCTAAAGCTTCAGCTCGTGATCCCACCCTCGGCTCTACAGGCCGACCGGGATGACGTCATCGTCACCAGGGAAGCGCTGGAGGATGAACACCCGGGGTTCAAAGCCCCAAAGCCTCTCACCCTTATGCCCTGAAAGGTTGTGTCTGGTTTTTGAAAGGACGTACAGCAGGATTTAAGAAGGGTTGAACGGTTTTATGGGATTTCTATACGGCGTCGTCTCAGGGCTACATGGTAGTTTAGGTTTTGGGGGAGGAGCGCGCGGATTGAGGCTCCGGGATGTGGCGAGTTATAGGGAGTTCGATGGGGTGAAGGCGTCGCTTCAGCATCTCTTGGGACGAGGATGAGCAGGAGCAGCAGGATGGGATGATGCAAGGTTTGGAAGTCGGCAGACAGAAGGAAAGTGCTGGGCCGTGTTGTGTGCACGGCCTTCAATGCTGAAGGTGATGTGGCTGAAACAGAGCAGGATTCCAGGAGCGAGAGTTATCACAAACAGAGCGAGCTTCTGGCAGAGGAGATCAAGATACACTGTATTATGATAATATATGATATAATGATATATCATATATTGCAATGTATTATATTATGGTCCAACAGCAGGATGGAAAGTGCAGCCGGTTTTCGGTTTGTCGGGAGAGCGGAAGAGAAATCCCTGGAGCCTGCACGCACGGGTTTGCGGCTTGTAGCCGCGCAAAACTTCACCCCTACCAAACCTCAACACGCTGCAGCCCTAACGCTCTTAAACTTGGTAGTAGAAACCCTGATCACGAGGTCCTCTCTCTTCAACCCAAAAGCTGGTTTTGAGCCCTGAAACCCCAAGCAGCCACTCCTAAGCCCTAACCTTGAACGTCATGTAAAGCGCTGGCCTATACAACTACCGAGTACACTTGAACATCCTTACACCACCCTCAAATCCCTGCAAAGCCTCCTGAACCCTGAGCCCTAAGCCCTGGGCCCCAAACCCTAAGCCCTGAACGCCCCAAATCCTAAACCCTAAACGCCCTAAACCCTAAACCCGAAACGCTGAGCCCAACGCCCTAAACGCTGAAACCGTCAGCACCTGCCGGAGCCCCTCCTTCGACCCCAGGAGTTCTACCTGAAGCACGACCCCGGCAAGGCGACCAAAGAGAGCCTGGACACCATCCTCCAGAAAAACAGCAAGGAGTCCGAAGGTTCAACGGTGTCTAGGGGTTCAAAGGGTTTAGGGCTGGGTCCTTAGATAGGGTTCCTTTAAGGGTTACAACAGGGTTTGCTATAAGGGTTGTACTATAAGGGGTTTAGGGGTTTAGGGTTCTTAGTAGACTGTCTGGTTCTTAGTAGGGAATGGGGGAATGGATTATGGGGACGATTACTAGGGATCGTAGAGGGGCTACTACAGGGATCCAAGCCCCCCGTCCCTACCAAGCACCAGACAGTCATAAGGGTTCTGGGTTCAAAGAGTTTAGGGTTCGTAAGGGTTAGGGCTTTGGAGGTTAGAGTAGAGAGCCTTTGGGATTTTGGGTACCGAGGTTTCGACACTCGCAGGTTTCTTGGTTGGATTCAGGGCATCTGTTTTTTTTGGATTTTGGGGTTTAAGGTATCGAGCTTTTAAGGGCTAAGGGTTTCTAGTGACAGTGTTTTGAGGCTTTTCGGGCCTAAATCTTCAAAGATCGTAATATGTAGGAATCCTAAACCCTAAACCGATGCAGGGCTTCGTCTAGGGGTTTTCGCTCGCTACCGTCACGTGATTCAGGGATGAGTTGTCCTCAGGCTGGTAAGCTGGCAGCCGGGGCCTTACTGTGGACTGGTTAGGCACCTCACAGGACTCGATGGAGGAGCTCTGCGATTAGTGCTATTTCCGGGCTCCCTATTGTAAGTATAGTAAAATATATCATATACCCCCAAACCCCTATTCTGACGATTAAGGCCCCCATGTCATGAGGAAGAAGCAGCCCCAAAAAGGCGACAAAGGCCTCGTCATGTAGGCGCTCGTAATTATGAGCTTCATTTGGTTGGGCTGTGAAGCCCGATGCTTCCGAGGACTTCTTTGTCATAGTTGGGTAACATTTTACATTTTTATGGGTACTTAAACCCAATAAGGAATAAAGATGTACATTTTTAATCCTATCCCAACAATGATCTAGACTTCGATACCCCCCTTGAAGCCTGAACCGCCGACCTTAAGCCGGTTATGCCGTTGACCCACAACCCTAAAAAAGGGGTCTTAATGACTGGAATAGGGTTTGGGTGCCCATTATACCATATTTATACTAAGGAACCCCCAAAATAGTATTGGTAGTTATGTGGGTCTCTATGGTAAACCCTAAAGCCTAACCCTGAACCGTCCCGTTGGGCATGCATCAGAGGGGTGCGGGGTCAGGACTTCCCCACCATGGTCCGGCTGCTGAAGAAGAAGTACGGTGAGGCGGTGGTATAGTATAAGGGAGTGTCCGGAAAAAAGGGTGTACCTTACTTTGGGATCCTTATAAAAAGGATCCTACTATTTCGGGTACTATATTGGGGTCCCCATTTTCGAACTCCCAGATAGCAGATAGCATAAGAGAAACAAAGGGGTCTCTGTGGAACTGGGGGCCACCCGTATCCCGAATAACACGAATCGTACCACTTAGGGTTTGCGTGAGGTCCGACAGTCTCTGCAACTCCCGCATAGTAGCATCATTGAATGCTCATCTGGGTCTTCAGTCCAGGAAAGCATCTCCGTCGGACACTCTGCTACGTTTGACGGACGCAATTCGGCGGTATCCACAGCAAGGAAAATACCATGATTCCCGCATATCGTAGGCTCATTAGCATCGTCATGCAGCATCTCCCCGAGGGTCCAAGTGCCGTTTACAACTGCATGAGAGAATCCACCAAACACTAGCCTTCGTGAATAGCATCCCGAGTTCATGCAAGTACGTATGAGGGTCATTTGGACAATTGAGGCCCGCGGGGCAACGCAGCCCGGTGTAAGAGCCTATATCAGCCCTCCAGAACCCCTTCAGCATGGGGTGTTTCTGTACTTCAGCCGTATCTTTCACTGGACAGCTCTTGGAGCTTCCGGGCTCTCGGCTTTTGGGGCTTTAATGTAGGAACCTGATTAAGAAACCTTGGGCCTTTATTAGGGTTCCTTATATGAATCCCATTGTTTTGGTGTTTTAGGGCCAGGATTTCTTAATCAGGTCCCTACATTAGGCTTTACAGGCTTGTGGGTGTGGGGTTTACTTGGGAGGAAGTTCGAAGTTTCGATGTTGCAGGACAGAAGCTGTGCTCACCGCACAGCCTAGACCGCAAAATGGAGCTCAAGGGGCTTGTTGCTAGTGTTGTCATCGGAGTCGTTAGTAATATCATCCTGAATAGTTGTTATCTGTTTCTTACTATAATTCAGGCCCCAAGTCATGTTACGACTATTCAGATTCAATCTCCGATGCTACTGGCTTTCCCAGCCTGTCTCGAACATCACCGACTCCGTGGCGCCGTAAAGTCTTCAGGAGAGCGAGACCAGCACGGTAGGAACCGGTAACCTGTGACGCTTCAGCGCTAGCCTAAACCTTCATCTTCAAGCTCTGGCTCAACCTTGGCTACACTGATGGACCCCATATTAAACCCTAGTTTGCCCTGATAAGACCCATGTTAAGCCCTAGCTCAACCCGTATGCAACTCCTACTCACCCTTGATGCCATTCCTAGCCCCTGCACCATCCTACACCCCCAAATTCAAGTCCTAGCAACTCCTACGCTATCCGCAGTGGAGTCGACTCTCGCCTCCTTTCAGGCTCCTAAGACGACGCAGAAGCCGAAACCGACGAAGGACGCACACAGAAAGGGAGAAGGGAAAAGGGGGAGGGTGAAGAGAGTTGGGATCCCTGGTTTAGGGGCCACCATTACAAGTCCTTTGTTTTTTTTGTGTCTTTTTGGGGCGGGTCTTCAAAATTGAGACTCCCAAAGAAGCTTTCACGGGTTCGGGCTTTAAGAGTTTAGGGCTTACGGGAATGTACGCAAGCTAAATACATGTGCTTAGAAACGAGTCCAAAAACTGGATGCGAGCCTATTGTGCGGCCGTGACTGGCCCAAACCCTGAACCCTAAACTCCAATCCCTAACCACTGATTCTTTATGAGATCAGGGTTACTAAGCAGCAAATCATTCAGACACGGCAGGCTTTTGGGTTCATTCCATTGCTGGAACCGCCGCCCTCAAATAGGATTTTGGAGTCCGGAGTTTAATTTTGAGAGTGTAGAGCTCGAAGATGTAGCGTTAGGCTTTCTAAATCCCCGGCTTGGCCGACTTCACACAGCTTCACATGTTCATCCTCAGTGTAGGAACTCTGTCTTGCCGTCATATTGCAGGAGGCCGACAGCGCCAACGCAGGAGGCATCGAAGTCCCGAGACGCCAAACCCCACGGTCTAAGTCAGCCTTAACAACTCTGAGACCCCCTAAACCCTAAACCCTAAACCCCTAAACCCCTAAACCCTAAACCCTAAACCCCTAAACCCTTAACCCTAAACCCCTAAACCCCTAAACCCCTAAACCCCTAAACCCTAAACCCTAAACCCCAAACCCCTAAACCCTAAACCCTAAACCCTAAACCCTAAACCCAACCCTAAACCCTGAACCCAGGGTTGGGGTTTGAGATTTGGGGTTTGGGCTCAGAACTTTCCAGGAACTTGGATCATGCAACAATCCCCGAATGCCTGCGATTCGCTAGGGAATGGCTGGCAATGGGCCAGGGTACCCATAGCAGCAGTATCAGTAGCGGGTGTGCACGATGATCAGAAATCGCCCTAAACCCCAAACTCCAAACCCTAAACTCGAAACTCTAAGCCCTACAAAACAGACCGTATCCCTAAACCCTAAGCCATCTCAATCTTGCAGGCGCTTGTACCGCCCAGAAATCCAACCCTAAGCCTTCCTTCTCTGGCAGCACTTTCTACTGTAAACCTCGTAAAAATTGAAACTCCGGTTTACGGCCAAAGAGTGCTGGGAGTCCCTCTACATGACTGTTAGGATTGAACTAGTTGGGTTTCCAACTTTTGGGCCTTTCAGGGGAAGAATTACCAGTACTCATTCTTGCTGAAGGTTCCTTGTTATATATACCACCGAAACCCTATACTAATCATTCAGGCCCATACTGGCGACTATAGTGTAGTCCACCCCGCAAGCCCTGTTCTAACTACTGAGGCCCCTACATGATGTCCTTGAGTTCTAGAGGATCTCTAAGCTCCGGTCTCGTCATGTCTTTGTCGCAGGTCTTAAGTGGGAGTTTCCGAAAACATCGGGGACCCTAATACCCTAAATAGTAGGATCCTTATAAAAAGGAGCCCAACATAAGGCACCCCTTACTTTCGGAAACTCCCAAGCCTCATTCTACAATGCTGCTCGGCTCACGTGGCCGTGACCACCGAGTTCGAAACCCCGGAAAACCCTTAGATCCCCACTACCCAACCTTTAGACTTTTTGGGCTCTTATAGTTTAGTAGGAATCGGAAACTTTAGCCTTTTGTTTCTGTGGTTTTTCGGGGGACTAAGAACCCTTTCAGATCCCACATCCTAAGCCCTTGAAGCGGCGTGACTCAAATCTTAAACCTTAAGTCCTTGATCTTCGAGCCGGAGCTCCAAACCACCCTAAACCCTAAACCCAAAACCCTAAATCCAAAACCCTAAACCCAAAACCCAAAAGCCAAAACCCTAAACCCTAACCCCTAAACCCTAAACCCTATCAGACTTCAGACCCGTCCGTTACTTGGGGGTTAAGCTTTGGCGGTTGGGAAACTAAGCAGCGCAGCAAGCGGAAAGAACTTGAGTCGGCCCAAATCCCAGGCCCCCACCGCAAGGCGGTAAAACTAATAATAATGATGACACTAATACTACTAACAATAATGATAATCGTATTTTTTTAAAGCCTAGCACTGAGCCCTTGTGCCCGACGTCCAAACATTGCAGTCTGAATTCCACCAGAAACCCTGCATGTACAGGATTCAGACCTCTGACATTCTGAAGGCAGCCAGAGGCATGCAGCGAGAGCTGTGAGTTAGAATCTCCAGTCTTCCGGGCTGCCAGGCAGGCCGGTTGGCTTCACTACCGACCTGACGACAAAGGCCAGCTCCAGCTTGCCGGGGACCAGGCTTGGACCTGCCCGAAGGGAGCTTGCCGCTCGTGAGCCAGCGACTGCCTCCGCCAGATGGAACGAGAGCCCTCTCCCCTGCGCCTGCGACCCTGCCGGACCATCTCAAGGAATTTTGCGTGGTCCACGAGAAAACCACGGCGGAGGTGTGGCAGAATGCGGCATCTGCTTCACTCCCATGCTGGAGGCCCCAAAGCCGACACCCCCAAAAAACTATTACGACACCATAAGATCTCTGAAGACACCAACCAGCAACCCCAACAAGACACAGAAATCTTGCAAGCCCTAAACCAAAAACCTTGGGGAAAGAAAGCAAGCGCCAAAAGCCGTACCCTGGGCCAGGAGGGCAAGGCAAGGCTGGACCTAACCTCGAGGCCTGGGAGCCACGGGCTGTTTGTTTGTTCTTTCTTCTGGTGCTGCTGGTAGCTGGCGTTCTTCATTTTATTGTTTGCTTGTTTTTTTTTGTGAGTGCTTGGTGGTGTATCGATTTTTTTTGTGTTGGTCTTCAGGTTTAGGGTTTGGTGGTTAGTGCTTGAAGACGCTCTAAAACGCATGGTCCAAACTGTAAACTTTAAGCTGTATCATTGCGTTGGAGGGGTCCTCTGTAATCGATTTATCAGTGCTGTTGGGGCAGATTGGTGGGGTTCTTGCGTTCTTGGGTCAGATGGGGCAGCCTTTGTGTATGGTTTTTTATATTTTATGAACAGAATGGAATAGAGCATAATATGATGTGTGTGTATACATATATAGATATGTGTATACATATATAGATATGTGTATACATACATATATATATATATGTTTATACATTCACGCGCACGTACTTGCTAGAAGGAAACTTGAGAAGGACCCTCGGACCCTATTCTAGCTATGAAGGCCACTATATCATAGAACCCTTGTAGTGGCCCTTTAAAGGAACCCAAACAGTAACCAGTACAGGTCGGCAACCCCCTCAGCCCCTAAAACCCATATTCCCGAACCCCCAAACTTCTTGGCCTACCCAACCCGTCTTGACCCCTAAACCTTTAAACGGCTAAACCCTAAATCCTTCAGCGCAGCGGAGGCGGCCTCATTAGAGGAGCTCAAGCGCGAGCTCGAGAGGCGGGTGGTTTAGGTTGCAAAAGAGGTTCCCTTTTCACAAGGGCTTCCTTCAAGGCTTCTATGATGGGTTGCCCTTTCGGGTTTCCTTTCAATCGAGTTTAAGGGTTCCTTGAAGGCTTCTATGATGGGTTCCTTTGAAGGGTTCCTCGCGGATTAGGGTCTAGGGCTTTAGGACGGTTCAGGGGTTTACGGGGTGTTGGCGTGCAGGGGTGTCTGGTTTCGAGTTTAGGGTTGCGGGGGTTAACTTATGGTTACGGTTCAAGGACAGTTCAAGGATTTAAAATCTAGGGTTTAAGCCTCACTGCGAAACCCTTCGCCGCTGTGAGGTTTTCGGGTTCAGGCTTTTCGGGCTTAGGAATAAGGGATCGTTGCACTAATCCTCCTAAATCCATGTTCCAACTTTCTGGCTTCTACTATAAGGTTTTCGGGTTTTCCGGGAGGCTCGAGAGCCAAGGCCCTCGGCAGAAGCAGTCGATGTGGTGGTGGTGGCGGCGGTAGCAGTCTCAATTAGCTTGACGTTACTTCTAGCAGCAACGGTTCTGATAAGACTACCAAATTAAACATTACGACGCGCTCGCTGAAATCTTGCACTGGAGAAGACGCCAGTAAATTCTTAACCCCAATAAATCCCTGAGTCCTGAAACGTGAACCGCAAAAGCGCTAATCCTTCGACATCCAGGCGTGAAGAGGATGCCGCAGAAATGAAGGCAGAGGAGGAGGACCTTTCTTAATTTGTGTGACCGTGGAAGCAGAGGCTGTGGGATTCCAGTGGGGTGTCTGCTAGGATTTGTCCTCTAAGGTAAGAAGGCTGGGGTTGTCGCTGACGGCTTGGAGAGTTTGGGAGCTTCCTGGTTGTTCAAAAACTGCCATCGGTGCTTACTGGGGATTGCACGGTGTGCGTGTGTGTGTGTGTGTGTGTGTGTGTGTGTGTGTGTGTGTGTGTGTGTGTGTGTGTGTGTGAGCACCTCTTAGCAAGTGTCTGCAGGGTTTCCTGGCAATCCGTCGGATTTGCCATTGAGCCTGGCGATGTCGATGCTGTGTTTTGCGTTCTAGGGTTCGCACGCCGAGCCTTATCTGGCCGTCGACTATAGGGGCCTAAATAATTACCTATACTATTTTGGGGGTTCCTTACAATAACTAATTATAGTAGAATGGGCCCCAAAGCACTGTTCTAATTATTAAGGCCCCAATTGAGATCCCTCAAAGGAACAAAGTATAGCACCTTTTACAAGGATCCCTTTACAAGGATCCCCATTCAAATGATCAAGGCCCTACATTTGCATGTTTTGTTTTGCAATCCTTTTGGGGCGATTCTGCCTCTGCGAATACCGCAAATTGCTGGCTCAGTCAGAGGGTCAAAGCCAAAAGCCCGAAAGGTTTAGGGTTTAGGGTTTAGGGTTAAGAATCTGAGCCGCAACTGAAATCATCGTAGAAGCCCCATGGCACTGTTTCAGGGTTTAGGGTTTAGGGGTTAAGAAGCACAAAAAGAGCCAGAGGCGCTTTCAGCTCAAGTTGGAAACTCCAGTGCTAAATCCATGGCCTTCCGTGTGGAACTCCGGAATGCTCTGAAACTTGGCAGCGATTTGGGAGTTTCCGAAAATAGGGGTACCTTATTTAGGGGTTCTTATAGTAAGGATCCTACTATTTAGGGTACTATATTAGGGTCCCCTATTATCGGAAACTCCCATTTAGGGTCTAGGGGTAGGGTTTAGGGTTTGGGGTCTCGGGGAGTTCACCGGCAATATGCGAACAGATTGGGATTTCGGGTTTGGGGGTTACCTCTAGTCTCCACTGTACTTCCTTTTTTTGGTATAACCAAACATATAAGTAGGATCCTATAAGGAAACCCCAAAAAGGAACTACAATGGAGACTATAGGTAGTTTAGTGCTGGGGCGGGATGAGGGTCGCGCTTTGTCATGAAGGAATGCTCGCATCCCAACATAATCCCGCTGGTGAATCTTGACAGTCCTAGGAAACTGGACGAATACTGTCTGGTTCTTAGTAGGGAAAGGGGGAAAGGATCCCTATATGAGTTCCTTCAGGGTCGCTTCTTGTAGTCCCTATAACCCATTCCCCCACTCCCTACTGGGAACCAGACAGAATCAGGAGTGCCGAGCTACTTACCGAGCTGCAGCAGGAAGGGCCATGTCTTGTGGGAGTTGTTCAGGGCCATCTCGCCACTATGCTCCGCGATGATGCCCGCCCGGTCTTGGTGTTGCAGGGCTCTCACCTGACCTCCATGGATGTCCTTCGAGAGGACGTCTCTCTGGAAGTGGTTCGGCGGACTGTGACGGAAGCAGCTGCCAGGAGCCTGCAAGAGGCTCGCACCACCGTTGGCGAGCTCAGCGCAGGTAACATCAAAGAGATCACGGCTCTGAAAGTCCCGCCGCGGGTCTTGCTCCACGTACTGTCGGCTATTTTGGCCTTGATGGGGCACAAAGAGCCTTCATGGGAGTCTGTGCAAGAGTTTCTACGTGGCCCTGAACTGCCAAATCTCATCGCCCTCGAGCCCCACCAAGTTAGCTGGGAGAGCCAGCTCGCCGTGCAGCAGATGGTGGAGGAACACCCCGACACTTGGTGCCAATTTGGGATAATCTAAGATTTTCTGGAGTCTTCTGCACCTTCTAGCCTACCTTTGGTGCATAAGCCCCTAAACTTCCATAACTGACGACCCAGGACAGTTTCAAGCACGAGGAGATCAATCGATGCTCCCTGGTGGGCGCCGGCTTCGCGGCCTTGGTCAGGGCCTTTCAAGCCTGCTGGGCAGGCGATTCGGCGTAAAGAACTGGGCTGTGGAGTACCATACTTTAAGACTTTTGTTGGGACCTGATACTTAATGGGAGCCAGTTACTTAGTGGGAGCCACTATGAGATAAAAGTCTATACTTTTTTCTCCCTGGGTACTTCGAAGCTCAGAGAAGGACCTGAAGAAGTAGAAGCATAGGGTTTAGGGTTTAGGGGTTGCAAAGGGTCCCCTGACACATGTATACAATATAGACCCACCAGCAGACAATGAGATGTCTTGGGAATCCCGTTAGATTGAGAGATATTGACCGTATAAAGCTCCGTTCAAAGTTCAGTCCCATCTACAAGAGTCTTAAACCTTTCAACTCGCTTCAGATGTCGCCATCCTTTTTGGGCGGACTCTAGGGCCTCTGGGGAGGCGCTGGAGTTTGTGGCAGATCTGCGAGAGGGGCCGCCAAAAAGAGTGAGAGTATTCCAGGGTTTGGGTTTAGGGGTTCCCATGGAAATCACGCAATCACACCATAGCCTGCCTCAAAATCGGGTTCTTGTTAAGGGATTTAATGAACCATATTATTCACAAAAGGTCCTTCTTACGGTAGCTTAGTTGTAGTCCCTTAACAAGACCCCAGAAAACCCTATTCTAACTATGAAGGAGCCTGTACCGGCTTGATTTAGGCTTTCCTGTTCCCATGGCTCTGACTCACAGACTCTGCCTTGCGGATGAAAAGGGCTTACCCCTTGGTTCTAGGGCTCCGCACTGTTACTAACGACCCCTTGCCCGATTCGTCCTCCTCCGGCTCCCCCTGCAAGCACCCGACCCTGAAGGCATGGTGAGACTAGCTTTTCTCCCTAAGCCCTACACCCCGAAGGGCCCTGTCAGGGGTATCGATGATAGAATTCTCGCACGGATTCTCGTCTTGGCTTGGGGTTGAGGCTACTGGATCCCGAACCCTGTCCCTCCCAAACCCCACGCCCGAGAAGCACTACCCTGCTCCTAGAATGCCCTGCATTGTCCGAAGCTCGGGGCAATATTTCTGTAGGGTGTTTGTGTTTGGGGGGGCGGGTGTGTGGGGGGGGGGGGTCGTTTCGGGTTTAGGGGTTGAGGTTTAGGGGCTTCTTTAAACCAAACGAGAGCAAAGCTTTGCATACGCCATGATGACAACAGCAGAAAACCACCATAAGCCATACCTGTGATGGTGTATGTAAACACTCGTGGTAGCAGGAGGAACGATCGCCGGACTAGGTGTACCCGAAACCCTAGACCTTGCACCCAAGTAGAAACGGTTTAAACTTAGAGTTTGTGGTCTTCATCTTGCAGATCCTTCGAGCAGGAAGCTTCAAGGGGGGCCTCAGAGCCGAAGCAAGGTAGATGGGGTGTAGGCTCTTCGGATTTTGGGTGTAGGGCTTCGGGCAGAACGTTTAGTGCTTCGGGCTCTGCATGGTTCCAGGCCCAGGGTGTACAGTAGAGATACCTGAAAGGGCTTTCGGCCTTGAGCATGATAACTACGATCCCGGAAATAGTCACTAGGATCTCCAGTAGTACCCTTATTCCCTTTTTGTAGTCCTAGGTTCCTTATAAAGTTACCCAAGACCAAAAGAGAGGCCTTTTTATTCTTAGGTTACTGGGTATCCTAGGTCACTGTCTAATCAAACCTGTAAGTTGCTATGAAACCCAGTGTTACGTTTTGACATCTCGGCGTGTGCAGAAAAGCTTTCAGAAATGCCCTACGGGCTGTGTCTAGTTTTTTGAACCCCAACCCCTATAGCTAAAACCCTGAAAACCCTAAACCTTGAGCCCTACACCCCGAACCTTGACCCCTACATCCCAAGCCCGAAGCCTTAAACCCTAGGCCCTAAGCCCTTAACCTTTCTTGGCTTCGGGGTCTGAGCCACCCCAACCCTGGACATGACCAACTCCAGCTTGTGCAGTGCCTCAGTTCAAGCGGCCAGCCTCCTTGTCTTATGAGCTTGATACAGCGCGCCCGTCCAAATCCTACGCCAGCTGCTTCCACAAGGACACCAAAATTGCTCATGGGTACGTCAAGTGACTCGCACCAACAGAATAAGAAAGATCGACTGCCACGGTATGACATTCATTGCACACTTGGCGCAATTCCTGCTGCGTGAGTCCTTCTGCGCGTGCTTGGAACCGCGCTGCTGCTCGACAGGGCAGCCACATGTCGATTACGTTGCATGTGTCACTCCTGAGCGGTCACGAGACGTCTCTATCTGCTGAGCCTGAGACCCGAGTGGAGGACTTGTCAGCACAGCAAGCGACCATGAGGTTTTTTTTGAGGTATGACTTATACACTGTGTTTGATACCTGTATACGACCCCGGACACCCCACCTATACCACATATATATATATATATATATATATGGATACACCCAAGCTTTAGCTTCCTAGCAAGTTGGACAAGAAGAGGAGCTACGGCGGAGGGTTCAGCTGGAGCTGGGTATTGGCCCCTGTCGCTTAGTCGCAGCGGGGGAGGTGCTTCAGCCTCGGGCCACGTTGAGTGAGCAAAAGCTGACGGATGCTATGCAAATTGTGGCCGTCCTTCGCCAGCCCGAGATCGTCTCGACACGCCGCTCCACCTCGATGGCCTTGCTGACCGGGGACGGGTCCGTGCTGACCTGGGGTGATCCGGAGCGGGGCGGCGACTGCAGCGCCGTCCACGACCAGCTGGTGCATGTTGAGAGCCTCCACGCCGCCCCCGGCGCCTTCGCTGCCATCTTGGCAGATGGGTCACTGGTCACTTGGGGAGAGGATCTGGCCGACACTATGCCGGTGAAGCATCTACTGAGGAATATTCGTTCAGTCCATTCCACGGGCTTTGCTTTTGGGGCCATTGTAGACGATGGCTCCGTGGTTTCATGGGGTCATGAGCTCTTTGGTGGGCGGGCGCCACCGAAACTCACCAACGTCAGGCGGAGTTGTAAAGTAGGAGAGCTTTCCAACATTCTCTTCTTGCACTGATTCGGGTTTAGGTTTTGGTTGTCAGGGTGCATCTGTTGCGCTTCTCCAGTGGTCGATATGGTCAGGCTAAGCGGCATCTCGAAGAGAAGCTTCGTGCAAATCTGCAGAGGGGTCAAGGTGTAGCATCCGCGAAGCCCTGTGAAAATTGGGAATGAGCTCAAGGTCACAACCAAAGAGCATCAAACCTCAACCGTAAGCCCCCCAAGCTTAAACCACTCTTAGCCTACTATAGGCCTCAAATCCGATCTATATCCGAGGAGACGAAGGCTTCAATACAAGTCTATACAGACTAGAAGGAGCCCTATAAATACAACCCTTCCAAAGCTCTGTAAAGCTTTTGGAAGCCAAGAACACAATCTTAGGGAGAACAAGAAAAAGAACTGTATTGAACCCACTAAAACGAAATCCAGACAACTTCAACCCCCACGCCCCTTCAAAAAGACAGCAAACACGCACACAAGCCCTAAATCCCTCCCCCTAAACCCTAAACCCTAAACCCTAAACCCTGAACCCTGAACCCTGAACCCTCAACCCTGAACCCTAAACCCTACCCTAAAACCCTAAACCCCCACCGCCCCCACAGGAAGCTCCTGGGTTCCCTTACGACCTTTGCTGCGCTTCGAAGCGATGGGTCGGTAGTGGCCTGGGGCGAAGATGGGCGCCACGAGATGTGGGAGCAGCTGAGGATTTGGGGATGTTTAGGGCTTGGAGTGTGGGAGTTGGGGCTGTTAGGGGGAAGCAGGCACATAAAGAACCTGGTAGACACATCCATGGGACGACCATGATTACGTCCACCCAGATCTCATCTGACCTCATCCGTTCCCAGAGCTTCCATCCAACCATGACAGCGACCACGCAGACCTCATCGTTCCTCAAGGCTTGCATGGACCAGCCATGATAACGTCCACCTGGACGTTTTCCGTTGCCTCGCGCAGCCGTGGACCAAATATGACAGTTTTAGCATCCACCCAATTTCATCCGTTCGCCAGAGCATCCATGGATCAAGCATGAGGACGTCCACGGCAAATGTCATCCATGCCCTAGAGCTTCCATAGGCCAACTATGATAGCGTCCATGCAGACCCCATCCGTTCCGCAGAGCATCCATGGACCAACCATGACAAGGTCCAACCACATCGCATCCGTTGCTCAGACCCTCCATGGGCCAACACTGATACTGTTTGCCCAGACTTCATCCGTTCCCCAGATAACGTCCGCCCAGACGTCATCCGTTCCCAAGATCCACGGGCCACCCAGACCTCATTCGTTCAAACACCCAAGCCCGCAACATACAGCGTTGGCACTAAAAGCATCGACTGGCGCAAGACTTTGTTCCCCCTTCTCCCCATGCAAATCATGGAAAAGAGATCAATCCTGAATTGTTTAGATACCTCTTTGCGTCCGTGCGGATGTACCAACTGCCGCTTCGGCAAGTCTTCATCAGATTGCGGCTGGCATTTTGTAGTTTCGTCCTGCTGTCATGCCTTCCAGACTGTTAGCCCAAGTAGTATCATATGTGCACAATCACAAACCTCCAGCTTTCGTGGATGTTTAGATACCATCCTATGCTTTCCTAATTCCCCGGTTGTCGGCCTAACCACGTATTTCCGAAGACGAAGTGCCCAAAACCCAACCGAAAAACACACCGCATGCATTTAGTCTCCAGGTTTTTTGTGTGCCTGCGACCTTTTAGGGGGCAGTTGGGGTTGAGGGCCTGGGATTTGGGGGAGTTGGAGTTTACGGAGCGGTTGAGGACGTTAAAGACTCTTCGGGGTTTAGGTTTGGGGGGTTCAGGCCAGTGTCAGGGTTGAAGAGGAAGCATGATGATCGCAATGTTATACATCGTGGCAATGATTGTGGTTGTTCTCCTTTACGGTCATCATGGTGAACAGGATTCTGATGATGATGGTAACGATGATGTTGTGACTGGGGATCATCAAGATGATATTTGTGATGGTGATGACGAGGTGATGATCAGGATGCGGATGATGCTGTTTGATTCCGGTGCAGTGATAGTTGGCTTGGAACGTGTCTTAAGTTCGTCGTCTCAGGTTAAGACTGTTTGCAGTTAATATAGGGGCCTAAATAATTGCCAATGCTATTCTGGCGTTCCTTATATTGTAATGAGAGAGAGAGAGAGAGAGAGAGAGAGAGAGAGAGAGAGAGAGAGAGAGAGAGAGAGAGAGAGAGAGAGAGAGAGAGAGAGAGAGAGAGAGAGAGAGAGAGAGAGAGAGAGAGAGAGAGAGAGAGAGAGAGAGAGAGAGAGAGAGAGAGAGAGAGAGAGAGAGAGAGAGAGAGAGAAAAAGAGAGAGAGAGAGAGAGAGAGAGAGAGAGACTTAGAGTTATACTATGCCCCACAACCCTATTCTAATTCTTAAGACCCCTATATCATAGCGCCCTTGTAGATCCCTTATAGTAGCCCTTATAGACCCCTCTACAGGAGCCCTATTCTAAGTATCAAGGCCCCTGCATTACGCTGACCCAGAGACTCCAATATCCCTGAATTAAGGAATATTACGTAAATCGTATTGGGTATCTTACTATAATTTAAGGCATATTCCTTGACTAAGGGATATTGGAGTCTCTGGGCCCCTGGGAGGAACGTGCTTGACATCCAGGCGACCGAAAGCGCTTTTGCTGCGCTGTGGCGAGTCCGTTCTTGAACATTTTCTTTTATTGTAAGGGCTCAGAGTCTAGGGTTGAGGGGTTTAGGGTTTTGCAGAAAATTCGTGAGAATGAACTCGTTTTAACAGGTTCGGACTTGACGAACAGCCAAGGTCTTCAGGTTCCGTGGTGGCTTGGGGCCATCCTCTTTATGGCGGTGTTCTGGACGAACGGCTTCAAGGCCTTCACAAGGTGGGTTCAAACCCCAAACCGCCAGACCTAAATCCTAAACCCAATCAGCGCAAATTCCGCGACCCTGTAGGGCTCTGGCTCTTCTTATTGTTTCCATTCTTCTTCATATTCTTATCTTTGCTAGTTGTCCTGCTCAAAGTGTCGGAGTTTCGGAAAATTGGGGGCCGAACATGGAGCCTGGAGAGTGGTAACGCCAATTTGGAGCTAAATATCTGCCTGGAGGGTGCGAGCAGCAGGTGCAGCAGATCTACGCCACTGATGGGGCCTTTGCAGCAGTAACGGAAGATGGTTCTGTTGTGGCCTGGGGGGATGCTCTGTCCGGTGGCGACGTCAACGCCTCTCGGTAGCCCTGCGCTGATTCGCGTCTGTATGAGGAGCATATATGTATAGTCAGGATAGGCAGAAGAAGTCTTCATTGTGCTAAGGGTAGTCGAGGATGCAAGGCGAAGGCCAGGCAGGGCAGAACAGTGCCTGCACCCAAAGCACCCAAAGCCCTAGACCCCAACTCCTTAAGCCCAAAATATCCTCAACCTCAAATCCCTGCATTCAAAGCCAAGCACCGCCAAGGTCCCTGAGCCGGTCCAAGTGCCTGGGCTCGTGTTACGGATCTTCTCCTGAACCCCAAGCCGCTACAAGGCCCCTAAATCCTAAACCCCTAATCCCCTGAACCCTAAGACCCCCAACCAACCCCTAAGCGCTAAACCCCCTAAGTGTCAAGTTCTGGCTCTGACAACGCTTTGGGGTTCGGCGTTCGGGGCTGAGCAAAAGTTGCCATGACAAGGTAGGCTTTGATTTCACTATGTTTTCATGGCTATATAACTAGATAACAATATCAGATATCCCTCGTATGGCAACTTACACTAGCTCGTGAGCCCGTGTAGCACCCTTGCAATACCTTCATAAAGGTCAGATCAAGTCAACTCCTATATGCAGGCCCAAACCCTAAACCCCATAACACCGCCAAGCCCCAAAACCGCAAAACCGCCAAGCCCCAAAACCCCAAAACCCTGTAACCCCAAAATAAAAGCCCTAAACCCCAAACCCTAGAGTTCGGCCTCTTCGTACGGGCAAGGGTTTAGGGCTTTGGAGTACCATACTTCATTCACTTTTTTTGGATCCGCTAGCTAAAGGAGCCAGGATGAAATTCAAGTTTGTCATCTTCCTCCCCGCTTACTTCGAAGCCCCGGGTTGAGGGTTTAATTTATTAAGGTTTAGGGTACACCAAACCTTAATCCCATCTAAACCCTAAGCGCCTCAGCTCTAAACCCTAAACCCGTAAGGGCCTCAGCCCTAAACCCAAGAGCGCCCAGGAGCAGCTACACGACGTGCAGAGCATCGCAGCCTCCGCAGCCGCCTTCGCCGCGCTTCGGGCGGACCACACCGTGGTGGCCTGCACGGCTTTATACTAACCCAAGGTTTCCCCAGAGGGCTCCTTAGAGGGTTCTGTAAGGGTTCTACAATAAAGGGTTTAGGAGCTTGAGGAATCAGGATTTGATCAGCCTTGCTACGTAAAGTTTTCCTTTAAAAGGGGTTGGTTCTAAGGTTTCATAGGGCTTCATACAGTGTTTAATCATGGGGATTTAGTAAGCTGGTTAGACTTGGGTGCATACGTACCATAGTTGGGATCATCTTGTTGATGACCGTGTGAAAGCCAACGAACAACGTGCCTTTGATTCTTTCGTCGGGGATGCGATTTCGACCCCAAACCACCTATCAACTAAATCCAAAACCCGATGCCCTACACCCCAAAGCCCAAGACCCTCAAAACCCTAAACCCTGAGGCCCTAACCGCCAAATCCGAAGCTAGGTACCGATATCTTGAACCCGAAAAGCATTGCAGAAGCTCTAGACTTACACCGTTTAACCTTTAAGCCCAAGGTTTACAGAACTTCCGGGGTTTAGGGTGTAGGCTTTAGGGTTTAGGGCTAAATCCTGAACCCTAAGCCCTAAACCCCTGTCGTACGAAGGTAACCTGGGGCTGCCCCGAACTTGGTGGCGACAGCTCCGCAGTGACTGGGCTTTGGGAGGTTTCACGTATTGATCAGGGTTTATAGGGTTTTAGGGTTTAAAGTTTAGGCGGGGCTTTTGAAGGGCTGGGCTTTTACAGCGGGTTCCAGAGTTTATGAGGCTTTCATAGGGCTTTTCTCGGTTTTGTTTATGTTGGTTTAACAGGGTTTAGGGTTGAGGAACTCCACCGTAAACCCTAAGCCGTGATTTTGCCCTTGGTTTCGGTGCTTGAAGTTCAGCTCTGTCAACGAGAGCCCAGGTCAGGGCGCAGCTGAGGGACGTCACGCAGGTGCTCGGAAGTCAGGGGACAGATCCTGAACCCTAAGCCCCCAAGGACCCTAAGCCCTACCCCAGGCCTTAAACTCCGAGGCCCCTAAGAGCCCTAAACCCCGAGGCCCCTAAACTCCCGAAGGCCCGGTAGGACCAGGAGTTAGAACAGGCCCCTGTATATCAGAGCTCCGAGATTAAGGGTTTAGGGTTTAGGGTTTAGGGTTTAGGGTCAAGAACCATATAAGGGAATGCACCCTGAACCCTAAACCCTTCAGCCCTGCAGGTTTGCGCCTCAGCCATGTCTTTCGCTGCCCTGCGCGCGGACGGCTCGGTGGTTGCATGGGGCAATGCCGACTTCGGGGGGAGCTGCGCTGCAGTGCAAGGCCCGAGTTTTTGAGGGTTCAGGGCTTGGGGTGCAGGGTTGAGTGTGAGGATGTGGGTTGGGCTTGAGCCTCGATTCTTAGGAGTCTCTTTGCCTCTTGGCACCGATATAACAGAAGGCATCCGAAGGGCGTGCCAAGCTTCTTTAGGCCACAAGATCTATCGTTGCAAGGCATTGGACCTGACGGTGGCTGGACACAATCCTGTAATACGTGGCACACTACTGACTAGAGGAACTACGGTATATTCCGAGTTAATCATGGCTATTGCAACGGTGAGGTGCAGGCTTTCTGCCTGGGGTTGTTCGAGATCCCCTCACGTCGTCGGTAGGATCCGTACAGAAGCCTTCCCATTCTTATCAAGCTCGACTGCCTAAACAAGGCCACTTCCCCCACCAGCTTAACCCGGAAGGTTTCAAAAGCCTAAGCCGCCTAAATCCGAAACTAAAGCCTGAACGAGGCCAGCTGCACAACGTCCAGCATCTGGGTGCATCGGCAAATGCTTTCGTCGCTCTGGTAGCCGATGGCTCACTAATCGCCTGGGGTGACCCCGCGGTCGTCGAGACTGCCCCGGCGTCGTGGAAAATCGCTGGGTGGTCCTTGCACCCGAAGCCCTAAGCCCGGACCATAAGGTAGGGGTTTCAGTATGATAGTTCTGGTAGAAAATACCACAAAACCATGCTCTAGTTCTTCCGACCACTATATTCGGCACTTGCCAAAAAGGCAGAAGCTAGAAGCCCCGACGTTCAATCAACAAGTCAATACCTGGCCCCAGAAGTATGTAGAAGAACAGCCTTGTCTTGGTGTTGCTTCAGCCATAATAGCAATAATAATACTAATATCAATAGGTAACAAAGCACTGTGTAATTTCACTTCAACTACTTTTCAGGGTTAGGTCATTTCGCTGCGAGGAGACGCGGCTGAGCAACAACCCCTGCACGCTCTACCGGAACCGGACGGCCGGTGCGATCGAGCGCGTCGTCATCGTCGGAGGCTCTCGGACGAGGGTTGAAAAGCGTCGGTCTAGGGTTTAGGGGTTTGGGGGTTTAGGGTTTAGAAAAGGCTGTAGCCTAGGGGCCTTGTAACAATTTCCTACACTCTTGTTTTTTGACGGGGGGATTCCTTACGATATTTGTAGTACAATGGGCTCCAGAACCCTATATTAAACGGGTCGATTAGGATTCTTATCGCACTTGATGTTGGCTTCATACGATCGTTTGAGCGCTTTTGCGGAATTTTAACAGGGCGGTATGAGGCTTTGAATCCGGGTGTACACACCGTGTATTTAAATTCCAAAGACATGTGTGCCCTCAGTTCTGATCCCGGACCCCAACTCCGTAAACCTCCATCCCTGAACCAGAAGTCCTGAATCGTAAATTTGAATCTCCGAGCCTGAAACCTAATCCGGCGAAAAACCGCACCGGCCACGTCGGAAAAGCGCACAGCCGAAACAGCAGATCCTGCACTCTCAAGCCTAAACCGATAACCTAGAACCCTGCATACCAAAAGCTTGAACGTGATACCAAAACCCAGATCCCGATGCCATGCCTTCACGCATCATTATGTTTGCTTAAACGAGGTTCCCTACTTTACTTACCTTTGGTTAGTAGGGAATGGAGGAATGGGGTACAATTATAACTACTATTCCTACCATTCTTCCATTCCCTACTAACCAAAGGTAAGTTTACAGGTACCGGGTTTCCTAAACCCTAAACTAAACCCTAAACCCTATACCCTAATCCCTAAACCCTGAACCCTAAACCCTGAACCCTAAACCCTGAACCCTAAACCCTAAACCCTAAACCGCATGTCGGGGGGTTGTTCCAACACTTAGAGCCGAGTTCGGAAGGTTCGGGTCCCCTGACAGAGGCTTCAGGGCCAGGTTTGGGGCTTAGGGTTTAGGGTTTAGGGTTTAGGGTATAGGGTTCAGGGTTTAGGGTATAGGGTTTAGGGTATAGGGTTTAGGGTTTAGGGTTTAGGGTTTAGGGTATAGGGTTCAGGGTTTAGGGTTTAGGGTTTAGGGTATAGGGTTCAGGGTTTAGGGTTTAGGGTTGTGCTCAGTTTCGGGGCATGGATATTTCGAAACAGGGGCAGAAACAGGTTTGGTACAATTGCTTTGCAAGGGAGTTTCAGTCTTGTAATATTGGGTCCTTAAGAATTCAAGCATGGCATGGTTTCGACATTATTCCAAAAATGTAGGGTGCGGGGCTCTTTGGGATGATATCTGTTGCACTAAGGGCCCCCAGCTTCAAATATTCGAGCTTGTAGCAGCCCCAGATGTGGTGACCTCCGCATTTAGCCTAGAGCCCAGATCCTGACCCGGGGAGCTAATCTAGCCCACATCTCCACCTACCCTTCTCCATGCTCTGAACCCCCCGAATATCTTTTTGGTTTAGGACCGTCATGAAGCCTTTAAGCCCTCAACCTTCAATCCTATACCCTATACCCTAAACCCTAAACCCCTAAAGCCCTAAACCCCAAACCCCTAAACCCTAAACCCCTAAACCCTAAACTGACGCCCGGTACCACCCTGGCAACTGTAAAGGGGGCCCAGCTGGCATGACGGCAGCCATCTACGCTGCGCGGGCACGCTGGGGTTTGGGTTTTGGTGCTCGGTTTTCGGGTTGGGTTTTTTCGAGTTAGCGGGTTTAGGGTTGATTTGGGCTTCGGGTTTGGGCTTTAGGATTTGGAGTGGTGTTTTGTTCGGGCTTAAGGTTCAGCTTCTAGGATGTGATTTTGGGTTTGTTTCGTTCTGTTATCCTCTTGACATACCCCTCACAGTTTCGGCCACACAACGCTGACTTCAGACACGAAGCCTTCAATATAGGGGCCTTAGTGATTTGAATAGGGTTTCGAGGCCCATTATATTAGAAATAAGGAACCCGCAAAATACGATTAACCAAAGCAGCCCAGAGACTCCAGAAGCCCGTTGGGTGCGGTTGGTGATGTTTATCGGGATGCCTCCCCCGGGTGCGATGTAGTCCCGGGGCTCACGAGGCACCTCAGTCGTGCTCGGTGTTTAGGATTGTGGGTTTGAGGTTTGGGGTAAAGGGTTTCGGGGCTCGGGTTGACTGGTCTAGGTCTCCGGGTCAGAGTTTACGTCACGCGGTCAAACCTCGACCAATCCAAGAATCAGCGTTCACTGGAAGTTGGAGCACATGGGTCAGGCGATTGCAAATCCAGCCTCTGAGGAAAGGTCACATCGAGTCGTTGACCTGCAGCATGTGGCTCGGTGCCGAGTACGAGCTCACTGACTTTGTCAGCGTTTTCTTGCCGCACACGGTCAAAGACAGAGTCGTGCAGTTCGCCAGCCATCCACGTGCTCTGTTGCACCTCCGTGCAGAATATGTACTTTGCATTCCATCACCTTGTGTTCCGAAGTCTGCGAAACCCGGAACGAACCCCAAATCCAAACTGTAAGCCCCAAACCCTAAACCAAATGCCCTCAGCCGATTCTTCTTGAAGCCAGGACTCGTAAACCGTGAAAGGCTCTCGGCAACGAAAGTAGCAGTACTACAGATGCCTGAATAATTTCAGTTTTCTTTTTGTAATGATATGAGGGAACACCCCAAGACCCTCTTCTAATTATTGAGGTCCCTGTATTATGTTATTCGGGTTCAGGAGTTTAGGACTTCGGACTTTGGGGTTCGGGTCTTCAGGGACTGTGGGGTCTACCTGAATCCAAAACCTTAAACCCTAATCTAGGCATGATCTGGGATAATTCTTGATTCCCGGTATTGTTTAACATAGAGCCCTCATTATCAATAATTTTGGGGACGATTGAAATCGACACCCAGTAGTCCCTAAACCCTAAACCCTATAGTTCGATTAGACAAAATGCCATCAGTCGAACCTCTGCCCGCTGGTGATCGCGCCGGCCATTGGCGGCCAGCTCATGGCCAAGGGAGCCACAGCCCCAGAGCAAAGCGAATTTTACTGTTAGGTTGTCAATACAGCCACCATCAAAGATATTCGCAATTGCTTTTATGTACTGTCTGAAAGAGTGCGCTAATAAGCGACTGCCGCAATGTTGACTGCATGGCCTAGAAGACTAACTTCTGATCGGATTCGGTGGATTGTTTATGGTGTTGTTTTTGTAGCTTTCAATGCTTCCTACGGTGAAGACTTGCGGGGTACCGAAAGGTCGGGAGTACCGACACGGAAGTATGATAAGGACTGGGGTACGAGGAGCGCGCTTGCTGCCCAATTCTGGGTTTCAGCAGTCGGCCTGCTGTGAGCCATGCGACATGACACCTTCATTGTTGGGTAGCTAGCTGTCGTCAGCCCAGGTGTGGAAAAAGGAACCCCAAAAACCTACGCAAAGGCCGCAAAGTAGTTCCTTTTTGGGGTTCATATATAGAATCCTATAAGGTAATCCCAAAAAGGAACTACTTTGGGGCCTCTGGGTAGAGGCACTGCTACAAGGCCTCCGTGCCTGCTCGAAAGCGCACGGGTAGTTGTAGCTGGTTGGAGTTAGGATGGCAAGTCGGCCAATCTTGCTAGGGCTATAGGTGTTACGGTCGAGGGCGTAAAGTAGATAAGGACACTAGGTAGGCCTTTGGGATATATTGTATTTCCCTTATTGGGCTTAATAGGACCCTATTTAAGAATATTTTCAGAGGCTTTTAAATGGCCAACCTAGGACAGCAGACTCGGCTCTATAGGAGAGGAAAAAAGCCCAAGGTCGATGTGGAGAACTATCCTGGTCTGCCACGGGAAAACGGCGGTGAGATGCCGTGCGCTGAGTCGCGATATTCAGGGCTTGGGCTTTAGTAAGTAACCCCAAACCCTAAGCTCTCAACCCCAAAATTCTAAACCCTAAACCGATTTTGCCGATGGCACTCGCACCTAGTTGGGAGCGGACTGCTGGCGGATGCATGAACTTAAAAAGCCCTAAACCGTGATATGTTTGAGGTCCAGGGAAGTTCAGCCTTCTGCATTATTCCCCCCTGAGAGCCATTCAGGAGGTTCAGGGCTGCTATGTCCGTGCTCCCACTCCAGCAAGAGCTTGCAACGACCTGCATTGGTGCAGGGATGTGGAGGTTCCCTAAGTCAGCGGTAGCGGGGTGTAGCTTCTCATAAGGTAGCGTTCATGCTAGTGTTTCTTTTGGGTGAGTGCCGGAGCCTTGGTGAGTGCATATTTGGCCGACGGTGCTGCTAGCGAGCACGCCATGTAGCGTCCTTGCTGTAACAATCTCGACGATTCTTTCTTCGACGCTGGAAGCCTGACTCTGCAGATCTTCGCTACATCGTTATCGGCGTTACCGGTCAAACGAGGTTAAAGCGTGTGCTAGTGTGCTGTACCCATAGGCCCCATAGTAGTTCTTTTGTGGTGGGCTCACATTTAGAATCCTCTCGTTATCCCCAAAAGGGACCACTATGGGGCCTACGGCTAGAGCCCTAGAGTGATAGACCCTGGGGCCTCGGACCAGCGCCCAACATCTCCCCCCAGGCGATCCGAAATCGTATTTTGACATCCTCCCACTGCTAGTGCCGCTTATCCCGAAATTTCCAAAAAGAGCGACACCCTAATCAGCAAGTACCAAAACTGATCCACCAGTTTTGGTTTATCAACATGCGATACCTCAGCAGTACGGGTATTTACACACATGGGTAATAAGTTCTCTAAACGAGTAGAGTTCTTTTTTAGGTCCCCAAGATAGTACGGCACCCTTACAAAAAGGACCCCCGAAGCGACCCTCATTTAGAGAACTACCCTTCCAGCAGAGACACAACGGCATCCTCAGATCCCAAAACTTGGCGCGAAGGAACCCGCAAGCGGCCTCCCGCAGCTTGTGGAGCTCAGCCTAGACCCTGGAGAACATCACAAAACCCCCAACACCCTACTATAGGGGCCTAAATAATTGCCGACTTGCCGACATTATTCCTTGCGGTTCCTTATTATATTATAAGTATCGTGTAATATATCCCCAAACTCAATGCTAATTATTGAGGCCCGTATATTCGACCCAAAGTCCTACAAGCCCATAGCCCACAGCCCTAAACCGAAAACGCCCCAAGCCCTTGCAGCCCTACACCCCGAGAGCCGCGAGCCCCGAGCCTCCTAAACCTAGAGCTACGCCCGGGGCCAGGATCCAGGTCATGAAGCATCAAGCCCGTAGCTTCTACGCCGAGGCTGAGTGGGGGTTTATGGGGTTTAGGGGTCGGGGTGGGGGTTTGTGGGGTTTGGGGTTTAGGGTCTGTAAAGCTTTGGGTTTAAATTACGTGGGTTTCGGCTGTCATTCGACCTTGAGTTAGGCTTACACCCAAGAGCATGTGTTTTATCGCGAGGGATAGTGCTCTTAGAGCTTCATTGGGGTTTCGAGGCTTGGGACTAAGGATTCTGTACAGTCCTCTGTGTGCTTGAAAACGGAGGTTTCACGAAAAGGCTTCTAGAGGTTAAAGGGGGGCTCAAGGCGCAGAGTTGAGGCGCAAGCCTCTGTGCAGGTTGTAACAGAAGGGGGCCGAAATTATTTAAAGTTCCTTCGGGTTCCTGCTGAGACTTGCAGCGCAGTCTACCCCCAAAAGCTTCTTCTAGCTTTGTAAGCGGCGGGCACCTGGAACCTACACGATGCCCAATCCCTCTACTCCCCCAAACCAACAAACCACAACAACAAGACAAACACCTAAATCATGGAGCCCTACTTGGAGGGTCGGGGGACTTAGTAACTGGTTATTTTAGGGACTTATAAGTACCATAACCCCAATTAGGATCCCTTTTAGGGTACTTATAAGTCTACTTACCACCTACTTACTAAGTCCCCCGACCCTCCAAGTAAGCCCTTAGCCACAAAACCCCAAGAGCTCGTCCCAACAGGTTTGGGACGACTTGGTGGTTTCAGCTTCGGCCTCAAAGCAGTACATTCCCAAATCTAGGACCTAGAGTAGGCCCTTATTCCCTTTTTTAGGGTTCAGGTTCCCTTCTAAACCCCTTTAAACCAAAAAGGGCATCCTTTTCATGCCTGGGTTACTCTTGGGTCTAGAAATTGGTGTGGGGTTTATGGTTCAAGGTTTCCCCAATCAGCCGAAATCTGAGTGGTTCCAGAATTGGGGTTAGGATCTATGGTATTTTGGCTTGGAACCTTGTAACCCCATCCCAAAGCTTAAATCCTAAATCTAAAATTAGGGGCGGAGCATTCGTGGTTTGGGCTTCCCCGAAAAGTTCCGTCTTGTATTCATGTTTAGGTTTCAGGGTTTGGGGATAGCTTTCGAGTCTTTTCAGGGCTCCGTTTGGATTTTATACAGGGTTTAGGGTGTATACGGTGTATACCTACGCTTTTCAGCAGGTGGAGTAATGCCTACCCGGGCAACCGTCATTTACATCGGAATCCGTGTTATAAAGGCCCTTCTTCCAGGACGACTCCTGAATTCAGTGATCCTGGAGTCGATGGGAGCGATTTTTTTGTGGAATAGAAGGCAGATGATGTTTGAGTTTTTGTATGGGTCCGTACGAAAGTCTTGTGTTGTGGTTTACTCCTGTGAGAAAGAGACTAGACTTTAGAGGAGTTACCGATGCTGCTTGAACAAAGGGGCACTTACCGTAAACCCTTTTGGGAGCAGGAACTCCTATGGGAACCGGGAGCCTTTCTGCGATCCTTGAAAGGAGCTTCCGACCAAGCATCTTGTTCGGTTTGGTGATTCGCCAAACTGATGCCCCATAGTAACAGTAATAGTAGCGGTAATAGCAATTGTAATTGTAATAGTAACATGAGTTTAGGCCTTGAGGTTCAAGGTTTAGGGGATCGTGTCGTTTAGGGCATAGGGGCCCAGAGACTACAAGATTCCAACCCTGCAGCCCCTGGGTGACTCTCGAAACGCAGTAGCTTATGACACTGCTTACACATCACTCCCACACTTTGCTTCAGTGGGGCTTGGGTGCAGAGGTTCAGGAGATTTACTATCACAAACCCCAAGCTCAAACCCAGAACCCCAAATCCAAAATCCCAAGCCCTAAAGACGTTACACTCTCCAAGTGTGCTGAGTCCGCCGGCCTGATCAGAAGGTAGAGTAGCTAACGCCGACCCAACCTCAGCCCCTTCCACTGCCGTGCACAGCTAGAAGGGCCCTTCCAAAACAAGCTTGAATCCTAAACCCTAACCCCTAACCCCTAAACCATAAAGCCTAAACCCCAAACGCTGAAGCCCACACCCTAATTCCTAAAGCCTAAACCCTAAACCCTATAAAGCTTAAACCCGAATTCCTAAAGCCTAAACCCTAGCCCCTAAACCCTAAAGCCTAAATCCGAATTCCTAAAGCCTAAAGCCTGGAGTCGAGCCTAGACGAGCCGAAAGCCTGATCTCCCATGGCCAAGGTCAACACTAGCGTGAGCCCATTCCAGCAGCTACGGTGGCATCGACTGGGAGTTGGCATAGGGTTGAGGCTTTAAGGGGTTTAGGCTTTAAGGGGTTTAGGGTTTAGGGTTTAGGGTTTAGGGTTTAGGGTTTAGGGTTTTGCTGAGAGTTTGATCTTCCGATGTCGCAGAAGCTGTGTGCGTGAGCATCAATGTACAATACGCTCGACAACACGTGGCTCAAGGAAAAAAAACAGTGTGCGATTTCAATTCGATAGGTGTCTTTAGGACTCATGGAAGAGCCTGCACCTGAGGCCTTAGGGCCTACCGAACAAGGGCCGTTCAATGATCTCCCTGCTGGCTATCAGCAGGTGATGAGCCCAAGTGGCGGGACTGCGCGGGTGATCGGACCTCACACAGACGATGATCGCAGGCCAAACGGCGTGGACCGGGCGGCCAGAGAGATCCCTGCAACGGAACCTGACTACGATCGAGCCTTAAGGGCTACCGGAATTGGCGCGACGGGCGTAACCGGACAAGGCACGCCGACGACGCATGGTTTTTCTGGTGTTGCTGGAAGACTTCGAGAAGGCGGCGATGCTGACATCGGAGCGAGCAGTGCTGGAACGCATGGTGGTCTGGAGGGAGTATTGACGGCCAGCAATAGGCCTGAGGCCGTGGGACCTTGCGAGCAAGGAGGTCGTGAGAGAAGTGATGGACTGTTGTTTAGAGGAGGAAGCCGGGCAGCGGCCACTACTGGATCAGATTTCGGTTTTATGTGGCCTTCGCCGTTGCCTTCACCTACTACAAGGTCTATCAATGGAGATGAACAAGTATCCACGACCTCTGGAAATGTGATAGCACAGCAAGGTGCTGCGGCGATGAAGTGGTTGTCTAAGCTGGGCGACTTCGTGCAGCGCCGAGTCGCGCAGCAGACGCGGCCAGGCGAGCAGACGACAGTGGTCCAGGAGACAGTGTGGTCGCCAGGGCACGGGACTCGGACGGAGACTGAGCCATTGTTTGATCGTTCGCAGAGCAGAAGGTTGAGGGACATGGCTTTGGCAGCTCCTCAGCTGTATGGGACCGTGCAGCGGTCGGGCGGAGGTTCGGACTCGTCGAGGTCGTTTACCAAGGAGCAGTTAGAGACCGAAGTGAGAAGACAAGTCGAACAGGCGATGGAGGAGCAGAGGAGCGTGAGTGAAGAGAACCAGCGCCTTCGGCTTGAAGTGGAGAGATTGAGGGCTATGGCGGCGCAGGGTGTCTCAAGCGGGACAATGATGCCGGGGCCCAATGAAGCACCTCGTCTACGATGTTTATGTTCAGGAGCAGGTAGAGTATATCAACCAGCGTCTCGAAGGCAATCTTGCAGGACTTCCTGGACACAGTCGTGAGCAAGGGGGTGCAAACGAGAATGTGGAACGGGTTTCTGATCCTAGGGGCAATCCAGGTGTACTTTGGGAACATGATGGAGGGCAGGGCGGTGATCGGGCCTTGAGCACTCATGGAGTATCCCGAGGGAATCCACCAGGACTTTTAGGACATGAGAGCCGACAAGCGCGGGAACATGCTCTTGAACCTCAAGCTCTTAATGTACCCGGCGGCAATCCTGAAGGACTTCCGAGGCGTGACGGTCGTTGGGGTGATCAGTCCTCAAGCAACCGTGGAGTGCTCGGAGGCAATCTTTCAGGACTTCCGGGACACAGTCGTGAGCAAGGGGGTGTTGGGAGAGCAAGGAGTCAAAGTCCACCAAGGTCAAATCTACTGGGCTTTGCGGGTTTCTACGGGAACTCGGAGGGGCATGAAGTTCGACCGGGACCTACGGCATCAACAAGTCAGGGTGCTGCGGGTAAAGAACGGAGTGCTGGTTTTCAGAGTGATAGTGTTTTCGGAGGCAATCTTGCAGGACTTCCGGGACACAGTCGCGAGCAAGGGGGTCGTGTTTTTAGTGATAAGCCGGGCATCTACAGTGGTCCTTATGAGAATGTGCCGGGCATCTACAGTGGTCCTCCTCCAGGTCTTTCTGGTGAGCATCAAGGCGTTCCAGGAGGTGGAGCACCAGGTGATCAGACTGGTCCTTCCATTGGCGGGGCGGGCAGCCCGCTTGAGGCACTTGTGCAAGGGATGACGCAGTTGCAGGCGGCTATGGCGATGCAGATGGGAATGAATGCGGCCAAACCAGAGACGATAAGGCCGGGAACCACAGCTTCGGAGTTGCCTAAGCTTAGCGAGGCGGACGAGATGGCAGCGATCAACGTCGGGGATTGGTTGCATGGCCTGAGCGGGCCCATGGGCGATCTTACGGATGGGAGCGCTATGTGGTGGTCACAAGTTCTCATGTGTTTGGAAGCATACTACAAGGACTATGTCAATGCGTCAGCGGTGAAGAAGTTGCAGCTACGGGCGGATGACTACGCCAATGCTACGCTCAAGGAGGCCAAGTGGTTGCGGGTGGACAAAAGAGCAGCGTCTATGCTCTTGCAATCGATCCCAGAAGCCATACGCACCGAGGTCTTGGCCAACAGGTTGCAGACGACGCTTTCAATCTTGGCGAGGATACTGACGATCTACAGGCCGGGTTCGTCTGTGGAAAGGCAGCAAGTCTTGAAGGCCTTAGAGCAGCCCGGCTCGGCGTCTACACCCATGGAGCTCGTCGAGGCTCTTCGAAGGTGGGCACGATGGCTAAAGCGGGCACAGGACCTGGGGTTGCAAGTTCCTGACCCCTCGATCCTGTTGCGGGGTTTGGACCAAGCTTCAAAGGCTCAGCTGGAACGGCACGGTGAAGTGGCTTTCCGGACCAACATGCTGCGCTATGGTTTGGAGTTGGACTCAGCTCCTAGCCTTCCGTCTGTGATGAAGTATCAGTCCCATTTGCTTGGCGAGTTTGAGCAGATAGCATACCGGGGGCGCTCTAAGGGCACTACCAGTACGGCACCTGCCGTGCGAGCTGTGGGCACTGGGGGAAATGATGGTGGCAACGCTAGCCCTGGTAAAGGTGCTTCCTCTCCGGCGTCTTCATCTACTACTACCACAACCAAGCCATGCAAGTTCTTCATCTCGGAGTCGGGTTGTCAGAGGGCCAATTGCAAGTTTGGGCACGAATGGGCCAGCATACCGCGTGAAGAACGGCATGAACGATGCAGGAACTGCGGAGCTAAGGGCCATATGAAAAAGAGCTGCCCGCTTCGTGCAGGTGCCGGGGACCCTCCACGGCGGGATGAAGGCAAGGGAGGACAACCTCCTCGACTACGACCACTGGGGAAGGGATCTGACGGAAAGCGCGATGATGGAACCGTTCCTACGACTACAGCTTCGACTACGGCGACTACGGGAGGACCGGGAGCAGCTTCATCGGGTTCGGCATCTACGGGGGCGTCAATGGACTCGAGCTCTACGGCTGGTTCGTCGGCGGCTGGAGTAACCGGAGAAGCTCCGGCGGGAGCTCGGGATGTAGATGATTTCCTACGGAACGCTACCCAGGTGCTGAAGTTGATGACGGAGCAACATGTGGGCAGTAGACCGGGACCCTCTATGAAGATGCTGAAGAAAGTGATCAAGGACTATGAAGGCAAGATGGCTTTGGTTGATTCGGGAGCTACGCACCCGTTGAGGACGGCATCTTCAGAAGAATGGGGTGTTGCAGGCGAAGTCGACGTGGTGGTGGCGGGGGACGGTGTGAAGCGGATGCGCCAGAATGACACGGGCACGTTGCTTATGGAACCGGCGACTACTAGAGCGCAAACTATATTGCCGGTTGGAAGCTTGGTGGCTGTGCTGGGCTACGAGCTAGTGTGGACCAAGAAGAAGTGCGTTCTGAGAGCGCCCGATGGGAAGGAGCTGGCGTTGAAGGTTTCGTCGGGCTGCCCTGAGGTAAGCGAAGCAACGGCGCTTGAGTTGATCGCGAAGATTGAGCAGGAGAAGTTAGCTCAACTTTCGGAGAACGTGGAGAGCACGAAGCAGGCCATGCTGAGGGCTCGTGAGGTTGAGCTTGATCCATGCTGGGAAAAGAGCGTTCGGGAGTATGTTGCCAAGGGAAAGTTCGAAGATGGCTTCCGCGCGATGGCGACTGCGCCCTGGGCAACGGAAGAGCTGCGCGAGGACTTGGCAAGGATCATCACGGATCTTCCCACAGGTGAGAAGGAGGCCTGGGAGCTCATGCAAATGTTGGGCTTCAACAGGAGGATGCGGAAGCGACTGATGAGCAAGGACTGGGTGGTGAAGATGTGCAGCGGTCGTCGTTCGTCAGTGGACAAGGTGTTCAAGGCGGTGGAGAGCAACGGAACGGTTGTTTTGGATGTTGATGTACAGCGGCTTCCTCTGTTGGACATCCTTAAGGCGGGCCCCGGCGTGATGAAGTTACTACTTTGGGGTGCGGCTACGGGAAGAGTGGCGGCAGTCTTGTCGGGTTTACCAAGGCACAACGCTCTGGAGCACACGCTGAGGGCGGTGGTACTTAGTGAGGTGGCTACAGCGGGGAGAGCGGCTATGTGTGCTGAGGTGGATGTTCCCTTGGATGGCGTTGCTTTCTCATTGTGGGCGTCTTCTGAGTCGGAGCAAGATGAGTCCTCTTTGGCGTGGGTTTTCAAGTGGTTTCGGAGGTGGATTGCCGAAAGGCACATGGATGTTCATCACTTTGACCAAGGAGGTTTAGGACATCCTATGCGGAGACCTACGACGATGGCAACCAACCTGGATGTAGCAGAGCTCAAGGGTGTCCAAGATGCAAGGGCGGATGAAGGTCATGCTGGTTCGTGGTCCTCGTGGGCTCCTATGATGGTGCGAGTGCTGACGCGGGGACTTAAACGGTGGAAGCAAAGGCCTGGGTGGCATCCCAGACTAGTCCGAGCACTCAAGGCGGTGGACAGACGGGCGTGGGAAAGGCATTTGGCCAATGATCATGTACCATATCGTCCAGATTGTCTTCAGTGTATACACAATGCAACAGGACGACCTCATCGAAAGTGTCTTCACAGGGATTGCTATGTGTTGAGTGCGGATACTTTGGGGCCAGTGAGAGTACCAGGTGTAAAAGGGGAAAGATATGCAGTGGTGTTCACTTACCAGTTCCCGAAGCAGAAGTTGATTCCAGAAGACCAACCCATTCCTGATGATGAGCTGGATGGGTGGGACCTTGATGCAAGGGAAGTGGAGTTAGGCAAGAACACTGTTGATGAGGAGGAGTGTGATTACTCTCCTGATGAAGGCCCAGACCCTCAACTTTCACCCGAAGAGGAAAGTGAACTTCGACGAGTGCAACGAGAACGTCCTATGGAACTCCTGGAGCAGGTTGGTAATGTTTCGCCAGCAGCCAAAGCAGCAAAGAAGAAGGAAGTTTCAGATGATTGGTGGGAGTTTCGAGAATCTACGGGCGTCCTTGTTCGGCATCACGTTACTCCTCGCATGTCGTTGTTCAGGCCTACGTCATGGAATGGTTGTCCGGTGCCGCCTAGCAAGCTGGATTACACCAGGGTGACGGAGGTGAAGTATGTGAGCGGCGGTGTGGACACGGAGACGTCGGATTGGCATGGACCACAATCGGGATCGCGCGTGTTAGAGAAGCTGTGGACGGGAAGGACAATGTTTCGGATTTCTACAGCAGAGGTTCCCGAGGATGAGGAGGAGCTCAAGAAGGATGAAGAAACGTGGGAAAAGCTTATTGGTGACCTGACGAAGCCAGTGGAGATGGATACGATCTACATGGTGTACCCGGTTCGTGCCAGGCGAGGAGGTGATGCAATGTTAGCAGTACAAGAAGCTGTGTTGCGGTTGAAACTGCTTGGACTACCGGTGGCCAGGTTACATTCTGATCGCGGCTCAGAGTTTGCGTCTAAGGGGCTGCGAAAATGGCTGTTGGACCACGATATCTACCACACCCGTTCAGAAGCTTTGGTGCCGCAGACCAATGGCGCAGCTGAGAGAGGAGTTCGTTGGTTTAAGACGATGGCCAAGGTGTTGATGGCGGAGGCAAAGGTGGGTTTGAAGTTTTGGACGCTGGCTATGCAACATGCAGCTAACCGCCGAATGTATGAGCGACTTGGACTATCCAAGCCAAGGTTGCTACCCTTTGGGTCCAAAGTGATGATCAGACGAAAAGTGTTTGGCAACAACAAGAAGTATGACCTCACGGACCGGTGGGAGGAGGGCACCTACTTGGGTTTGTCGGACTCCATAAAGGGCGGTGCGATTGTTCTACGGGCGAGCGGTGTACTAACGGAGACCCTGAACTTGAAGACTGACGTTGTTGACCCTCATGCACTACTAGCAGCTCCTAAAGAAGGTGACGGTGATGATGGTGGTGGGGTTGGTGAAATTCCTGTGGGTGAAGTACCAGTCGTTGACCTACCTGAACCAGATCACCGATTAACGGGGAAGCAGCCACCACCGTTGATGAGGATGTTGAAGCCTACGGCAGGGAATCCAGATGCGGTACCTTCTGGCTGGACTATGAGAACGCTTGTTAAGGAGCAAGAAGATAGGGCCAGGCATTACTACAACATGGGCAAGTTCGATGGGGATTCCTGTGCGGAAGTGCTACGAGATGTTCACCTTGGAGGCAAGGCCAAAAGGAAAACGAGAGGGGCGCAAACTTCGGCTCTAGTGCTTGGTGGGTACGTTCATGGAGGAATGCGCGGAGCTACTGATGTCACCTACCGGCGACCCTGGCTCACCAAGTACTTGAACATGGTGCTGCGACAAAAGACGATGGAAACAACGAAGTATGAGCCAAGGTGGGCAACGCTGGGAGTCTTTAAGGCAGCTGATATTCCCCCTCATCGTGACCTACGGAATAAGCCTGGCATGCCAAACTTCGTAATGGAGGTGGGCGAGAGGACTGCAGAAGGGTTGTGGTTGTCAGACGCTCATGAGGTATGTGAAGGTGATGGTACCGGTGGTGTAGACTTAAGTCAAGAGCTTCCTGATGGCACCGTGGTTGAAGGAAGAGTGGTTGATATCAAGAACAAAGTGGCGGTGTTTGACCCAAAGAAGTTCCACTCTTATGTTCAAGGAGAAGATGAAGGTCGATGGATCATAGCAGCTTTTACCCCATTGAACGCGGAGGCCATCCCCGTGAGTGCTGCAGCGTTTCTCAATAGGTGTGGGTTTCCACTGGAAGGTACAGGAGTTGAAGTACATGATGTGGAAGATGAGCCGTTGAGTAACTGGGTCAGTGATACTGAGGTAGCCACCGATGAGGAGGAGGATGAAGACGAGTTAGAGTACCGGGCGAGGGTTCTACGTTGTGAACTTCAGGAGGAGACGGACGAGAGTGCAGCTTCCGCCTACCACATCGCAATGCAGCGGGACTTTGAGCAGTGCGTCCATGACCTGGAAATGGAACGGGTTCGCGCATTGAAGAAAGTCATGAAGGTCTCGCCAGGCGAAGCAAAAGATGTTGAAGTGGAGGAGCTGTTAAAGACTTTAGATGGTCACCTTGAAGTAGTGCATAACGTTAGCCTGCCGGAAGTCAAGAAGTACATCCACCTATGGAAGGAGGCAATCCTCAAGGAGGTCAATGCGTTGATGGACTCGGGAACAGTGACGCGTCTGTCTCCAGAGCAAACACGCGAGTTGAAGAAATGTGGGCTTACGGTGTTGCCTGGAAAGGCAGTATTCACTGTCAAACCTCCAGCAGAAGCTCAAGGACCTGCCCGGTTTCGTCGCAAGTGCCGGGTAGTGGTTTGCGGCAACTTTTTGCCGGCGCAGGGACAGAATGTGTACGCGTCGGGTACTTCAGCCGACACTTTACGCATCGCGATAGCGATCGCGGTGAAAATGGGCTGGCGGATCGGCAGCACCGATGTGGCGAATGCTTTTACGCTGGCGCCAATGCCAAGGGAGCTTCTATATGCGCTGGTTCCCCCAACGATTGTGGTGTTAGCCGGAGCTGCAGCCCCGGGAGAAACATGGCAGATCACACGGGTGCTTTACGGTTTAAGAGAGGCTCCGAGACTTTGGGGTGACTTCAGGAATCGTAAGTTCGTTGATGCGGTGATCCATGTGGGAGACAAGGTTGTGGTGCTGACAGCAACGACTACCGATGAGAACCTATGGAAGGCGACCTATCAAGGGGAGGATCAGCTACAAGGCCTCGTTTTGGTGTATGTAGACGACATCTTGATGATGGGAGAAAAGGCCTTGGTTGAGGCGATCTACCAGTGGTTGGTGAAGGATTGGAAGTGTTCAGACCTTGAATGGGCTGAGGATGGGTCGCTCAGGTTCCTTGGTATTGAGTTGCGGGTTTGCGGAGAAGGTGTGCATCTATCCCAAACTGGCTACGTACGTGATCTACTACGACAACATGGAGTCCCTGAAGAACCAGGTCTAGGTCTCACTGTACCATGCAACCGAGAGTGGCTGCAGGATGGAGAATCCGACGAAGAACCGGAACCACCCCAAGAAGCTGAAGTGAAGTTGGCTCAGAAGGCAACGGGGGAAGCTTTGTGGTTATCGACGCGAAGCAGGCCGGAGCTAGCACATGCTGTGGGCTGTATGGCATCGCATGCCTTGAAAAGGCCTCTGAGGGCGCTTGAGATAAGCAAGAGGATCCTGAAGTACCTAGCACGTTCTGTTGAGTATGGCATTTGGTACAGGGTCAATGAAGATGATCCGATGATGGTCGTGTACTCGGACGCCAGTTACGCCCCGGGAGGAGGACGTTCGTTTGGGTCGACAATGGCTCAGGTTTGTGGTATGCCGGTGTCATGGAGGGCGTCTAAGCAACCAATAATCACATTGTCGGTTGCAGAGGCGGAGCTCTACGAAGGGTGCGCGGCAGTGCAGTTGGGACTGGGAGTGAGTGCTCTTTTGTCGGAACTGTCTTGGGATCCAGTGATGCACCTGAGGATCGACAATGCGGCCGCTCAGGGCTTGGCGAGCGAATCGCCGGGCACGTGGAAGACCCGGCACCTACGTATACGAGCCCGCTTTTTACGGCAGGAGGTTGCGGCACAGCGGCTGGTGATTTCTCATGTGTGTGGAAGCTTGCAAAAGGCCGATTTGGGCACCAAGGGCTTCGACCTGCCAAAGTTCAAGACGCTGATGGACTTGTGGCAGATTGTTCCGGGCACGATCCAAGGAGCTACGAAGGCAGCTTTGAGAACTTTGAGGACGACTAATCAGTCGGGCATGCTGTTGTTTGTGGTTATCTGTCTGTGCCTAGTCAAAGGGGTCCAAGGGAAAGAAGATTTGCCGTTAGATGGATCCATGGAGTTCTACTTCGTTGCAGTGGTTTCTCTGATTGCGGCGGTGGGAATATGGGAATTCCTGAAGTATGTCAAGAATAAGGTTTGGTCATGGTGGAGTATTAGGCAGCGAAGGTTGCAAAGAACCGAAAGGTTGAGAAGCAGGACCCGTGACGCAGTTCAGGAGGAGCTACGCAGACGTGAAGCCGAAGCTGTTTCTCCTACCGTGATGACACCGCCTACAAGTATGAGGAGACGCCGAGGGGAGTTTGAAGAAGATGGACCTAGAGGAAGCAGAGAAACGTTTTCACCTACGCCGACCGGGTGGCAACGAGGAGCTGAAGGCAATCTGGGCAGGACTGCATCAACGAGGGTGTCTTCGAGATCTACGGCTGTTCAGACCGAGATAGAGTTTCGCGGTCCTAACTGGATAGATGCAAGACGGCTCCAGGGCTTCGAGGGGCCCTTCTTTACTACTCCTAATGGGGACTGTGTACATACGATAGCAGGATGTCACGGTCAAAGGAATGCCACAGGCCCTCCTCGGACTCTTCGTTTGTGCCGCTACTGCGATCGGGACAAGCCTCTCATGCTTGTTGGGGCACCCCTTGGCTAAAAGCCCAATGCGCGAGGAGGAGTGCTGAGAGTTTGATCTTCCGATGTCGCAGAAGCTGTGTGCGTGAGCATCAATGTACAATACGCTCGACAACACGTGGCTCAAGGAAAAAAACAGTGTGCGATTTCAATTCGATAGGTGTCTTTAGGACTCATGGAAGAGCCTGCACCTGAGGCCTTAGGGCCTACCGAACAAGGGCCGTTCAATGATCTCCCTGCTGGCTATCAGCAGGTTTAGGGTTTAGGGTTTAGGGTTTAGGGTTCAGGGCAGTGGAGGGCCTGGGGGCTTCTAGAGTTTGTGGTTTGGGGTGGAGGTTGCTTCATTATCTTCTCAACCACATTGATTCGTAGAGCGGTTCTTATGATCGTACGTCTTGATTGATGATTCGGCGTCCCTTGCTTTGCATCTTCGTGTTCGTCGCTCTATCGGCTTCTCGGTATGTTCATTCAATTTGCTGTGATTCTTTCCGCGGTTTGGGGTTGACGACTCCGAGCTAGTTTCGTGGAAATTACGGAATTGTTTTCCCTGAGCCCTAAGCCCTATAAGCCCTAACCCTCCCCTCAGCTTTAATTCGGGGCTCAGCCGTACCGAGCTGCTTTGTGGATTCTACAGGTGCTGCAACACCCTTGGCCCCATGGTTTGGGGTTTAGCTTGGATACTGCCCCCACTAAGTAGCAGTTGGATAATATTCATAATATAGTTATATTAGGTCCTTAATAGTAGCCCTATTATAGACTGTTACTGTATGGGGGCAGTATCCAAGGTTTAGCATACCCCAAAGCCCAGAGCCTTTACAGAACTATAGATCCCGTTTTAAACCCTTGCCTAAAGGGTCCAAGTATCATCCTAACGGTTTGGGGTTTAGGGTGGCATATACTTATAGGGCATTCTAGGGGCCTAAGTATGTCCCATGATGATACTTGGACCCTGTGGGTTGTAAAGGCGTCGTAGAATGCTCCAAGGAAACCAAATCGGAGCCGAGACTGTAAGCGCCAAAATCTAAACCCTGACAGCTACAGCTCCCTAAACCCTGAACCCTAAACCCTAAACCCTAAACCGTCGAGTGTTTCGGGGCTCAGATTGAGGGTAGTTTCGAGGTTTCGGGTTGAAGGTTGTAGGCATGTTGAGGGTCGCTGACAGAAGGCGCATAGACGCGCTGGGCGATCGCAATGTCGAAGCCTGTAAATATCCTGAAGCCTCAACACTACACACTACACCGAGCCCCGATTGATACTTGAAACGATAAATCCGAAGCGCTGAAGCCGGAACTCTGTACGCCAAACCCCGAGCTCTATACACCCCAAGCCCTAAGACTCAGGATTTACACCAACAATTCGGGCCTCGTTCAAGCGCACACGCTGCCTGCCTGCTTTGGGAGGTCTGTTGTTGCTAAGCATCGCTCTGAAGATTTGCAGTTCGGGCCGGGACGGGTTTCGCAGGAATTGTGTAAATTGGGATTTCCGTGGCAACCAAGCTTCATGTTTCAGAGCCCTCTTTTGCATGCCTGTTTGGGGCTTGGCAGTATGGAGCCGTTTTCAGGCCAATTCGCGACGTGACCCCGGATTTTGGTCTGTATGGTTCGTCTTTCCTTGCGGTGCATCTGTTCCGAAGCCACAAACCAAAATAGAACCCCAGCCACCAAAGTGCACCTTCAATGTGCAGGATTTAGGGTTGAAGCTTGAGGTTCCGAAGCATTGAATTTCAATACCCTAAACCCTAAACCCTAAGCCCTAAACCCTAAACCCTTTGAGGATGAATCTCAGGTTTGAGTACAGTCCCCAGCCTTCAGCAGTTGAACAACCGAAGCGAAAGGGATCCTATAGGGTTCTAAATCATTGCCAACACTATTAAATAATTGCCAACACTATTTTCGGGGTTCCTGATTATAATTATACTCAAAACCCCAATTCAATTATTGCGGCCCCTATGTTAAACGGCTTGGGGGAGCACCCTGTCTCCCAAGGCTGATCGCGGCCACGGGGGCAAACAGCAAGTGGCTCCACGCGTTCACCTCAGATTGATGCGCGCCTGGTTTTGTCGTATTTTTACTCGTTCTTACGCGCCACTGTCCGAAACTCTAAATCCCAAGCCCCCAAAAGACGAGAAAACCCAACGATAGACCTTCAACACCTAAATAAACTTAAGCCCAAAACCCGAACTTCGAAAACCTTAGATCCCAAACCCCACGCCCAATGCCGGACAAGGTCAAAGGCGAATGGGACTACCGGGGTTTCGGTGTTTCCAGCTGCGCGGCATGTGGCCTGGCAGAAGGAGAGCCTTTGGTTCAGGGTTTGGGATTGTGGGCGTAGGGGTTAGTGTTTAGGGGTTGAAGGCTTTTTTTGGGGATTTGGGGCTGGGGCTCGGGGTTTTTTGGGGTCTTCAGGCTCAGGTCTTGCTGTCCGGGTGTTGGGGCCAATGCTACTTGTCGCGCTCTTGAGACTCCTCCGGCTCCTCTTTTAGGGTTTAGGGTTTTAGGGTTTAGGGTTTAGGGTTTAGGGTTTAGGGTTTAGGGTTCATGCAACAACACCAACACTTGACGCCAGCACCAACAACAACATCAAGGACCTGGAGTGGAGTAAGGAGCGAGGTTCTCACTAGCAGAACCTCATGTCAATAGGAATCCTTTTGGCCTCCCCATACATGCGGAAGAGGTCTTTGATTACATTCCCTGCAACTTTGAAGCTTGTATCAGTGTCTGCCTTGCTTGCTGAGGCGATGGCTACCTCTTCAAGGGCAAGGCCACGGAGACATAGGGATGGTCAGCTTTCGTGTGGTTAATAACTTTAAGCCCTGGACCTTCAACCTGCATGCTGCTTGCGCGGGCTCAGGGGCTTTTCGGGGACTGTGCCGGGTTTGCTGATATGCGACCTCACGTGATCAGGGTGCTACTTACTGAGGTTGACAAGCTCGTTTCTTATGGTGGAACCCAGTGGTTGAAATCACTGTCTGCCACTCTGCACTCAGGCACCCGAAAAAAATCTAGAAAGTGATCCCTTAATTTGGGGCCCTATACTACTAAGGGTACTTTATAGGAACCCCCATTAGGGGATCTACTTTTGCTATTATATACCCATTATATAGCCCATTATAGGGTAGGAGTCCCCATTAAGGGTCCCTCCTTTTCCCCTAAACCCCCTAAACCCCCAAACCCCTAAACCCTATACCCTTATAGAATCCCTATAGATCCCTTTAAAGGGACCCTTAAAGGGTCCCTCCTTTTCCCCTTTGTTTCACAGATCTTGGCGCAATGTGGTGAGGCCTGTGCGGTCATCGGCGGAGGCGACTCCGCCATGGAAGAGGCCCTACTACTACACTACCCTACTACCACCCTACTCCCAACCTACCCCACCCTACCCTAACCTAGCCCAACCTACGCTACTACTACTACTACTACTACTACTACTACTACTACTACTACTACTACTACTACTACTACCCTACCCTACCCCTGATGGCGTCATCTAGGTCCCCAACAGCATCCCTAGTAGTCGGGTACGTGACCTTTAACGTTTTTTGGACTTTAATCTTTATGTATCCCCAACAAGCTCTAAAAGGTTAACCTTTGAGATGCTCCGGATACTGGACAAGTAAGACCTTTTCGCTCTTTTCGTACGTTGGAGTCTTCATCTCAAAAAAAGTGGTGTGTTCCTGAAGCCCAAGTATCGTGACTTCACGTGGGCAGAGTTCAGGGTGGTAAGTTCAGGAGTTTGTTGTGGTCTTTGTTGGGGTTTCAGTGCTAAGCCACTGAGGTTCACAGGTTTGAGCCCTCTGATATCGGATCTCCGGGTTTGGAAATATGTGTAGAGACATCTTTGAAAGATTGGCTCGTAGCGGGTTGTATGTTGTGAGCAGCGACTGAAAGCATCGCCGTTTCTTACTTGTAGCTTTTGTGGATCACAGGACGATCTTAGAGTCCCGGGTTTCAGTTCCCTGGTGATGCGGTGGTGGCTGCATTGAAGTGAGGGTTTCTGATGTCCCGGCGGTCCCGTGGTGATGGCCAGGGCCGACAGAGAGGTGGCTCCGATGCTCTTACCATAGAGCTGAACGATGGAGCCATGATGGGTGAACTACAGTTCCGGTCGGCAGCTGGAGCTGAGTTTGACTATTTGGTGTTCGAGGTCCTAGGGGATCGCTTCGAGAGATTGGGCCTTGCAGTAGGAGAAGTGATCGAGAAGTATGAGGTGAACAGCGATGGTATGTTTGTTGACTTGACCTATCGCGGGACGGACAGCTCTTATTATCAGTGGTACATTGACAATAAGGGAAAGGCAGGTGGGTTGCCTGCAGATTCGTACCATCATCTCTGCCGTCGTCATGCCTCACGCTGTAGCAAGAATTTTGGCATGAAAGATGTGATTCATGTTCAGAAGTGGGCGCCTATTTCTCGAAATTCAGCAAGCGATCTACTTGAGTCCTGGGGGTGTCCTAAACTGCCCCTTTTGCGTATTCCTTCCCGAAAGCCCGTCACGAGCACAAGTGGAGACCGCCGCGATTCCCGACAGGTGGCTACTCAGGCCCTCCCAGCTCCTAAGGCGGAGAACTTTGAAGAAGGCGGGGAGGCTGAGGAGGTGGAGGTTGAGGAACCTCGGCCGGCGACGAAGCGTCGGAAGAAGGCCTTGCCGCGGGGCCATCGACCGCCCACGGCCTTAGATGCAATGCTCGACGATACTTTGGAGGAGTCCAGAGGCGAGAGCAAGGACAACAAAGTTGAGAAGAAGTTGGGGGAGCTCAGGGCGAAGCTCATGGGCAAGAAGGCGGAGGTCAAAGGGAAGGAGCCCGGCTCAGTGTTGGCTGGGCGGGCGATGGAGGTTGCTGAGAAGGGCAAGCCGAAGAAGGTCAGAAAGGCAGATTCCGTGGCCAGATCCATCCAGAAGGCTTTGGTAAAGGCTAGCCGGAGCCGAGGCTCGAAGGAGGAGGCCTCCTCAGATGATAGTGAGGGGGAAGCCGAGGATGAAGAGGACGAGCTGGACTTCGGTGGCAGCGGCGGCTGGGAACAGCGGCGCCGCAAGCTCAGAAGGATTGCTGAGGAAAAGCCTGGCAAACTTTTGCTGTCGGGGTTGCAAAGCATGCAGGAGCAGTTGGGGCAGATCTCAGGCGAGGATGGTTCGGCGACTTTGAGCCCAATTATGGTGCGTTACTTGATGACGATGGTCTTGCCAGCCCACCCCGTGAAGAGCATAGGCGAGAGCAAGTACCGGGAGTTGAGGACTTTGTGCCAAACCATGGATGCCCTGCTCAAAGGCAAAGTGGACACGGCAGGCGATATCCTTATGCAACGGTTTAAGTCCCAGGTTATGGCTTTGCGGGATAACTCCGAGAAGTGCGGTCGCTTCCTGGAGCTCATCCCCGAGGACTCGGTTGGGGTAAGCCCCGAGGAGACTTTCTTTGCGAGGGATCTCGCGCACAGGACGGCCAAGGCAGATAAGCTCCTGGGCTAGGGAGTCCGCGGGGGAGCGCTCAAGCCAACGAGCCTCCCTCAACGCGACCCCCTTTACACCAGGCACCCGAAGGAGGAGGCCCCATCGGCGGAGGAGGCACCAGCCGATACACCGAGGTCACCCAGCAGATCACCTTTGGTTCGGAGGAGGGGGAGCCCCACCAGGCCGAAGGAGGAGAGGAAGGTGACGTTTCGGGAGGAGGTGACCACGGAGCCGGTGGCAGGCCGCATGAAGATGTCAGTTTCAGCAGCACGAAAACAGACACCGAGGATCGCCAACGAGACGAAGAGAGCATGGAAGGACAGAGTGTTCAAGACGGCGAGGGGCGAGCTCTAGGGGTGTTGGCCCCTGGGGGAAGTGATCCGGGTGTTGGCCCGTGGGTTTTTAATGGCGGCTGCCAGCCTGTGCCCTGTACAGAGCCCGGTGTTGGCCGGGTGGCGGGCGGGAGGGCGCATGCCTTTGATGAGCTGAAAGGTGTTATGCTGGAGGGTTGTGATATGCTTTGTGATCGAAGGCTCCATGGTCTCCTACGTGAAGGTTTGCCGGATAAGCGCTGTGTGTTGCAATTGGGCATTACGCTGCTACAGCTCCTGTTGCTTTCCCCACGAGATGGGGCTCTTTGGTCCGGAGTGTCAGCTCTGGTGAAAAATACAGCCACGCCAACTCTGCGGGACAGGGATTTGTTACCACTTCCTATTCCGCCTTTAGGGGCTGTGTTGCGTCTGTGCAGGCAACTGGCGAGGAGATCATCCGGACTACTTGTGTGGGACCCTCGGAGTTTAGACCATTTAGGAAAGCAACAAACCCGAAAACTGGTGCGGGCCAGTTGTTTCCAGTTGTGGAGGTTGCTGGTGGTTGTTACGATCAATGGTGAATATTCTGACTGGTGTGGTCCGGGTTTTGCTCTTTGTGATTTCCCGGGTAATGTCTGCCAAGCGGAAGCTTACGCCCATTTGGATGAGTTATGCCGGTACTTCTCGAGAGATCCTCTTTGTGAAAATTGTGGCCTCACCCCGGATGCGGTGCTTAAGACCAAAGGTGTTGATTACACGGGTGAAGAAGTACTGCACGCGCTTCCTTTGAAGGTGGGGGAGCTATTGCCGGGACTGCCTGCCGATGGCGTTGCGGGAACTCTTCAGGCGGCGGATGTGGCTGAGGGCGAGGTTGCAAAATGGTTGTTGGATCCCAACCTCACATTGCTGCCGGAAGATAAATGGCCACAACCTTTGCCAAAAGCTTCGATGAACTGCAGCCGGAGTGATTGGTTGGAACTTGTGCCATTGTTGGTTCGCAAAAACATTCTGAAGCCAATCCCGAAATCCGAAATATTCCGAGTTCGAGGTTCATTGCTACTTAATGGTGCTTTCGCTGTGCCTAAGAAGGGTACACCTGCTGAGGGCGAGTCGCGGGTTACACGACTTATCATGAATATGATTCCAAGCAATGCGTTGCAGCGACTTATGGCAGGCGATTTAGCAACATTGTCCAGTGCATCGGCATGGGTGGGAGCCCACCTACACCCGAGTCAGGTGTTGCTCTGGTCGGGCGAAGATCAACGAGGAGCTTACTACGCGTGGGCCCTACCGCCCGTTTGGCGAAAGTTTATGACTTTTCGATGGCCGGTGCCTGGAGCTTTGGTGGGATTGCCAAATGAACAAGAGGTGTACGTGGCTGCCGCGGTGATACCAATGGGTTGGGTTAATGCTGTAGGGCTCTTCCAACATCTTCATAGGCGACTGGGCCTCAGTAGCCCGCCCGGTGGTGCAGGCCACGACGAGGGGGCAGAATGGAGAAGAGATCGCCCAATCCCAAGTTCCGCTGGAATCAAGGATGGAGGCTGGGTTCAGTTCTATCTCGATGATTTTGATTGCCCGGAGTTTGTTGACAGAAGGATTTGGAAGCGATTGCAAGGCACATGTTCGAACGCACATCGAAACCAGAGGCAGGCCTACAGTCATGTTGGTGTTGAGGTCTCTGAGGAAAAATCACACACACGGGAGCCCAGAGTCATTCGTATGGGGGCCGAGGTTGATGGTATTGCGGGTTACATTGGGCCGCCAGCGGAAAAGATCTTGGAGACGGGATGGCTGTGTGTATGGCTGTTAAGTCAAGTCTGTGTCGGGGTGAAACCATTACTGATGGCACTGGGCCGGCTGGTGAGGTGTTTTGAGTTCAGACGTCCACTTCTATCAATTTTGGACGGATGTTGGCCTCGTGATCAATTCCGGTTCCGGCGCTATTTGAATCAAACCACGATACAGGAGTTGCTTCGGGCTCTGTGTGCTCTTCCTCTTGCTGTCGGTTCGCTCCGGACTCCTTTCTCGGGTTTGGTTACATGCTCGGATGCATCAACACAAGGTGGTGGTTTGTGTGCTTCAGCTGGGCTTTCCAATGAAGGCCGGCGGATGCTGGAGCAAATGAACTGTGGAAACGTGCATCAGTTTCAGCCGGCGGGAGCCATGGATGTTCAGCATAGTGTGGGACCCCGCGTGTTGGCGATTTCTATCTTCAATGACATAGGCTCGTTGATGGTGGCGTTGACTCGATTGCCATGTCAGGTGGTAGGCTATGCGAGCTGTGAAACAAACCGTGAAAAGAAGCGGGTGATTCGCAGGCGTTGGCCTGGGGTCATCGAATTGGGTGATATTGCCAACGTGGATGAAAAGTTGGTTGATCATCTTCAACGCTCGTTTGGCAATCATCTGGACCTCGTTTTAGTGGGAGCAAGTTGCCCTTACCAACGAGGTTCTCAAGGGCCGGACTCACGCGAAGCTAAGCTTTTTGCTGAGCTGATGCGGGTTATTGACCTTTTGAAGTCGTGGTTCACTGTCCCTGTTCACTTCTTCATTGAGAATCTTGCGTGTCTCCGAGACTCGGATTTCGAGTGGTTCAACTCCACGTTGCAGGTGAAGCCCATCCTCATTGATGCAAAGTGGTTCACTTGGTGTCATCGTCCTCGTTGTTTTTGGTGTTCGTGGATGCCCGATCTACAAAAAGGGGAGAACATGAAACGATTCAAATTCTATGATGAATGGATTTTTCCCTTATGTCGGGGCCAGGTGGAGGCTTGGCTTGAACCCGACGGAAAATGGACTGGGGCGATGGACGGGTGGCTACCTTGTCTTACACAACCGAAAGCTCGCTCAAAACCTCCTGTGGAACCTCTATATCTTGCTGAGGCCTCACCTTCCGCCGTGGATCGCTGGAAGGCGGATGCTTACAGGGTGCCGGTGGAAAATTACGAGGCGCATAACATGGTTGCGAATTCTGATGGAGCCTTAAGACTGCCGTCTTTGTGCGAACGAGAGGTTTTGATGGGCTTTGACAAGGGATATATTGAGGGGACGCTGCCGCATAAGATGACAAACCAGGCGAAATTCATGCTGGGCGGGCAGATGCTAGGAAGGTCCCAGTGCGTACATGTACTCGTGATGTTATGCCACTCATTGTTGCCTGCTTTCGGTATTACCAACAAGCGTGATCATGTCGACCTTGTTCGAAAAAAAATCGATTGCGCCACCCTCATGGCTACTACAACCTCGGTTTGTGGAAGGTTGTGCAAACACTGCGGAAGCCCAACAACTTGTGCAACATTTTTGCCGACAGGCAGAAAAGAGCGGGTCTGATGTTAGGCTGGATGTCGGTATACCTTATCGTGCAAAGGCTTGGCCTAGAGCCGGGATCAACTCTTCACTGTTTGATTGGTCAGTTGTCCATGGCTATTCTTGGAAGCACCCTGCACATATAAATGTTCTTGAATTGCAGGCGGTGCTTAATGGGCTCAAGTGGCGTTTAAGAAAGTCTGGGAATGGACGTTGCCGCATCTTGCACCTGATTGATAATCAAGTGGTGTGCTCCATCCTTGCAAAAGGACGAAGCAGCAGCTCCCGTTTAAAACGAGGGTTGAAAAAGCTAAACTCGCTGGTGTTGGCTAGTGGGGTCGTTTTAGCTGTGGGCTACGTGGCCACCGACGCAAATCCATCGGATATACCATCAAGATGGGGCGGACGCTCACGACTACTCAAAAGGACCATAGGCAGAAAAGTCGTAAAGGCAAGAGCCTGAAAGCCCAGATGGTATCGGAGCAAATTCAATCTCGTTACGCCAATGCAGTTCTTCATGTGTTGCTTTTTCTGGCGGATATGAACACTAGCCAGCTCTCCTGGGATAGTTTTGATGAGTCAGTTTGTTGCTGGGTTGAAGCGGCCTATGCAGAAGGAGAGCACAAAACATTGGTGAACTTTGCTTTGGCTGGACTACAGTTCTTTTTGCCAGCTTGCGTGGGCAAGTTAAAGCAATCGTGGCGATTAGCAAAGGTTTGGCAACGTCTGGAACCTCCCGTTAGAGTTCTGCCAATTTCGCCGCTGTTGCTAGGAGCTTTTGCAGGCGCGGCTATCCGTATGGGTTTTCTGCCAGAAGGCGCTGCTTTGCTGATTGGGTTTGATTGCATGTTGCGCTCGGGAGAGCTTTACAACTTGTGTCGCAAAGATATCACGTTCTTACGTGACAAAGCTGTGCTTTGTTTGGGCAAGAGCAAGTCTGGCAAGCGCACTGGAGCAAACGAGCTTGTGGTCGTGGAGTCACAGTGCGCAGTGTTCTGGCTGCGTGAAGCTTGTCGTCACTTGCGAGCTTCGGACAAGCTACTCGGCCGCGGCGACAGGTTCTTCCGAAAGCTGTTCTACGAACTCATTGATGTCCTTAAGATTCAGGGACTTCTCACAGTTTACAGCTTGCGCCGTGGTGGGGCCACTTGGAACTTCTTGCTTCATGGAAGCATGGAGAAAACGCTCCTACGAGGACGCTGGTCCAGTACGTCGACTGCCCGCATTTATTTGCAAGATGCCGCGGCAACGGTGAGCCACTTACAGCTGAGTGACTGGCAAATGTCAATGGCCAGAGATATGGCAGCTATTTTGCAAACCAGCTCCGCGTCTGCTGAAGATCGTCCAGTATAGCTTGACGGCTAAAGCCAGGTGGGGCAAGTGAGGAGGAGAGCCCTCTGTTCTTTTATTGCTTCGGATCGATCCCAGTCGGGTGCAGTGGCAGACGGTGCAGGCCGTTGGGGTGTCTCTGCGAGATTTGGATTGATTAGCTGCGGTTGCAGCGGAAGCATTTAAGTACAGGCTCTGCTGAGTTCCTCCTCAGATCATTGTGCTAGAGTGCGCATGATCAAGAACCTACTGGCGTGGCTGGTGGCAAAACAGGAGTGTGCGCTCCCAACATGGAAATATGTGTAGAGACATCTTTGAAAGATTGGCTCGTAGCGGGTTGTATGTTGTGAGCAGCGACTGAAAGCATCGCCGTTTCTTACTTGTAGCTTTTGTGGCCCACCCTTCCCGCCCGGTGGATTCAGTTCCGACTGGAAGCGGTTGAGGAGGAGAGCCCTCTGTTCTTTTATTGCTTCGGATCGATCCCAGTCGGGTGCAGTGGCAGACGGTGCAGGCCGTTGGGGTGTCTCTGCGAGATTTGGATTGATTAGCTGCGGTTGCAGCGGAAGCATTTAAGTACAGGCTCTGCTGAGTTCCTCCTCAGATCATTGTGCTAGAGTGCGCATGATCAAGAACCTACTGGCGTGGCTGGTGGCAAAACAGGAGTGTGCGCTCCCAACATGTTTATGCTCGGTGCATGTGTGTGTGTGTGTGTGTGCGCATGTGTTTGACGTTTGTGCGACGGTAGAGTCTTCGGCATCTTTGTGGCAGGTGCAGTGATCGGGGTTTAGGGCGCGGCCCAGGTGTTGAGGACTACCCCGACTTAGGGGTTGAATCTTGAATCATTGAGGTAGAGTAATTATGGCACTTGTATCTGCTTTCTTTTGCGTTGCGAAACCTTTTTCCGAGGATACCCTCGATCTCTGCGAGGGAAGGGATCATGTTGACGGAGGAAGAGATGTATGCAAGTGGCCAGCTGAGGAGTAGTTGTCGTGGTGTGTCTGTGGCTTACGGCTGGACTTTTCAGGCGGAGGAAGAAGATGCAGGCATGTCTACGCGCACCTACCTGTAACCAAACTTCCGAACCTGCGTCCCAGAAAACTCAAGCTTTCATGCCTCCCAAACCTCCGAAACCACCCTTCCCCCCCATCCCAGAAAACACCAAGCTTTAACCTTATGAAGGGCCTTAGTCCCGAACACAGCAAATCGCACCGTTCCCAACATGAAACAAACTCTAAGCCTCTAAGCCCTGAATTTCGGAACCTCGGCAACCTTTCAGCTACCATGTACATAGGTCACCCCCGAATTCTACCAGTTAAGCAGTTTTTGAAGCCCAGGAGGCCTCCAATCACCACAACCTCGAAGCCCTCAGCCTCCGTATAGAGCCTTCCTGGGCTCTCCTGGAGGACTATTGTCGTTTTCGGTAGAACATAAGCCGAAGAGAGTCTTTGACATTTTGAACTTGTAAAATTACTATTATTATCATTATTATCATTATTATTATTGTTATTATTACTGCTATTGTTGTTATTGTGGTTATTGTGGGTCCGAGGGGTTCACTGCCTAAATGACGGGGTCCTTGGTGTGAAGACCCCGGATGGCTTAACAGGCACCCCAAGCCTGAGTTTCAGAGGAAGAGGGACATAAGATCGAAGCCGAACAAGGTCGTAGAATTAATCTATTACCCAAAACCGGATTCCAATCACTGACCCCTTTGATAGAAACTTCTGAGACTCTGCAGAATCACTAAGGCCCCTTTGATTGAAACTTCTGAGACTCTGCAGAGAGGCCCTGATGCTGGCCCGCATCTGCAGCTCAGTGAACCTCATCCACCGGAGGGATACTTTCCGGGCCAGCTTGGTGCTGCAGCAGCGGGTGTCGCTGGGCTTTGAAGAACTTTGGGCTTGGGGTTTAGGGTTTAGGGGTTTAGGGGTTTAGGGTTGAGGGTTTGGGGTTTGGGGTTTAGGGTTGAGGGGTTTAGGGTGTCGGGTTGAGGGTTTGGGGGTTTCAGCTGGTGCTGGGAGGGAGTGGAGAGGGTTCCAAATTCGGACCACTCTTCGAAGACTTTTGCACCCAAGACCTTGAAACCCTAAACCCTAAACCCTAAACCCTAAAAACTGCAGAGAGGAGCTCAGTATCCGAAGAAGGAGCCATCCGAACTCCTCCTAGCAATCTCTGGCCAGCGCGCTAAACGCCGTGTGTTCGGCCTTAGTTGGGTCCTGGACAGCGGCACCTAAGGTAAAAGCCAGAAAGTTGGAATATGATTATCCTAACCTTCTATGGTAAATTATAGGGTATCCTACCATGAAACCATATTCCAACTTTCTGGAGTTTCCTATAAAGGATCATAGGATTTCGCAAGTGGGTTCGAAGCTTACAAGTCACCGAATTGTGGTGATCCTTCTTAACTATAGCCCAACATATTACACACTTTTTGAGCCCCCTGATCGTTAAACTGTGTGTTTCTATGGCGGCCGGTTCAGGGTCCTGAATACGGGGTCGAAGGTATCAAGGATACTGATAATACTAGCAATACTTCCAATAACCACCGAAACAGACAGTCCTTCACCCCCAAACCCTTCAACCTCAATACAGTCGAACCCGACACGGCTTGAAGACCCTCATCTGAGAATTTTGACCCCGAGTCGCAGGACACTTGCCGTAAGTACCGTTACATAAGGGGCCCCTAAATTATGTCCCTCCCCCGCAACAGAGCAGCTAAGGTTGAACCACCCGCACATCACGGCAGCTTGGACGGTCTTCGTAAAGGGCCTCAATACTTAAAACAGGGCTTCAGGAACATAGCATTCTAGAATCATGATGCAGGGACCTATGACGGAAGATTAGCTCTAGGAGTTGTTGGGATCTAAACCCTAAACCCCTAAATCCTAAACCCTAAACCCCTAAACCCTAAACCCTAAACCCCTAACCCCTAAATCCTAAACCCTAAACCCCTAAACCCCTAAATCCTAAACCCCTAAACCCTAAACCCCTAAACCCCTAAACCCTAAACCCTAAACCCCTAAACCCTAAACCCTTAACGTGTCCTCGGGGTTTCGGGAGACTATGGGATTCTGGGAGCGAGACTTCGATCTTTTGGGTCTAGGGCCTCCGACCCTTTTGGGGTGGAGCTCAAGCACTCCCTGGGTGTTACTTAAAGCATAGGGGTACTTAGATTTTTTTTTTAATTTGTGGTTATTATAATCCCTAAGAAACAGCTAAAACTATGATTTTTGCCAGGGTTCTAAGTTCAGCATAGGCACTCCCTCAGTGTTACTTAAAGGATCAGGGGACATGGAACGTAAGAAGAAAATAGGGCTGAAAACGTGCCCCTGTTGCACTCTCGCAACCTGTCTTCTCGCAGTGGACATGTCGGCTGAGGTTAGAAATACTTCGGCGAGATGCAAGTGCATACATGCATACATCTATATATATATATATATACACATGTTAATGTACAAACACACACATACGCACATACGCATATGTGTACATATATAGACGCAAGTAGCCGTTGATTGTCAAATACACACATGTATACATATATAGACATACACATATGGAATATTTGTTTATATACATTGACACATTTATGTGTACATATATGCATAGGTATACATACATCGAACATTATGTTGCATAGGTGATCTTGCAAGGCACCCTGAACTGCCATACCCAAGACTCATGCTCGTTTGCCCAAACCCCAAGGTCCATGGCTTGGAGTCTAGAGGGCAGGGTTTAGGGAAAAATCGGTTCAGGATTTGCGCCGACCAACATCGTCCTAAACCCTAAACGCCAAAGCAAGACTAGCCTCTAAGTCGAAAGACTGGACATGCTTCAACGAGGAACAATAAACCAAACTTCGACGATGTAGTGCGAACTGCCTACACAGCTCACCCAGGAATTTGGGAAACGAAGTCTTGAACACCAAGACAGAGTCCGACAACCGAAAGCTTTCAAAACCCTGAACCCCTAAAGCCATGGATTCTGAAAGCCTGCGCCACCTTAAACCTGCAGAGCCCAACAAGCTCTGCAGGGTTTACGGCCCTGAATCTCCGAGCCCTACGCCGCTGAATAAAGCGTAAGCCGTGAAGCCCTACCTATAGTCTCCATTGTAGTTCCTTTTTGGGGTTACCGTACCTTTTAGGATCCTAACTATATATTTGGTTATACCCGAAAATGGGACTACAATGGAGACTATACCTTAAAGCCGAAGCCCGAAGCCCTGCGCAGAGGTTCGGTGGCCACTTGCCTGAACTCTTGCAGCTGTCGGTGTGGTGAGCCTAACTTGCTGGTCACTACACCCTATACCCTTAACCCTAAACCCTAAACCCCTATAAACCCCTAATCCCTGATCCCCGGTTTAGGGTCTGTATAGATTGGGGGCCTAGGGCATCGGCTTTGTGGGTCTAGAACTGCAGTGGTGACTGTGTCACTACTCCGGAAGACAGGAGACCTGAAGAGTACAATGAGCCTTCATACCCACACTCCGTCACGAAACATGAACCGTGATGATGGCAATGATAATGATGCCGCTGCTGTGAGAGTAGTCATATCAGATATCAGCACCTGGATTTTGAGAGTCTGGGAACCGCCGTGGGGCGGGAGGGGGGCGGGTGGCGGGGAAGTTTGGTTTTTGGTTTGGGGCTTTGGGTTCAGCGATTCTGAGGGAGGGTTGAGGGTTTAGGTACACGAAATGATAGGCTTGTAGTTGTAGGTCTGTGAGGTACAGGTACAGTACTTGATGGGAACGTTGGAGCGGCTTCCGGTGGTGAGGAGCAGGGCCGGCGCAGTAGCGACGGAAGCATGATTGTGGTTACAGGCATGAGCGTGTCATGTAAATTAACATGCTTATTATCAGAGACCGAGCTTTTAGGGTTGGAGAAGCGGTTCCGCACCACCTGCATCATTCACACTTCTGCCCAAGTCCTTAGATCCCCGCCCTGGCGTGCTTCTCTTCGTCCTTTGATCGATCCTTCCTTCTTCCTTTCAGGTGCTTGTCCTGTTGAGCTCCCAGCCTTCCACTCATGAACCCAGAGCCAAACTCTAATCCGAAACCTACAACCTGTCAATAAGTACGGGCGAGGGTAGGTTGCTCCTAGGCACCGATCCATGAAAAGTGCAGGAACCTGTAGTGGGGACAAGTGAACATAGCAAAGCTGCACGATGTATGTACAATATGCCACTGACAAACTCCTGCCCCCCTCCCCCTCCTAAATCCTAAATCTCAACCCTAAATGCCACAAGCACCAAACCCGGACGGAGATATGTCTCCGCTGCGAAACTCCAACCTAAAGCCTAAGCTATAGACACCGAGCTCCAAGGAACACAGCGGTTAAGCGCTTCGCTGGCCAAACGGCAAGCGATGGGGAAGGCGTTCAAGTTTCTCTAGCTGGGTTTGATGTAGGGGCCGTAATCCTTTTCAACAAAGTTTTGAGGTACATTATGGTAACAGTATGACATTGTAAGACCTAATTAATGGGGACCCTACAGCGACACACACGCACACACACACACACACACACACGTGTATATATATATACACACGTGTGTGTATATATATATATATATATGCATCTAGGTCTAGATCTAGATCTGGGTATAGATGTTATATACATACATGTGCTTTGCCGTTGTTCGGACACATATGTTAGGATTTCAGGGTTTCGGTTCTAGGCTTGGGTTTGTGTTTCAAGTTCAGGTGGCTATTGTAGCCATCATACACGACATAGGTTTGGTATTTGTGACTTTTCATGGAAGCTCTTTGACAATTTGAGAAAGTCCAATGGCAAGGAACGTGAGTCTGCTGTCACCCTATCACTCTAAGCCCGAGAAAGCTAACCACCCGAAGCCCAAAGCACCTAAAGCTTAAGCCCACGGCCTCACAGCCCTAGACCCTGAACCGTAAAACCCCATGATACCCCTTAAAGGAACCCCTAAAATAGCCCTTAAAGCTCCTATAATACTCCTTTACAGGAACCCTTAAAAATCCCTTACAACCTGAAATCCTTCAGCCCTGAACTCGGACATATCTTGGACGGTTCTCTCCAGGTCGATTCTGTTAAGTTCAGAGCTTGCAGGGTGCAAGGCTTGTAGGGTTCAGGGCCGAGAGCTTCTGCCTCAAGTGCTCAGCCCTAAACTCAACGCCCTTCAAGGTTTAGCATCACTGTTCGTTCGGTTGGGGGGGGGGCGGGGGTCGTGGCGGGAGCTTCAAATGCCAAGCTATGCGTATGCCCATGTGTAGACATTCCAATATGTTCTGATCCGTCTTCATGGCGGAGTACGGGACTATTTTCCTGGATACCTTGAACCCGTTGAAAGCTGCAAGCTTCAGAGCAAGACAGGTCTCATGTCCAAGCCGTGTGAGAGTAAAACGAGTACGCAGTGGGCAAGCTTACGAAAGATTCCTGCAATATTACCTATACTATTTTGCGGCTCCTTGCTATAATTATATAGTATAATGGGTCCAGCGGCGACTATTATTCGCAGCTCTGCTCAAAGACGGGACCCTGAACCTCGAGCGTTAAACTTGAAAAGCCGTTTTGGAAGGAAGTGTTCCCTAAACCCTAAACCCTTACACAAAAGGTGCCCTTTATCCTATAAGCCGTTAACGGCCGAACCTTGGAGCTCACCGAGATGGATCAAAACGGCATCCACCTTCAACGCAGCAAATCGAAGCTCCAGCATTTTTAGGCATTGTTAGGCATTCTAGGGTCAGTGGATGTTAGTGGGGTTTAGGGCTTGGGGTCTTTCGGTTAAAAGGCTCGTTCAGGGGCACCGTTTTTAAAAATCCCTTGAACCGAAGCTGAGCCCCCACCTGTCCCAAACCTCGTAAGGCCCAAATCGCGACCCTGAAACCGAACCCCGAAGCCCCAAAGCCCCCAGCCAGAGCCCAGGCAGGAGAATTAACTTGCACTGATGGCAAGAACATCCAGTCAGCTAGTCGTATAATAGTTGGTATACCAAGTCTACCGGCCCACGCCGCGAATATATCGGATTCTAAGAAGGCGACGAGCGGAAAGAGCTGACCCACTTGGAGTTGGCCGACACACAGGCAATGTGGGGGTGGGGGCTCGGAGCTCCTACAGTGATACTGATGACAGTGTTCTGCGCAGCTTGCAGCCTTGATTTTGGACAGCTTCGATTTAAAATTAGGGGCACCTTATTTGGGGGTCCTTATCATACTATTAAGGGTACTTTATTGGGATCCCCTTTGAAAGGTCAGTTTAGGGTGGTTCAGGCTCGTTTAGAACACCTGAGGCAGTTTGGGATGATTCGGGCAGCTTTCGGTTTCTGGGGCAGCCTGGGGCGGAGATTTTAGGTTGCAGGTTTGCACCCTCGTTTTCCTCGTCATAGGTTTAGGGTTTAGGGTTTAGGGTCATAGTCGTCATAGTCGGCACCCGCAGTCATCAATGTCGTCAGCATCATCCAAGGACGCATCATTTGCAGAATCCTGGTTGGATCATAGTCGCGACGTTTGTGATCGTCCTCATCATGTTCGTCATCAATTTGCACAACATAGTTTTCGGCATCAAGATAGTCTGTGTAGCCATGACGCATCGGCATTAGCAGTAGCATCACCATCACCATCGCCGTCGAAATCATCATCATCACCATCATCACCATCATCATCATCAACATCATCAACACCAGAATCATCAGGCATCTCGCCGTCAGCATTTCAGATTTGTCTCTTTTTGTATCATGTCATCATCATTCCGTTTCTTAACTTCAGTCCATTTCCATGTACATGGCCATATCCATATAGGATTTCACTGCTTTGCGGTACGCTGATTCGTGCCATTGCATTTCCTTTCATTCCATCTCACTTGCCAACTTCATGTCATTCCATGCCAACTTCATTTGCCTGGCGTCATTGTCGTCAACGCCGTTGACATTATTGTCATCATCACCATCACAATCACGGAACTCTTGAAGGAACTCCCCAGAGGAACTCTCAAAAGGACCACTTAAAGGACCCCTTACAGGAGCCCTTAGAAGAACCCTTAAAGGCATCCTCAAAGGGGCCCTCAGAGGAACTCTCAAAGGAACCCTGTCAGGAAACCTTACAGGAACCCTCAACACACCCTTACAGGAACCCTTAAAGGAACTCTTAAAGGCACCCTCAAAGGACCCCTTAAAGGGACCCTTAAAGGATCTTCTAAAGGACCCGAAACCTTAAAGCCTGAACCCTTGAAGGACAGCTCCGTGGAGTGGCAGCTACCGGTCGACGCCGCCTTCATCGCCATCGGCCACGATCCCAACACCCGACTCTTCAAGGGGCAGGCAGGCCCTGGCACGTTGAATTACTTAGGGTTGAGGGTTCAGGCTTTAGGATTCCGGGTTTAGGGTCCAGGATTTAGGGTTTTTGGTCCACGGCTTAGGGTTAAACTGAGCCAATAAGAGATTTTTTCAACTTTTTTTGGTCCTGTATGTTTGGTCTGTTCTAGAACGTTTGAGCTTGTTTTGTGCCCGGATATTGAAGAAACTAGTTTAGGGTGTGTTGTTACGATCATGATTAGGACCAGGGTTAGTCGAAATGACATGAATGTCAACTAGTAGCTTTATGTGGGTGGTTGTCAAAACTATGGACCCTTTTTGGGTACCCTGAATATTAGGTGCCGTACTATGTTAGGGACCCCAGGGACCATAATTTGGACCACCGCCCATGTGGGTGAATCCGAAGACTTTCGCCTGTAAGCCTCAAGCCCTCACCTGAGACCCGAGCCCACAACCCTAAACCTTAAACCCAAAAAGAAGTTAAGAAGGGTATAAACAGCCCTGTAACCCTTAAGCCTTAAGCCTTAAAGCCAAAAGCACTATGGGAAGCGTATAAGGACCCCATAGCTCGAGTAGACGAGGTTTGCAGGGTTTCAGATTTCAGGGGTTAGGCCTACCTTCCTTCTAGTTCGTCTTTTTTCGTCTAACCCATTTGTCTTTAGGGTCCTTCGGGGAAGCAGGACACAAGGAACTGCAACGGATACTATATGGGTAGGCCTAAACCCTAAGCCGCGGACAAGGGGCGCGGGGATCCGTACAAGAAGCCGGGGTGTTCTAAACTTGTCGAGGCTTCAAACAAGCCTTCATACAGAGGTTCTACTTCCTCTTACCAGGTCAGCGGCGGCGTTCAGTGTTGTGCTTGAGGGTTCGCGGGTGCATGTGGGGGTCGTGCTTAGGCGTTGGGATCTAGCATCTAGCATGATTTGGGTGTGGATCGCAGCTATTTCGATGGAGCCTTTGCAATACGAGGCCGAGCTCTACGGGATAGAGCCCGGCAAGGTGCTGACGGCAGTTCTCAAGGTGGCCGACATTGGGCAGACAACCTGATGGAGCTCCACGAGGGCGGCAGAGCACGCTTCTACTTGCCGGAGAAGCTGCGGCGACAGTTCACGGCCATACGTGGCGAGGGGGTGGACCTACGAAAGAAAGTCCCATCAGAAGCAGCTCCATACACAGCTCCCACCTGTCACGAGAAACCTCAGCAACAGGATGCCCCTCATATACAGCGAGAGTGAGGGCGATGCACTCTTTTTCTACACTCACCTGCCCCCCAATTGCTCAGCTACAGGAAGAGCCTGAGTAGAACCACTGTAGTAGAAACCGTCATATCTCTGTTCACATTGACCGGACCTATCGGAATGACGGCTTGCCAGAAACCCAATGCATGTGCAGGTGGACATGGACGAGAGCCTTGGCGATGGACTTCATTCTGGCAACAGATGAAATAGTTACAGGACATTAGGTTTGAGGTTGGTGTCAGGAGCATCGGGGTTCGTCGGGACTGGTTAAGGCAGACACGAAGCGGATGAACACAGCAAGCCTTCAGCGCCTCAAGCCGTTCAACCTGGCTCCAAGCCCTACATCCATGAACCCGAAACCCTAAGGCTTAGTCTTCTTGTTCTAGGAAGCTTAAAGCACTGTTGGAGAAACCATACAGGGAACCCTTAACCCTTAGCCACCGTAACGTAAGTGGGGGGGGGGGCTGGTTCGGGGTGAGAGCCTTCAGAAAAAGGATTTCGGAGTACAGTACAATGCTTTTGCGCATTATCATATTTAGTACAAATAAACAGACTCGCAAACCAGACGCACAAAGGTATAAGCCCCCTTGGAAAATACCGTAGCTGGATTGTTTCATGATTAATCTTCTTGTTTGCTTCCGTTTTGGGGTTGAGTTCTTCTTGGTCTTGGTTTTCTTGGTCTTGGTTCATTTCAGGCACCATTGCAAAGCAGTGTATGTCTTGCCTTTGGTATTTCAGATGCAGAGGCCATCGGTGTTTCTTGTTCGCGTGCTTCTGGTCTTGAAACCCCCAAAAGTAGGTTACATAATGGCACAATGCCTGCAAAACGCTATTATTTTACGTGCTTTTAGGGTCCAGGTCCAGCCGATTCAGTAGATTGAATGCGGAGGCAATTGGCTGAAGACAGGAGTATCAAGACACCGCCATCCAGTTCCTTTAGTATGCAAGCTACAAAAGTCTGGCAGTCTAGCATCGTACGGTTGATGATATAAATCCTGCATTACCCATATAAACGAACATACCACAATTCCCATAGTTTTAGGGTCCTTAAGGTAGTGCAGGATTTATATCATTAACCGTAAATCCTCCGACATCCTACTCAAATCAGTTGTTTAGCACCGGTATTGGGCCTCAAGACCAAACCCTAAGCCCTGAACCCGATGAAGTCCTAATCCTAAGCAGCAAAGCTCAAGCCCTCCAAATGAGTGTAATTTTCTTTACAGCCCCTACATGGCTATGCTAGAAAGCTGCTCCCGAACCCGATTCTAGTTGTTAAGGCTTCCATATGGCAGTTTCCAAAGATGCGGGACCTTAAAAAACTACACTGCATAATAGGATCCTTATTATGAGGACCCCAAATAAGGCATCCCTGATTTTCGGAATCTCCCATATCTTTCCCCCCCACACCCAGGACCGGCTACATCCACGTGAATGGCCCGACCAAGACGTCAGCTTCTGGACAGCAAATGCGATGTCCAGAGAGCACGGGTACCCTAAAGCCCAAACCCGAAGCTCGAAACCCGAATTCCTAAACGCGAAACCCCAAACCCTAAAGCCTAAGCCTTAAACCCGAAACCCTAAACCCGAAACCCGTCTGAACCTTCAACCCCAAACCTTAAACTCTAAACCGTCATGAACGGAAGTTGTGTCCCAAAGCGACCCTGGCATGTCCAAGGTTCCCGGCTTCTTCGCCGCAGGGGACGTTGCAGACAATGTCTACCGGCAGGTCATCCATGCGCTCGTTCTTTTGCCGTCAGGGTGCAGGGTTGAGGGATTTAGGGTTTAGGGTTGAACTGAGGGGATTTCTGTTGTTCCTTCAGGAGGGGCTTCGGGTCGAGATCGGCCAGAGTTTCCTTTCGGCTGGCTTAGCATAGAAGCTTGAATAAGTAGCAATACTATTCCTTGCAGAAGTTCTACCGAAGCCCTATTCTACACAATAGGGTTAACACAGTAGAAGCTAAACCTTAAATCCTTATAGTAAGCTCTTACGGCAACCCTTAACCTACAGCAGCTGCCTTTCCTGTACCTCTCGCTCTCTCTCTCTCTCTCTCTCTCTCTCTCTTTCTCTCTCTCTCTATATATATATGTATATATGTATATATATATATATCAAGCATATCTATATACATATATGTGTGCTGAAACCCCACCCCAACCTCCACCTCCCCACCAATTCCCAACGCATGCGCACAGTTCTTATGCAGCCTTCTCGAAGTCTTATGGAACCTACACAATATTGAAGACTACCCTTTCATAATACTAGAAGAGCCACACAAGAACTCTTTACACCATAAGCCCTAAGCTGCAAGCGGGTTAAGCCTCATTCCCAAACCCCTTACTTTGAAACCCGTTGTAGAACCCTATAAAACTCTGCAGCAAGATGTTTCTTAATTAATAAACAGCTTGACAAGACGCTTTAACGTATTAAAACATTGTTTAACAACAAAACCTGCACCAAAGTCCAGAAAGCTTTTTTAATAATCCTTATCAAATCCAGAAAGCGCCTGAGATGCCGCCGGAGCCCGCCAACCTTCCCGGTTCTCAGTAGGGAATGGGGGAATGGATCCCCATGGTAGTCCCGAGACGGTCCCCTATAGTAGTCGTCCTAATCGCCCATTCCCCCATTCCCTACTAACCCAAAGGCTCCATGTACCCAAATAGTAGATACTTAAGCCTTAAAGTAGTCTCTATATTGGTACTTTGGGAGCAAAGTATATACTATTTGGGTACATGGATCCTTTAAAGAAAGAACCAGTCAGCAACGTCCAGGCGATCACGTCTGCCGGCTCCGGCGCAATGGCCGCGCTGGATGCCGAGAGATATCTCTCGGCCGGGCCCACAGAATCAGTGAGGGTTCAAGATTTCTATAGGGTTTTATAAGGGGATGGAGAAGGGCCGCTGGGAAAAAGGGGAGTTCTAGATTCCGTAAGGGCTTCATGGGGGCTGTAAATATGCGGGCTCTATAGCGGTCTTGTTCGTTTACATAAATCAAATACGGGTTCTAGACCTTAAGCCCTAAACCCAAGAAGGCCCTAAATCGTTAACCCTGAACCACTGAGGGGCGGGGTGGCTGTGCAAGTTTCACTTCAGAGTTCGAGAAGGTTTATTAGGGCTCCTGTTGTAGGGGTCTCCATAGTTACTTCGGGTTTAGGGTTTGGGGTTTAGGAGCGTAGGGTTTAGAGTTTGGGGTTTAGGGGTCAAGCGTGCTTTAGGGATAACTTCAAGCGTTCCTCAAGCTTCTTGAAGAATAAGCATATAGTACAATATTTCGCACCCCACAACCCGATTGGACAAATCTAGATAGGTTCCAAAGAGGCCTATGCGCAAGTTCTAGGTTTTAGCGTTGAGGGTTTCGGGTGGAGTTTCCCCTATTCCAGCTCCCCACCAAGAGGGTTTCGCCCCTTGATGAAGGCCACATCCAATTCTTTGCCGGACGCTTCCAAAATTATTTTTGGTGCAGCTTCCGGTTAGGAGTTCCTGGCAGGGATCTGTAGGGTTTAGGGTTTAGGGTTTAGGGTGGTTAAACCGGGTTCAGGGGTTAGGGCTCTGTCAGGGTCTACGGGTTCTATGAGCTCAGCGCGAGCAAGTTGTACGTAGTGCTGCGCCCCTCACCCCGAAGCCGTTACTCAAAACTCGCGAGCCCTAGGGCCCTAAGGTTGAGAGCTTGGAGTTTAAGGCATACAGTTTAAGGTTTAGGGGTTTAGGGTTTAGGTTATACGGGTTCAGGGGTTCAGGGTTTAGGGGTTTAGGGGTTTAGGGTTTAGTGAACCTGAAGCATATGGAAGCCCGCAAGCTCTTCAGACGAACACCTCTGAAGGAGAACCCGGTGGAAGAGGAGTCGTGTGTGCGACAGGCCAGATGGGTCATGGCTTGGGGCTTAGACTTAACCTTACAACTCCACCGTGAGGAGTGAGTCATCCGTAGCTACCCCTACCTACCGAAACCCTCCTCTTGAAATCCTACATCGGTAGGATAGGGGCTTGGGAGGTTAGGGTTTGCGGTTGGGGTTCATTTGGAATGGTCGGACATCGCTCAACTTCAGCTGCAGCCACACGGTTTAGATCTTCTAGTGCAGGACCTTGTAAACTTTGATTTCCTGAAGAACACCATACCGTACCAAGGACGCCTAACCAACACATGTTCCTTAGCTGGAATACGGTTTATCCTTCTGCAGAAATCCTCAGCATTAGTGCACATATTGGGTTCCTCGTTAGCTTTGAAGCACTATGGTGTACCTTCCACGAGGCCCGCTTCAACCTGTTTTGATCCCTGAACCATAGCTCTGCGTGAATCTTACAGTAGCTTTAAATCCGAACCCACATTCTCAATCCTGAACCCTGAAAAATAACCTTGCATAGACCCTAAAGTAGCTTTTAATCCGAACCTCAATCTCCTAGACCCTAAACCCTAACCTTGCATAGACCCTAAAGTAGCTTCGAATCCGAACCCAAAACCCCTAACCCTTAAATCATAACCTTGTATAGACCCGAAAAAGCGTAAAATCCGAGCCAGAACCCGAAACCCTAATCCCCCAAAACCCTAGACCCCAAGTGCATGCACCCTAAGCCCCACAAGCAGGAAGACTTCCAGTCCTGGTCGTTGAAAGATCTACGCGAGCAGGCCCCACTGCGTCGTATAGTTTAGGTTTAGGGTTTAGGATTTGAGGTTTAGCTTAGGGTGTGGGATTTAGGGTTCACGGGGTCACGGGGTCTACGGCTTAAGACCATAGGCGCAGGAATGGTTAGAAGCAGTACCCCGTTAAAGTTAAAGGCCGTTTGCAATTACAGTTTCGGATCAGTTCTTTCTACATATACACAAAGATCCATGCATGCGGCAGTTCAAGACCCTCGTGAAAATATCCTTTAAATTAGGTCATAAGCTTCCGAAAGCTCCAAACCCGAAGCACTAAACCCTGAACCATAATCCCAAAGCCCTGAACCCCGAACCCTAAACTGCTAACTCTAAACTCTAAACCCTAAACCCTGAGCCCTGAGCCCTAAACCCTAAACCCTAAACCCTGAGCCCTGAGCCCTAAACCCTAAACCCTAAACCCTGAGCCCTGAACTTAAAGGGCCGAGAGGACTTGGGATATCGGGGTTTAAGCAGGAGGACTTCGGGTTGAGGCTGGCAGATGAGAGCTTTCTACGGCTTTAGGGCATCTTAGGTTTCGAGGTTTACTCTAAGGGTCCAAGTATCCTGTTATCAAACACTCTCAAAAATAGTAGCCTACATAACTACTATCCCAAACCCGAGTACCTAATTATTGGTTTTTTTGGACCCTTAGGATTTGGGGTTTTAGGGTTTAGGGCTACGCTTTCGGATAGGGGGTGAGGTTTTAGGGTTGGAGATCCTTGACCTTTAGGTGTACCTAGACTCCGAACACTCACGGGGCCCCTGGTTTTGTAGGTTTCGAAACTTCGGAGTGGAATCGGAACTGCATGCTTGCGACTATCGGGTTTCTCTTTGTTGAGGATGTAATGTAGGGGTTTTAGAAGCTGTATAGAGTCGTACGATTGAATTGGGTTCATTATTACCACCATAAGATGCCATTTTCCCGAACTCTGTTCTAATTAAGGAGCACATACCTGCAAATAGATGCTGATCCGACCACAATGGAGATTGCCAAGGAGCGCCCGCAGATCCGCCACGACATGGAGTGAATCTGGAAAGACCGGTTCAGGGTATAGGTTGCAGCTGCGCAGCAAGGCATCGTGTGGTGCGGTATGCTGACTGTGACCGCGCAAGCAGAGAAGCACTGAGGACATTTTCTTTCGCGCGGCCATCAGGTACGGGTCGAGTGACTCGGCGTGTCAAGTTTCGCCGAGTGGGCGTCTATGTGCAAAGAGGGCGCCGTGCAAATGGCGGTGCAGATGACCCCTCACATAGCGGACACGTTTGTTAGCTGATGTTGCACTGGCTGTGCGACTGTATGGTCTCGCCAATTTGCAGTTCTGCGTGTTTCTGCTCAGGAGAAATGTCTGCGATACCTTATGCATTTTGTAGTTTCGGATTTTGGAGGCTCAGGCTTCTAAAATCTTCCAGCAAGACTGTCTCTGGAAGTCTGAGTGTTCTTTGGTTTTTGCACATGTCTTGGTGTCTATCTGTCGCTGTCGGTGTATGAGTCTGTGTGTGTCTTCATGTGCGTCTGCGATCGCATGCGTGTGGGTGCGCGGTGTGTGGGTGCATCGGTTTGTGGGCATCTCTGTGTGTGTGTTTGCGCGTAACAGCGGACTTCACATCCTGCCGTTGCTTTCAGTAATTTCCGGAATATTTGCTTTTTTTGGCGAGCATCAATATCACGTGCAGCCTTCTGTTCGACTCGATATGACTTTACGTTTGCTTATACCCTGGAACAGGTGAGCTATTAGAGGTGATTGCTTGGTTGAACGAGTGGATCGTATGTGTGGGTTGAGCTACGCAGTGCTTCTTGTGGAAGTCATAGTACGGGCATGTTCGAGCGAGGGGCTGGATTGTGTCTTCTGGATAATTCGATGGCAGCTTTGGCATTTCTGCTTGTTGGTTGTGTTGTGGTGGCGACCTGTCTGACACCCTGAACCCTAAACTAAACCGTCAATGAGCACCTTGAAGATGAACGAGACCCCTGTAATATAAGGGCGTAAATAATCACCCATACTATTTTTGAGTTTCTTCATTAGAATTATGTACGGCGGGCCCCAAAACCCTAGTCTAATAATTAAGACCCCCTTAATTGCCCTGAACCCTAAACCCTAAACCCTGAACCCTAAACCCTAAAGCCTAAAGCCTAAACCCTAAACCCTAAACCCTAAACCCTTAAGATGCCAGGTGAAGCTCCTTGGCGTGAAATGCGTGGCCTGCAGCGAGAAAGCCGATTTCATCGCTTCTTTGCAGGCACCTCGCCCGTCCGGTTCTTGCTTAGGGCTTCCGGCTTAAAGGGTTTGGAGTTTGGGGTTGAGGGTTTAGGGGTTTCGGATTTAAGGGTTTGCGGTTGAGAGGGTTTAGGGGTTTCGGCTTTAAGGGTTTTGGGTTTAGGGTTGAGGGTTCAGGCTTTAAGGAGTTAGGGTTTAGGGTTTAGGGTTCAGGGTTGTGGGCTTCCATGCAGGCTTATAGTTGGGGGCTCCGAGCTAAAGGAGTACATCGGGCCTACAAGAATTGGACTTTAAGGTTTAGGGTTGGAGGGCTTGGGGTTTCGGATATCTGCGGTTTAGAGTTTGGCACTGTAGGGTTTAGGATTAGGGATTCTAGGTTTCATAGCTGAAAACTCAAAACAGAACTGTCTCGTCTCGACCTTTACCGTCCAGACTTATACCAGTAGTAATCATCTCCAAAAATTCATAGCAATAAATAAGAACAGTAATGAAATAGTAAAATCGTATCCCTTATAGGAATTGTAGGAGTAGGCTCTTCGTGGAGGGTTTTTGCCGCTCGGAAATCCGAAACCCCAAACCTCAATTGCCCTAACGCCCGAGATGCTAAACCCCGCAACCCTAAACCCCAAAATCGGAAACCCTTTCCCTTAAATCTTGGATCAGACGGCCCCCTCTAGGGATGGGCATAAGAGGGGCTTCAATATGTGGAATCGGGCTACGGGTTTATGCTGAATACATGTTGAACGAAGAAAGGAGTTATGAGGGGCTGCTCTTAATTACGATTGTAGATCTCCATGTTCGCTGGCGCTGCATCCAGACAGGATGCATGGCATCAAAGCTAAAATCATTGCCCCTTCCCTTCCCGGAGCTTTAGTGTAGAGCTGTCCCAGCTTGCGAGGCCAGCTTTTGATGTGGACCTTCCCATCCAGTCAGAATTCAATGTGCAGCGGTGCTGAGGACTCTGCGCTTTGAACCCGCTGCCCCAAACCTCCTTGAGCCTCTTCCCCCAAGTCCTAAACCCTAAACCCTGAACCCTGAACCCTAAACCCTGAACCCTAAACCCTGAACCCTGAACCCTGAACCCTAAACCCTTATCCATTGTGGTGGATGTTTGCAAAAGGGTTCCACAAGGGTTGTGGCCAGCCGGTGATGTCAATGGGAGATTGGCCTCCTTTCTGGTATGTGTCGGCAAGGGACCAGGCCACTCAGCTGGCAGATGTTGGGGGTGCCGGGCCCAATACTATGATTGGCAACCGCTTGACACTCATTGCCACAAGGGATGACCCTCGCTACTCCAGGTTTGTCGAACTGATGGTGGAAGACTTTGCAAATGCCCTCGGAACTTCCTCTGACGAGGCCGTGGAAGGGCCCCGCTCAGGGAATGACGAGTGGCAATGGGCCCGCTATGTGGAGGAACACCTGCATATGGAATTCCTGGAGGCCTACTTTCCTCACCATGTGCTTGAGCTGGAAAGGCTGATGGACCAAGTGCAAGAAACAGTGTCGAGTATCCCGCCACCGGACGAAGGGGAAACCATTGTGGAGTGGCTTCGGAGGTCCCACTCCAATCGTTTGCTTGTGATGCCGTCGCTTCAGCGCACCCTGCACGGGCTGAATGCGGCCTTGCCGACGGTGGACCAAAGAGTGATCCAACAGGGGATTCCTCCGCTGGGGGAGTGGATCCTCTCGACCCTGGAGTTCTCGAGAACGGCGCGCGTGGAAGGAGATGACGCATGGGTGCTCCACCTTCTCCGAGGTCGCATCAGTGCAAGGGCGGACCTCCGATATCGAAGGCGAGGGTTCCAAGTTCTGTGGGAGCTTGAGCAGGCTCTCCCATACGGGCGTCCCATGGGCATGGAAGCTCCGGAATATGTGGTGACGTGGGTCTATTACGAGGAAGGGGAGCTCTATGAAATATTGGGGCGCCTCTGCCCGGACCAGGATGAGCCTGATGCTGCAAGCATGGTACAACATGGAGTCAGGAAGAAGTGGCTCAAGCCAGCTGACGGGGGTCGTCGCAGAGGGCAGAAAGGGCACCAGGGTAAGGGCAGCAAGCCGAAACCTGAGAAGCGGGACCCGAGGCCACCGCCTGCCCCGCGTGCTCCTGCTGAAGCCAGGTGCAAAATCACTGAGAGTACCAGGGTTCTCCGGCCGAGAGCAGCACGAGGGAGAGATTCGCAAACAGCAGAAGCAGGGTCAGGGTCAGGGGCCACCTCCTCTACGGACAGACCAGCAATGGAAGCCGAGGACCCGCTCACCATTGACGAGGCTGTTGCTGTGTGGTCCATCTTGCTTGGACTAGCACAGGAAGAGGAGGTCGATGAAGATCCGGAGGTAGTGGTAGGTGAGTATGCCAGGAACTCGGTGGTCGAGACCTTCTTGAACTATAACGCCCGTGACAGGCTCAGGTTCATTCTGGCATTCCAAGGGGTTTTGAGCAGGGTCATGAGAATGATCGGGATTGCCATTGAAGAAGCACTCCAGGAGGAGAACAGCAGACCAGCCCTCGTTCCGCACGAACCAGACGACAGCTCGCTGATGCAAGTGGGCCTGGTGACCAGCGAGAACGAATGGACGGCTTTCCTCTTGGACTTACGCCATGCATTGGAGGGCATGACAAAAGATGCCCGACTCTCAAATGCACAGCTGTTGCATCGGTGGTTGGACCACAGGTGCTGCAATGAAGCTGCTGGGTTCTGCCTGGGGCACATGCAGGGCAGGGTGGGGCAACTCGTGGCAGTGCTGGTGACGGCCATCGAATCTGCGAGGGAGGTCGAGCAAGCTTGCCCGCATCACCTTGGCTGGTGCGAGGTATGGTACCGGCGCCTGTCGCTCTTCTTGCCAACGCACCCGGGCTCAAGGAAGGCACGTGGCCTGCCGCAACTGGCAGGCGAGCCGGCGCCTGTACTCTTCCAAAGGCCTCTCCCGGAATCCTCAGACGAGGAAGCGGCTGACAACCACATGAGGCGGGCTCGGCAGCCAGGACGTGCCGCACGGCCTCTCTGCTGCGGCTTACCAGGAGTGGGAGGACTGGGAGCTGTCGCAGGCGATGTCGCAACCCCCTACCATGAAGCGGACCTTTCTCGAGGTGGAGATCGCAAGTGGAAGCGGAGAAGTACCCAGGGTGACGACAGTGGCCAAGTTGGCTTTGCCGAGTGATGGCAGTGCCTTCCAGATCACGGGTAGGGTTGTGCAAGAAGATGAGCCATCAGCAGGTCTTCTGTCTGCGAGGAAAGATCGAGCGGACGGAAAAAGGCGTTAAACAAAAAAAAAACCCTTATCCATTACAATTTTGGGGTTTGGTGCTTGGAGAAACTATGCCCCAAAGCTCTCATGCTACTCGAGAACTCGAAGCTCCTAACCTCCTCAACCTAGGTTGTCCTTCGGGGTCTGTTTTAATTTCCCCTACTATTTGTAGAGAGCCGTAATAGTAAAGAATCGTCAAAGGGCTTAAAGGACAACGGCTCAACCGCAACATCCTAAATGCAAGTTTCGCGCGAAGGCAAAGGGTTCCATGCGCAACACAACTTTTCGCAACTTCAGCTAAAGCCCTCAGGTCTCGAATTCAGAGAACCCTAGGCTTCAAGCCTAGCTTCTACCATCGATTCTATATGCTTTTCTTTGGTTAGCCCTGATGTCGAGCCCCCAGATGTCCCAAGCCCTTAAAACCTGCACCTACAGTCCTTATCCATGCGTCAAGAGCAATCTGAACCTGTCTTGCTCCATCTCTGGCGCCCCTCCCGTGACAAGCCAATTTATCGGATGAAATTAGCGAGCTTGCGGAGCCAGGAAGCACATACACATAACGCAAGCTTTTTGAAGTCCACCCCCTACACAAACCCTCTAAACCCCTGCACGCCAGACTTACAAACACCTTAAACCCTAAACCCTCAACACTACCCTAAACCCAACGAAAGCCACACGAGGAGGCTGCATCCGGCGATGCGGGGCAATGGCCGCGCAATCTGCCTAAGAACCGAGTACAGGCTTTCCAAGGCAGGGTTTCTAGGGTTTAGGGTTGATAGGGTTTTAAGGGTTCCTTGTGGCTTTGGGGTTTTGGGGTTTAGGTTTTTAAAGGATGATAGTAGGGCTTTATGGGTTCTTTTTGGCCTGGGGGTATAGGGTTTGATAGGTTCCTTTAGAGTTTAAGGTTTGGGTTTGGGGGTTTTGTATGGTCCTTTAGTGCTTTTTCAGAAGCTGAACCTCTAAGAAGAGCGGTTACGGTTCAGGTATAAGGTTTTGGGTTGTGGGGCTTGGGTTTAAGGTGTAAGGTTTAGGTCTTTTCTTCTCCGCAGCCGAGTCGTGGAGTTTCGAGGGAGCATCTCCCAGACCGTCAGTAGCAGGACAGTCATGGGGCCAGAGGGGCTCTAGAGTGGTTTAGGTTGGGTACGGCCCCCACTCACTAATAGTTGAATAATATTCATAATATAGATACAGTCGGACCTTAATAGTAGCCCTATTATAGACTCTTAGCTGTATGGGGGCCGTACCTAAGGTTTAGGGTTTAAAGTTTAGGGCTCTAGAGCAAGGCAGAAAGTGAGAAGGAAGCTGCCCATGACTTTCGGGCTTATGGTTTACTTCACCTACCAAAACCTACTTTTTGTAGGGTCCCTAAAAATGCCATATTAGGGTTGATACTAAGAACCTACAAAACAGTAGGGTTTGGTAGCTTAAGGTAGGGTCATAAGCCCAGGCAGTTCAAAACGTCGCAAGCTCTGGATAGTGAACTCCGCAGTAGAAGCGAGAAAGGTACAAACGAAGCAGATCCAGGATAACCGCTTTCCTCCATATTCGCAAACTCCGAAACCCCTGACTTCCTTCTTCTACAGCTTCCCTCTTTACCCCAAAGGTCCGGAACGATGTAGGAGTATCGGGGAACAATCTTGCTTTCTCTTGTGAGATGATGCGTAGGGACCTGAATAAGGTTAGCAATTGTTGGGTATTCCTGTGGGTTCCCGAACGTACAGAACAGCGCCCTTCAGGTCGACTCATCCATCCATCCATCCATCCGGAGCATAAGAAAGCTACTCAAAAGGTCTTTAGTAGAATGACCAAGTAGTAAGTAGAGTAAATGTCATTGTCCAGGCCCCAATGTTCGCAGTTCATCGCTTTTACTGTTTGGGAGCTTGGTGTTGCTTCCGTTCGAGGGGTTTGGCGCGGGGGAAAGAGGGGAACTCGGGGTTTGGGGAGTTGAACGCGTTTCACATCATCAAAATGAGTTCAGCCTAAGGACTCTAGGCTAAGAAGAGAAATCCGCGCCTTTCTCGGCTAATTACAACTCGAGAAACTACAGGACCCCATGGATTTTCAAGCCCCTGTGGCCTCGGGCGTAGAGTAGCGGAAGTGCATCATCTTCCACTCCTGCAGTGGCACCCCTCCCAAGTGAGGAGGCGCCCAGCTTTGCGGGAGGCTTTCAGCAAGATTGTTGATGGGCAAAATCCTGAAATACCTTGTAGGTACCCTCAACCCTGAACCTTAAACTAAGGAAATTCACCCTAAACCCTAAACTAAGGAAATCACCCCAAACCCTAAACCCTAAACCGAGGAAATTCACCCTAAACCCTAAACTAAGGAAACCATGGTGTGTTCTACATTATGATGGGCAATGAAGTCGGAATTTTGCCCATCCTCCACATTAGTGGGACTCTTCCTCGGGTTTGAGGGCTTAGGGTTTAGGGGTTTAGGGGTTTAGGGTTTTAGGGTTTAGGGGTTTAGGGGTTTAGGGGTTTAGGGTTTAGGGGTTTAGGGTGTTTAGGCTTGATCTCGTCTCAGAGTTGAATTTTTGGGGTCGGCTGCGCACTGGTCGCAACACCTAGAAAATTCTCCGCAGTACGTGCGCCTGTTGCCTAACAGGATAGCCGGCAACTTCCTCATAGCTTCACCCTAGAAGCCTAAACTTTACCACCCTAAGCCCTTAGTTTCACCCCCTACAGCCCCATAAACCCTGCACACCCTACATCCCCTAGCCCTGAACCTTCTTTACCCAAACCCCAAGCCCCGCAGCTTCAAGCCTGATCCATTTAAAACTCTTAAACACCCAAGCCACGATTCGCCACAGTGTTCAGAGAACCCCACACAGGCATTCACAGGGTCGAGGGGAGGTATGTTCTACTATAGCTTCAAGAAGGAACGCCTAGAAATAGTATCACCCCCGAAACCCTAAACCCTTAAACCCCCAGACCCCTACACTTTAAACCCTAAACCATAAAGCCGATTCTTCAGGCTTCTGTGCCATGCAACCTCATGACCCCGAGAAGAGCCCCGTGCTTAAGAAATGCAACTACCTGCCGACAGATCCTGGCTGGCCTAGGAGGGAGGGCCTATTATGATATTAATAGCTGCAGAGTTTATAAGGATTACTACAATCAACCTAGGAAAGGTTTTTTCAGAGGTGTTTGCTTTTTTTTATAGTGGTGCCCGAAGGCGTAGCAAAAGGGTTCCTGTTTCGAGTTTCGATTCTGTGGTTGTTGCTTGGTAGCCATTAACGCAGGAAGCTTTAGGATGTTGCAGTATACCATGGCTCTTCAGGAAGGAGAAGGTTTGGGGCTTAGGGTTTAGGGTTTAGGGGTCTTGTCTTGGGGGTTGAGCTTCTTTCTTTAGTTGCAGATGCTCAGGATCGTGCGTCGAAGGTTAGGGTTCAGGGCTTCGGGAGTAGATGAGGCTTAGGGTTCAGGGTCTACGGGTTTCAGGTTTAGATGTCACGCAACGGTTCAAAAATTGTTTCATGGAATCTAGGGAAAAAGATGCCTTACACCCTACCTGAATCCCAAATCCCAAAAAGGTAGATTGTTTAGGGTTCAAGTAAGTTTTACAGAAGCAGTAGAGGATGAAGTTATCCTCCCGTCCTCTGCCAGCTTGATGCCACCGGCAGAAGGCGCGCTGACAAACCGACAAGTGCCAAAGACCCGTGTGGCCACACCACACATCCCGCTGCTGAAAAGAGCTGCTGATTTGCCAGCAGTCATTATCACACACCACCAACATTACAATCTTAAGAATACGCCCATGAGGTAAGACTAGCGATAATCGTGATAACTCTACCAGAAGAGCTTGATTTTCTCCTTTTTTGGCGTGCGGCGTGGTTTTGAGGTTGCTGGGTTTCGGATTTTGTGTCTCGGATGAACAAAAATCCCAAATCCTCAAAAGCACCTCAAAGAAAGCCAAGTGCATAGCATCATTGACCCACATGTTGGACATGTGTATGGGCACTCACCTACGCATGCGCATCACTGCATGAAAGACGCGAGACGCCGTGCTCTTGTGATGAACGAATGATAGGTTAAGCGCTCGCTCCTATTCAGCTTCTGTGCTGATCCAATACAAGACTAGCATGGTAGCGGAGAATTCTCAGAAAGGTACGGACATAATGGCTCTGGCAGCGGTTGCAAGAAGTGTTTTGCCTGAACCCTTCTGCCCTTTCCCCCAATTCCCAAAATCCTAAACCCTGCGAAACTCTAAGCATTTCACCCGAAACCTTGTACCGTAAACTCTACCATTCTTGGCTCACCAGAAGGCTTCAAAGGATGCAGGCGTAGTTGCAGAAGTTTGGGGCGGGCCTGTGCACTGGGGCGCCGAAAGGAGCGGATGGTTCAAGCACGTCGGCGGTTCAGGGTTTAGGGCTTCAGGGCTTAGGGCCAGGGTTAGGGCTTTAGGGTTTAGACTTTAGGCTTTAGGGTTTGGGGTTTAGGGTTTAGGGTTTGGGAAGGATCAGGATTTAGGGTTTGAGTTTGGGGCTTATAGGGTTTGAGGAGTGAGGCTGACAGGCGTTGGATCAGATTTTTTGGGTTCAGGGTTGCAGGAGATGCTGGGCTTTCCTTGCAGGTCTACAGTGTGGTGGGGTGATGTGCTGCGTAGGATTACAGAAAAATATTCCCCGAACTCCAAATGTAGCCCTAAACCGTCACAGTAGCTTGCCGTGCACTTAACCACCCTCAACACCCTAAACCCTCAACACCCTAAACCCTAAACCCCTAAACCCTGAACCCTAAACCCGAAACCCTAAACCCTAACGAAGTTTTGAAACATGGAGCCGGCTCTGGTGTACAGGGCTTCGGGTTTCGTTTTTGACATCTTGTCGGCTGTTTCGGTCGATTCGGGGTTGAGCCTCATAGATATCTCATCTGTGAGTTTCCAAAAAGTGGGGGTACCTTATTTGGGGGTCCTTTTAATAAGGATCCTACTAGTCCTACTATTTAGGGTACCCTATTAGCGTCCCCTATTTTCGGAAACCCCCATCGCTGCAAAAAGCCCTCAAAGTCTAAACCGAGTGGGAAGTGCCGGGTGCAAGATGCTTTGGCAGGTGTTGAGGGGGTTGCGGGTGGGTGTTAGTTTGGGCGAGGAGCGCCCTTTAGTCCTATCCACCCGAACTCGCTCGAACTCTACTGGGATATCTGCAAAGCTTATTGAAAAAGCATATATACATAATAATATGCATATATATATATATGTACATTTTGAGCAAGCCAACAATATAGGGTTAAAAGTAAGACAGTCAGGTTGACGAACCGAAGCACTTCTCCCTGCGGGATGAAAGAGGGATATATATCCCCGTGTGTAATATAGGGGCCTTTGATAACTACCTATAGTATTTTGGGGGCTCCTCATTATGACTATAGCATTAGGGGCCCAAAACCCTATTCTCATTATTAAGGCCCCTATAGTGGTCTTCATGTGGACGAGGAGACGTCTGATGACGGCCGTTCCCATCAACCAGTTGGCCAGAAACAAGGCTGGTATGCAACAGAGGGGCCTAATTGATTATTTTGGGGTTCCTTATATTAGCCCCTGTATTAGAAGTGTCGGCTGGTCGATGGAGGGGTGTCTGCATTGTTTTTTTCGGATGTTGCTAGAAGTACATCTGACTGACGGCCGGTCATGGCAGATGTGGACATGTGGCGGCAGTCAACCCATTTCATTTCGAAGGAACATAAAGCTCAGTCGGAGAAGCTACCGAAAGAGACATAAGAGCAGTCTTCTTGTTATGCGCACGCTCGCAGGGCGTCAAGTACACCTGTGAGATCACTGGCAGCCCAGCCACTCTCGTGTGCTCTGAATGCCCTGTCTACTTCGCCACCTATGAGACTCGGCTTATTTAGACAACTCTGGGAGTTGCAAGCACTTAACAAGGCAATAAGTTTTTTGAATTTTTCAGCAAGTGGTGACCCTGATATCATTCATCGGCCGGAAGGTAGTGCGCAGAATCCCCCTATTATGGGATGCCCCCTTGAGGGGCCCTGGAGAGTCGGGATTTGTCATCAGATCAAAGTGTGCGGCCCCCAATCATTGAATCGCAGTCGCAAGAGCCTTCACGTACCATAGGGGCGTAGATAAATTACCGATATCATTTTGGTGTTTCCTTAGAATAAGAGTAGCAGAATTTGCCCCACAACCCTGTTCTAATCATTGTTAAGGCCCCTATATGGGTGGTTGTCAAAATTAGGGTCCCTTTTTGGGTACCCTAAATAATAGGTCCCGTACCAGAAGAGGGACGCCAAAAGGGACCACAGTTTCGACAACCACCTATATTCCAGAGCTTTGCGCCCTCAGACCCAGTTCCGGAGATCGACGCTAGCTTTGGCTTGTAGAGTAGTATGTCAGAGCCCATGCAGCAGCACCCTAAACCCTAAAACCCGACACCCTAAACTCCAGACCCTCAAATCCTAAACCCTAAACCCTGTCGGACTGGAATGCGGTACATTGTAATGTATGCTTTTTACATCGATGTAAGGAAACCCTAAACTCCAGACCCTCAAATCCTAAACCCTAAACCCTAACCTAGCCTGCGCCTTGAACTAAAAACCTCATGGACTCTGGACGCGAAGCCCAACAGTCTATCAGATTGTGGGTCGGTGGTTTAATGACATAAGACGTATACAGTGAGTTTTACTGCAAGTATGGGTGAGTTCTGGTGTTACACTGTGCCAGTAGCATTCATATCGAGATTCGTCTTCTAGTTCTTACTCCACTTTTGACTATTGTCACTACTGGCGTTGGTAGTTCCATGTTTATTGCTACTTGGTTCGTCCTGGTTTGTGATCGGGCTTCTCAGAATCCGGTTTGCATTTCAGAGTTCGGGGGTTGGGGTTCGACCTTGTTGAGGGATTTCAGGGTTCAAGGTTCTGGTGTGGCGGGTTTTGGGCTACCCCAGCTCCGGACGGCTTAGGATTGACGGCGTGTCTTTGGGGTTCGGGGTTTCGGCTTGAGTCTGACCCAAAACCTGTAGACTGTAGATGCCTGGTTTATGAGCTGAGGCTTTCATGTTGGGATCCCTATCAGTATCTGCACTAAGGGGAAGGGGTTTATCAGTCAGGGTCTGCATTCAGCTTGAGAGTTTAGGGCTACGCGGTTTAGCTTAGATCTGTAGAGGCTTGATGGTGCCTGGCCCACCAACCTGCTGTTGTCAGACTCGGTAGGTTGCTCAGGGCTTTGAGGCTTGCGGGTTTAGGGGTTTGGCATACTCCAGAGCATGAAGCCCAAAGCCCGAAACACTTGGCCACAAAGCCGAAGTCCTTCCAGCTTGGTCTTTGGTGTCATATTCATCCTGAATCTGACTTACCCCAACCCTAAACCGCAATGTTTGCACTCTACCCCCTAAAGCTTAACCCCCCCCGAAACCCTAAATTGGAAACTCTACGCTCTGAGACCTAAGCCCGAAACCTTAAGCTGTTTAGGGTTCTAGGTTTTTTTAGGGTTTAGGGCTTAGGGTTCTTAAATTCCAAGGACCACTTCGATGTGTGGTGGAAGGGCATCGGGAACCTCATCGCGCAGGCGCCTTCCCGTCCCATTTCGGCGGGGATTTCTGTGGTTTTTATAACTTGAAGCTGAAGATCGCGGTTAGATCCTGAAGCCAATTTGTAAAACCTATAGGCCCAAGCCTTAAACTCCTAAGCCGAAAAGCCCGAAGCCCAAATCCCAGGACATCGTAGTCCTCCGAGCACCGCCGAAGATGATCGGCAGTGAGGAGGAGCGGAAAAGACGCGCCGAGGACTCGCAGCAAGCGCTTTTTGTGGGGTGTGCCTTAAGATCCTATCTTTACAGGATGAGGTCTTCGCCCTGATAATGCAAGAATCGGAACCCAAAGTGCCCACACTTTGAAAGCCCTGAGCCAGAAGCACCAAGCCCGGAAGCCCTTGAGTTCATCCTACGTAGCCTCTGGCGACAGACTCCCTGGCTCCTAACCGTAAACTCTAACTCCCACAATATCCGAGAGAGAACCCTAAACCCAACAGGGTATCCTGCTCTGAATCATTGTCTAGGCAGTGCCCGATGCGCGCAGCGAAAGGTGCAATGCTTTCAGAAGCACAATCTGCAAAACCATAAGCCCTAAAGCCTCAACCCTAAGCCCTAAACCCTTAAACTTTTATCCTCAAACCCTCAAACCCTAAACCCTGGACCCTCAACCCTAAACCCTAAACCCTAAACCCTAAACCCTAAACCCTAAACCCTAAAAACCCTAAACCCGTAAACCTAGACCCTAAACCTTCAACCCTCAACCCTGAACCCCGAAGCTCCTCCCAGGAGTTGATGGGCATCAGAAAGGAGCTGCGGCTTGGTTTGGCAAAATTCCGCGGGGGTTCAGGTTGCATTGAGTTTCAGGGTGAGTATAGGGGCCTTCATAATTCGAACAGGGTTTGGGGAAAATTGATGATAAGAAGCCCCGAAAAGATAGGTAATCAGTAAGGCCCCTATACAGGGGTTATCTCCACACTCTATTGAAAGACTGCAGCAGTCGAAGATCCCGGGATGCAAATGACCAAGCCCGTTGCATAATCTCAGGTTGGAGTTGTGCACGGAGACCGCGCAGAAATTCCTCGTGCCCACGCCCTTGTTTGCACGGCGTGTTCTTCTGAAATTTCAGACGTTAGCATGTTTTTGGCACGCTGTGTTATTCTGAAATTTTAGGTTTTAGCTCTTTAGAGCGCAGGTGTTGGGGCCAAGGTCCGGGAAATAGTGGCACCCTTACCAACCCGAAACCCTAAGCCCAAAATCCGACTCGAGAACCCACATTGGACCCTTGAATCCGAAGCCCAAAATCCGAAACCCTATATAAACCCATAGAACTCGATAATCCACATAGTACCCTTGAGCCTGAACCCCAAATCCACCCATAGAACCCACATAGAACCCTTGTGGAAGCTAAGAAGAGCGCGGCAGGTACAGGGGAAGTACGAGCTCGCAGTGCCTGGAGCGCTCCAGAGCCATCCACCCGGTGAGGGTTGGAATACGGTTTCGGTTAGGGTTTTTGCATTTAGGGTTGAGGGTGTTAGGGTTTAGGATTTAGGGTTTATAGGGCTTTAGGAAGATCACTGTTTTCTAGATGTTCTGTGGGGGTTTTAAGTCTTACAGGCTTTTGTAGGATTTTGCCGCGTTTTTGTGTTGGGTTGATAGTTTTTGTGGGTTCAGGCTAATTAGGGGTTTCCTGCAAGGGTTAAGATGCCCTGCAGACCTTAAGGCCTCAAGAGTTCCTACAAGGACTGTCGTGGGGACTGGGGCTTTGGGGCTTTCTGGGGGGGGGGGGGGGGTTCGGCAGCTCAGGGCTAGGAGTGAAGATTTGGATTCACGGGTTGGGGTTCGGGAAATTCAGATAGATGGGGTTTGGGGGGTTCAGGGTTGGGAGTTCATGCTCAATGTTACTGCTCAGGATTTAGCAGGTCGGGTTTAGGGGTTATAAGGGTTAGGAGACGGGGTTGTTGACTTTAGACTTTGAGTCTTGATTAGGATGTTGGATGTGGGATGTAAGATTTGTGCTTTGCCGGTGAAGGGTTAGGAGCTAGGTTTTGGGATTGAAGATTTTGGGGATTGAGCATCAAGTAATCTCATATGCCTGTTGCAAGAATTCCAAAGTGTTGCCAGTGTGGCCACCAACTGAGGGGAATATATAACCATACTATTAAGAGCCATGGAAACGAACTGAAAGGGCAACCAGTGCCAATGAGCATAGTAGTCACCTTAAGCCCAGAAGAAATACACCCTAAACCCTATACGCCAAGACCCTAGACCCTAAACCCCTAAGCCCTAAACCCTATACGCCAAAACCCTAAACCCTAGCTAAGCTCTGAACTCCGACTTGCGAAAGCGATTCCCAGCAAAGGCCTGAAGTTCGCCATCGAGGTCTTCGGATCGGAGGCGTCTGAGCTGGCGCCTTGCTTGGCATCCTATTCTTCCCGACCCGGAGCTCCTGACAAAGTCCTGATCTGGAGGGTGGGGATGTTCGAAGGAAATTCATTTAGGTACTTGACTTATTGCCCTTACCTACACTGTTTTGGGGCTCCTTATGAAATTGTCTTATAATACATAGCCCAAAACTCTGTTCTATTCATTAAGGCCCGTATATTGGTTTGATTATGGGCGCCCCATATCACCAGTCGGCGCCTGAGCCCCGATCTGTCTCAAGACCCGGGCTGTTCAAGGAAGTCGTGACTTGCACTAGAGTTTTGGGCTGGGGAGCCGTCTTTGTTTTTTGCTTGCCGACATGTCGCACAAGTTCGGAGAAGCCGCGGAAACCCAAGCCCTGGACATTGAGCCCCACCTCAACTCCAACCCTCAGCCCCCACTTTCCAAGCCCTTACCCGCCTTCAATCTCAATTGCCGCAACACCACGCTCCGGGCTTTGAAAAAAAGCAAACGCAAGAGCTTAAAATATGTTCAAGCCCTTAAGCTCCTAAACCCGAAAGCTGTCTTTGAACCTCTACCCTAAAAACGAAGCCCTGAGTTACTTGACAACGCAAAGACCTATCCGAGGTGCCCTCGTACCTGCTCCTAGCTGAGGCCTGTGTGGGTCTGTAGGGTTTGGGTTCAGGACTTCAGGGTTTTAGGGTTCAGGGTTTGAGGAGCTTTGGACACTCGTCCGCCTTCGTGAACAGGGTGAGTAATTAACATGAGCTGTGCAGATCAGAATAGTGGTATGTGGAATTCTTAAACTTAGCGGAGTGGGGCTTGTTGCATCTTCTTGAACGACGAAGGGCCTTAGCAAGTATGTCTTAAGTCTTAAGCAGGGCGTATAACTACACTAAGCCCATTTAAAGTATTCATGACCGCACGTACAACCCACCGATGATTGGTTGCCGAGTTGGGTGACTTGAGTTATGGCATGTCATGTGGTTGGAATGAGTCTTACAGTGGCCCGGATGATCTGAGGTTTAAGGTCCAGGACCAGACCCCCTTCGGAAAGCCCAACTGCAAGACGCAGAGGCCAATCTGGGTCTCCGGCGACTGAAAATCGCAGAGGCCGGGCTTAGGATCCTTAGGGGTTAGGGTTTGTTGTATAAAAACGAGAATCTAGTAGCAGATTGTTCCAGAGCTTTGGGGAGGCTACGCAGGACTTCGGTTTGGCAGGATTGAGACAGGTCGAAGAGGCTCTTGAGGGTCTTTCTTTGGCCTACTTCCTTTAGGTGCGGGTCTCGGTTTGGGTGATTGTTAAAATTATGGTCCCCTTTTTGGGGGGTCCCGAATATGATATTGCACCTAATATTAGGGTACCCCAAAACGGACCCTGATTTTGACAAGGGATCTATGGCCATACTAAGACTTCAGGTATCTTCAGGTGATCTCATGCCATGGCGTAATTCGTCGGGTCTTTATCATCACGATGTGTGCAATTTTTGTTGTTGGCGGTTGTGCCGCATGCCGTCCTTATCCCTCGATGTTGATTCAACTAGGGTCAAGGCAAGGGGCTGGTGCGGTTCAGGGCTAAGAGTTTAGGCGTTAAGGGGTTTAGGGTTTAGGGCTTTAGGGTTCAGGATTTAGGGTTTAGGGGTTTAGGGTTTAGGGTTTAGGGGTTAAGGGGTTTAGGGTTTAGGGCTCTAGGGGTTTAGGGTTTAGGGGTTTAGGGTTTAGGGGTTTAGGGTTTAGGATTCTTCTCCAGCCGGCTCGTCATTTCTATTCTACGCCTGTTCTATCCTGTGCCAACCTCACCATGTGTCCTGTTGTTCCGCTTGGCCGACGGGTCTCGTCTTCAAGAGAGAGCTTGATACAATTAAATAATTAGGCAACCTATGTATAATTAAATCACGTCTTTCTACAACTCAAATACAGCTCCTCAAGCACCCAAACGGTGTTGGGTGGGTTTCCCTGCTCTTTACGTCAAAAAGTCAGTAGACTGGTAAGGCCTACGCGCAACCCCGGAAGACATGATATGCAACCTTAGTTGAGAACCACTCATCCGAAACATCCGTTGACCAAAAAACTACAACCCACCCGGCAAACCTCCCGACCCTTCCGAAAAGCACCCAATGACGACAGAGGAGTTCCTGTCCTTGGCGAACTGGAACATTCTGAAGCATCCTCAGGTGCGCACAGGGCTATTCAAAAAGCAGGTTTTTTCGTAGCTGTGGTATCGTAGCTAGAAGAAAGCTTTGGGGCTTTAACGAGTCTGCTATGTTTATAGCAGGCTACGAGGGTTTGATAGGGCTTGACGATGGTTTTGGAGCTGTGGCTTGGGCATTGGTGTGTTTCTCCCAGGTTCTTAGAGCAAGGGTCCTGTTATTGTTCAGGCATCACGTCACGACTTTTTTGGTTTCAGGCTTGGGGCTCAAAGTTTACGTATGGCCGAATCCGAAACCCCAAAGCACAAAGCCCTTATACAGCACGCAGGACCAGCAAATACCTTAACCTCAAACTCTAAAGCCTGTAGGGGTTTTAGGGTTGAGGGCGAAGGCCAAGGCCTGTAAGCCCAAAAGCCCTAGACCTTATGTGGGGGGTTCCGAAAATAGGAGATCGTTTTTTGGATCCCTAAGTAGTAGGATCCTTATCATAAGGACTTCAAAGTAAGGTACCCTAACTTTCCGAAATTCCCATGCGTCTAAACCCCGATCTTCAGCTTGCGGATTCTTGGCTGTCTGAGTCCTGAGAATAAGAAAGTTATTTCATAATGATGGCTCCATTAAGAAAAACTTTTAAAGTATGCTACTCCAAGGCAACCGGGGAGAGAACGATGTCGTAGAGCTTGGGGTGCTGCAGCCCCGGCCCTGAACCCTTCACCCTAAACCCAAACTCTATCCCTGACCCTTTTCGAACACAAAAAAAACATGTAGAGTGATTACAGCATATATATATACACATATATATATATATATATGTGGTTCTTGGCCTTCACAAACGCCTCAACACCGGTGCAGACAGGCCTCGTCCTCGATGATGTCCAACCTCCAGCGCAACTTTGGGCGGCTCTACGCAGCCCAGCAGCGCTACAACGAGGTGCCTTTGGATTGGGGGGCTTAGGGTTTAGGCTTTGGTACTTTTTTTTTTTTTTGAAAAGTCCGCATCATACGGATCCTACTACTTAGGACTTAGGGATCTAATAATATTGGATCCCCTATTCTCGGAAACCCCCACATAAGATTTAGGGATTGGGTGTCATTTTTTTCGGGCTGGGGGGGGGTTTAGGGTGTAATGCTTAGTCATGATGCTCGGGCTTAGGGTTCATGGTTAGACGTTCAGGGTTCAGGGAAAGGTTTTAACGTGGATGGCATGCATGGTGCTTCGGATTTGGTTACCTAGCCTAAACCCTAAACCCTAAACCCTAAACTCTAAACCCTAAACTCTAAACCCTAAACCCTAAACCCTAAACCCTAAACTCTAAACCCTAAACCCTAAACCCTAAACTCTAAACCGTAGGGTTCAAGGCCGGTGCTTGCAGGATCAGCGGGCTTAGTAAGTAGCTTATACCCATAGGCTCCATAGTAGTTCCTTTTGGGCGTTACCTTAGAGCAATTATTCTAGATTCTAAATATGAACCCCAAAAAGGAACTGTTGATTTCTGGTGTTTGGTTCAGGGGAAGGGCTGTTCGTAACAATAGAATAGTGACTAGGAGTAGGACTTGCATGATGCCTTCTAATCTGCATAGGTAAGTCATCTAGATGATCATACTTCTCCATAGTACATCGAGTAGCATGCAAGATAGCAAGGCACTACAAGGACCCTCAAACAAGCAACCCAAACCCCAACGCCCCAAGGTGCTTTTCGCACCCACCTCGCTGCGCCCTTCATAGGGCTCGTGCTTGAGCCATTCGGATTTGTGCGTGTCATCCTTAGCAGGGGTCATGCACCTGCCAGACAAGATGCGGTACACTTCTCGATTTGTGCACCTGCGGTACACTTCTCGATTTGTGCACCTGCCAAAAGTAGGGACTGGACCCTACAGCAACACTCCTCCTCAGCAGGGGACTGAAAGTCAGGCCGCCTGCTGCACTCAGAGTGCACAAAAGACTACCGCTGGCTAGTTGCCCACCGTCTTTCAAGAATGTCAAACACGCTTCAGTGCACGACTCAGCCTATGAGCTCTTGGCCGAGTACCCCCGCGACTCGGTCTTTCATTTCTTGTAACGAGATGTCACAAGGTTCTTGAGGCCCAGTGGCTCACTGACGGTGTATAGCAGCGGGTATCACTAAATAAATTCCTGATTCCTACTGGACTATTCCTTCGGCAAGAATCAGACATGCAAGAACTGGACATGACATCAGCTACAACCTCTGTGCGGGACAGCAGCTTCTGTCCTATCAGCTCTTCGTGGTGGTCACGTGTGACGACAAAACTTCTACTTGAAACCGGCGCGGGAGCGAAGCTCAGCCAGCTTCGTTTTCGACAAGACTTTCGTTAACATGTCTGCAATCAGCGTAGCACCAGGGTGATGCTGCAACAGGACATTCTGATCTCTGAGCTGGTCTCTCAACCATGATGCCCTCAAAGCAAATGCACGCGTCCTCCAAGTTTTCACAAAGAAGGTCTCTCGATTCGCCACTACAATGCTTGCTGAGTTATCGCCAAACATCTTCACGTGTGAGTCAAACTGTCGACCTGAAAGGGCCTCAAGCAATGGAAGGATCTTCGTCGTTTCTGACATTGCAAGCGCCAGGGCGTCTGTCTCTGCCTCGCAGACACTCCACGCCGTAACTGTCTGCTTCGAGCTCCACCATGCCAAGGGCGAGCCAGACAAGGTGATTGTCCCGCCTGAGCGTGATCTACTCCCCTCGGGAGCGAAAGATGCGTCGCTCCACACCTCAAGAGATGTATTAGCGATTGAGCCTTGAAAATACACTCCAATGTCTAGGGTTCCCCGAAGATATCGCCAGCAACCGTGGGCGACCTTCAAGACTTGCGTCGGGCACTTGTGCAGATGTGAGGCTGCTATTGACACAGCAGACAGGAGATCCCCTCTGCTCTTGGTTGCTACCCACAGTAGGCAACCCAGCTCGGTTTGGGCCTCCTTCAAAGCCGTGGCGTAACCAGGACTCTCCGGATCTTCCGTTCCTACGAACTCTACCTGTGGAAGGCTCTGGGATCCACGAAGATGTATCCAGTTCCTCTGATGTAGCTCACTCAGAACCCATCTCTTCTGATGGAACTTGACAGCACCGTCAGTTTCGAAATGAATCTGAAGCCCGATGAACGTCAACTCTTGAACCCGCTTCAAACTGAAGTCTCCCTTTCGAAGCTCTTCAGGACCCTCACGGCTGATGAAGCCTGAGAGTTTTGTATTCCAAGTCGCTGCAACAAAGTCCAGGAAGGCGGTGACTGCCGATGCCTGGCCTACCACTAAAACGTCGTCGACGTAGACTGCGGCGATGCCTACGACCTCTTGTGAACTAACATCTCGTAGAACAAAGAGTCCTTCTTCATCTGGAACCAACTCTGCCACAAAGGATCCTCCATCGTAAGCAAGCTCCTTGCCATTGATGGTGTCGTCCCTCAGCTTGCTCCAGGCTCTCGGACTCCTCCTCAAACCATATATGTGCTTGCGCGCTCGCCACAACACATTAGGCTTGACTAGGCCTAACCGCTTTAGAGTCGAAGGTGGTTCTAAAAGTACGATGTCATCGTCATCAAGCTTTGAGTTCAGGAAGGCCAGAGACACGTCTCCCGATGCGGCCACCCACCCAGGGTGGGCACTCAACTCATGTCCCATGATACGAAGTGCAGCTGGACTGACGTTCTGCGTCGTGACCTCTGCCCCGTCATAGGCCTCAAAGTTGCCACAGGCACAAAGACGGACTTTGGCTTTCCAAGGAGGCTCTCCTTGGACCTTCGCGTTAGACTCCTTACCGGTCTCCTCCTCGGGCTTGCGCGACGTCACCAACTTTGTAGGCAGCGGACGTGGAATCTTCAACCCCGGTGCAAGACCGAGATCCTGATGCAAATTGTCACGGGATACTTCTTCCAAGACTTCCATGTTTTTCATGCCCGTCATCTCTGCCAATGCCCCGCCGTACCACTTATCTCTATCCTCCTGGGATCCTTCGAAGAAGACTCTACAATCCGTTGGTTCCGCCGAAGCCTTCATAGCAGCGAGCTCGGTCATCAAGCGAGCTTGCTCATCGGCTTGGGCCTCCTCGTCCGCGGTGTCAAGCTGGTACCCCCTCGGTTCTGCAGGCTCATGCTCCAACCTCTTTGCGAGGCATGCAGCCGAGGAGAGCCCACACACTGTGCACGATTTGCCTTTCAACCACGCGCTCTGCATCAAGGATTTCGGCTCCGAAATGTCTGCTGATTGCTTGCTTCGCGCTTGACAACTGATAGCTGTGCTATGGCTCATTCCAAGAAATGGACTGGCATGATCATGATCGTCTTCCTGGATTCGTTTTCGGATGATCGTGGCGGCTCCGGCTTCGTGATCAACTGCTTCTGGGCCTTCCAATCTTTCTTCAAGCGTTACGATCTCATCTGGATGTGGCTCCGTCCACCTAGCTGAACCATCACGAGCTACCCACACTGCCACGTCCTCGTCAGGACTAAGCAGCTTTCGCCAGTGTTTTGGAGCTGCGTCCAAAGGCTCCGGCAATCGAGTAGTCATGATCTTGGTTCCGGCCTCCGTGTCCACAATGACTTGGGATCCATCCTGCATGGATTCATCTACACATAGAAAAACTCCTTCTCGCACTCGAGGAGCAAAAGGTTCTGCCCCCTGAATACGAACACCAACGGGATCACCAAACGTGGGCATACCAAGTGGAGGATCTTCCACAATCGCGCTCAACCGAAGTTCATAAGTTGCTTGCTTCACAGCATATGGCCAAAATGATCGTGGCATGTCCGCGTGCAAAAGAAGACTTGTGGCGCGCTCCTTGATGGTTTGCACTTGCCTCTCAGCTCTGCCGTTCGCCTGAGGGTCATATGCCGATGAGCACGTTTTCCAAACGGCATCCTTAAACAGATGTTCCACGACTTGCGAAGCGACGAACTCCTTTCCACCGTCCGAATGCACTCTCACAACCGCTGTCGGGTCCTCAAACTCTGCCCTCACCTGCAGGATGATGCTCTTCATGTTCCGCAATGTTTCTCCAGCCTTCTTAGACTCTTGAATGCGCACATATGGAAGTGTCTTCTTATCTGCAGTGATGTACGCTCCGACCAAGAAGTACAAAGAGGCATCCCTTCCCCGAACATGTGGGCCAGAGAGATCAAAGCTGAGCACAGCTGAGCTCACCTGAGCTGCTGAAAGCTTGTAGTGCGCCTTCCGATGTCCTCTACTGCCCTGGCACTGAAGACAGTCCTTCTGATAGGACGAGTGTACAACACAGGAGGCGCTGCCATCAAGGCCGAACCTACCTAAACCATCCCTGAACTCACCGGTCTGATGGTCCTGTACAACACTAAAACCAGCCTGAGCTTCACACACATCCTGCCAAAACTCACAATGGCCTGAAGGTTGGTCCGACGGTTCAGCCTGGGAGCTAGATACAGGATTCTGGTGTGTCCGATGTTGCTGAGTCTGTGTCGCGCTGTTTGCTGTTGCGGAGCTGCCGCTTTCTTCTGATGATGTCACAATCTCCACTGCTGCCTGGGGTTTTGCACACCACAATAGCTCCAAAGGCAATGGGAAACCCATGTCCACCAGCTGCATCAACTCTGACTGCGTCAACCTCTTAGCTCCAGTCGTTGAGTGACCATTCAGGACCACTCGCCTGCCCTTCCACTCTTCAGTGCCATGCCAGCACTTCGGTGAAAATCTGAAGCCCTTACCTCGAATCTCAACTAGCTTGCCCAACAAAGCATGATCCGGTCGAACCTGACGTAGCTCCTGACCCTGCGGATCTTCAATCCACAACCTTCCTCCGCTAGGCATCTCTTCCTTGGAAGATACACACACCAAGAAGTTGTCACTTCCTGGCATGTTGTAGCTGTCTTTGTGAGGTACAAATGTGACGTTGTCATTGATGATGATGCTTGTCCAAGTTCCGGTGGGAAAAATTTTACGTA